CTCAAAACCAAACATCTTCGGTATTTTAATTATAAATTACCAGATAATTGAAAATATCAATGTTGGAAATAAGCTAGAGGGAAGTTATTTATACAAGAAATCTTTTATCAATCATTTTTCATTTTTACAGAGCATAGTAATGTGCACTAATTGATTTAATGCGAGTGCTTTTCAGCCTATGCTTGTGAAATAATAAAATAAAGAAGTAAAGATGCATAGTTCCACCATGTAATGTATAACATACATGATGACGTGAGCAAATTATTTCTTGGGAAAATTGAACATGCATATATTTATGTCACAACTGATAGCTTAAGGCTAGAAAATCGATCTTTTACTTGACGTTGATCTTTCACTCCTACATATTATTAATGTTTATGTATTACTGGAACAAGTGGAGAATAGTTGAGTTAAAATCATTCATAAACTTTACAAATTAACGAGTAAAGTCTCTTTTAGTTATAATCAATTCCAAGGTTGTATTTGATCGTCTATTTAATTCATTCTTTTTAATGTCGATTTTAATGACTCTCTATTTTCCATATTTAAGTTTATAAAAATTATATGTTCAGCAAATAATATCTTGACTTTTTTTCACCATTTTATTACCTTAAGTATCATAAAGAGTCGAGTATTGTCTGCTTGCGTATAAGCAAATACAAGAATTATCCTCAATTTAGTCATTATCAGTGGTTGGTTCTTTAAAAAGCCGAATTGTTTAAATGCTTTAGAATTGATAAAACTGATTTTATTTTTTATTTAAATTATTTATTCTCAATGCTCTAGAATATTTTATATTTTGTTAAAACATGGATTTGAGAAAAAACAAAATATGGTAACAGTTAGTAAGATTCATTAATATTTAATTTATCAGCTCTGTAATGAGTTTTAATAAGCTTGGGAATTACACAAGCTTATTATGATTATCAAGTCTTATCGTAACACATTTTTTATAAATTAAAAAATAAACATTCACCCAGCTTATTTTACTTACCAATCTGAATATTAACACTTTAATAGATGATTTTTTGAATTTATTTATCAATTTATAAAAAATTGTTTAATTGAAAAAACAAAAAATTTATGAAGTAAGAAGTATATTTATATTTAATACTCTTAATTGTATTTTGATTAGTTTGGGTCAACAGCGTATTTTTGGCAGAGTTGCCAGCGTCACATATATCATATTAAACGATTTAACAATGTGCCTTTATAGTAAATGCTTTGGAAAATAAAATACCATGTCACTGATGAATTAAATGAGCCATTTTTATAAGCAGTCATATAAAATGTCTGAAACGAAATAAAAAAAATTATTTTTATTAGTAAAGAAATGAATAGAATGAAGTAGATGTTGATTTGTAATTTAAGATCGCTACTATTTGGAATATAAAGCGACGTGTGTCAGTCGGTTAAACCAAATGGCAATGATAGTCTGCAGCCAAGCGTCTGTCACAATCAGCGGCGGGTGTGTTCATTTCTCGCGTAAGATAAGAGGTCGAGTTGATGATGCGCTTGTTTCTGAGCCAAGCGACATAACATCAGTAGTGGTAATAGCGTTGGTATGGTAGTGGAATAAGTTAGCTGATGTCATGCGGGCTAACATCACTTGTAGCTTGGTACTCTTGGTTACTTGATCGTCGTAACGACGAGTTGCTAAATGTAGCTATGATGTATAAACTCTTCATTATTTTTTTTTTGTTCCTTTCTCTGTCTTATTCTCTAGTTGTCTCATTTATTCGTCATAAGCAACGTGACTTTAACTTAACTATTCATGTCTCACAAGATTACTATTATTTCTATCCATGAACTTTTTAAATTTATTAATTTATTTTCATGCTTCATTTCTGGTGGTGGTTTCACCTTTAAGGTTAAACTAAATGACGATTTAACTTGGCAGGACCTTTGTCTTACATTTCTTCGTGAGCTTCAAATATCCTTCTCTTGAATAGACCATGATCTTTAGTTAACAGTCACGAATCTTTGTTCACATTGTTGGTCATTATCTATCCAGGACCATCGGTGTACATTATCTTTTCTCTAAGAGTGCACTTCCTTGTCCCCAGTCACGCATCCATCGGAGACAAATAGCGATAGATGCAGTTATTGCACTATCTTACGACAAGAGAAAGTTTTGATTATTTCCTTGGTACTTAACGCTATTGTCCGTTATTAGTTCCGCAATAAATAAAAACTAATCTGTGTTACATTGTTGTTGTACATTAGTGGTTAATGAATCTGTTATTCTAATTACCAACCACTTATTTCAAAACATTCCATAAAAATATTGAATAATATTAAAAATATTAAGTAAATAATATAAAAAAAAAAAAAAATGAAGATAATAATATGATGTTGGAAATATCATATGTTGTATTTAATTGTATGCTAAAGTTAGTAGATCATTTTCCCTATTCTTCTGATTCTCTTACTCTCAGCAAGACAAAGAGGTCAGGTAGATGAGAAAGTGGAGCACAGCAGAAATGTTAACCTTTGCTGATGCTGGTCTCGCGTGATGCACTCATCGATGTGAGTATGATATACTATAGACCATGATATGACATGAACAAAAACAAATGAATATAAAATTCTATCTAGGTTCAACAATAATTGACTTACATTATTCAGCAATTTTTTTTGAATAATATCAAATAATAATACCATTTATAAAACTTTAACAAGTTAATAATAATTCAATGAGATTAATTTATTCAAATCCAATATCATTCTAATGTTTTGTAATGTTTGATAACTTGATAATCATAATAAAAAAATAAATTATAATAAATGATCGATCACCACTTTTTTATATTTAATATTTTAATTTCTTTCATCATCTGAAAAGAATCCTTTTCGTTTTCTCTCTGATGATTTTCTCTTCTGGATGGAATTCTACATATACTTCTTCTTGCTTGTCTGTAAGACCTTTAAATTGCTTGAATGCTGCCAATGAATCTACTTTATGTGAATTTTCTAATTCCTGAAATATCTTCTATGCATTTGATAAGATATCGAATATTTATTAACTCATAAATATACTAGACATTGAATTGATAATTTACATCAAAGCTACACCTACACTGCATACCCAACTATGTTGAATGTTAAATTTTCATACAGAATTCACAGCATCAAAGTATGGATGAATCTGCAATTCCCAACATTAACATCATTTATTCGTTTGATATAAAATGTTTTGTCTATCAGAACTCAGCTGTAACAATGATCTAAGTTGCTTCCCTCATACTTTAATCATCAGTATGGCATTCGATGATGTCACTTGAATGATTTTGAAATATTATGTAAACTGAATGAGTGCAATAACTAGAAACCTATTGTTAAAACAGTTCATCAAGTGGTGATAATTCATGGTGAGAACAGTTAAGCTAATTGCAAGATGCTAAATATGAATAAATCAGACTTATATTCTTGAATATGAATAAAATTGGTAATAAGCTGATGGAGAATAAATTCCATCATCTAATGATCATCACCATGATTAGTTTTAAAATACTATATTAACATGACATAACTTGTATTCAATATCAAACCAACCTGAACAAATAATCAATGTTGTTTCTTGGACACTTTAGAATATACATTTACATATTCATGGTCCTTTCCAGCATTGACTATGCATATATTCAATAAAAATACATTTGACTTTAGTTTTAATAGTCAATTAAATTTCTTGGAAATGGAAACTTAAAAAAAAAATTTATATATATGTCCTAAATAGTTTATCTTTAGTAGTAATTATTTTTCATTTACCTACTTTAGAATTTATTTCATCAAAGTAATTTTTCATAATAATTATATAAATTGAGTTGTCGTTTTAATGAGTATCTAATTAAGTGCATTTCACGGCACTATACTGAATTTTTCAATGTTATATCCTACTCTTCCATGTATTAAGTTTTATAGTTTTAACTTTTTTCTTTCCCAAGACTGCACACAAAAGACCTTGCAAATCTAATGACTGGGTGTGGTTCCTTCCACTTCGACTTGAAAACATGGAAAATTTATATTTCTTCAAGTCTAACAATAGTTTAAGTCATTTGTTCTCGACATAGAAAAATAATGACATCAGGAAATTCTTCAATACCTCTACTAACACATGACAATATTATATTTATAACTTTCAAGAAATTATTTTCTAAACTTACCAGTCAAACTCTCTGTGCATTACAAACACTTTGATTTTGTTTTAAATGTTAACTTGTAATACAAAAGTATATTTAAATCTGTACGGTTTAATGTTTAAAAACTGTTAATGATTTTCGGAAGTCATTTAAAGTTTGTTGGAAGAAATGAGGTATCTTTAATGACCTAGGAATACATTTAAATATCAGCTGAGTTAATTACTATTACAACCATTACAAAATAATTTTTTTAAAGAGAAACTAATATTAATATTTTATTGAAAACATTTTTATATAAAAGTGAATGACTAACAAATTCTTTTTAAAATGAGTATCATATTGAATTCATAGAATGAAGGTTTGTGTCACAGTAGAATGTGTCTACCATCATAGAAATTTCTATCCCATATGTCCCAGCATCATGCTAATGTGAGAAAACATTATTAATCATGGTAAACACTAGGAACATTTGGTAACTTTCTTATAAAGGTAATAGCCATGCTGTTTTTCAAATTAAACTCCAAGTGATTTTTAAACAAACATTTGTTGAAACAAAGAATTATTTATACGATTAGTTTTATTGCTAGAATGATGATCAATCAACAAATTTACTAAATAGATTTCAAAGAGATAATGACATGTTCTTGGCGCGATGAACAACTGCTACTCTTTACGTGTTAAATGTATAGTATTAGAGATCAATTAACGTGTAATCTTGACTTAGATCGCTTGAGTAGATCTTATTAGTTAATAAAGTAATTGCTCAAATAATTTATATTTTATCTTATTAAGTGTTCTCTTTAATTACATTAAAAGATTATTTTTTCATGTTTGATTAATTATTTGATTTTATTTCAGAAATTGCTAAAGTACGAGCGAGTCTTTTTCAAATCAGTGGAGTTAAAAAGGAACCATTGACCCTTCCAGAACCCGATGGAGAAATAGTCACACTCACAGAAAAAGTTTATGTTCCCGTTAAAGAACATCCTGACGTAAGTTTCTTTTTTTGTTGTTCTAACTTTATTCATTAACTTATAAAAAAAAGATTTATCTTATCGTTCTTTTCAACTTGACTTACCAACTGTGTTTTCAGTATCAGTATATAGCAATTGCTGTTATTTTAAATCTTCCATTAATTAATATCAAGCATCTCCGTTGCATTAAACTGTTGTCAATTATCATCGATAAGATGTACATTCTATGACTATTTGTTCTTACTGATTTTTTTTTTTCAAGTTTTTCTTCGGCATGACTAATGTCTATGAGCAATAAAATTAATAAAATAAATAAAATGGTGGTTTTAATGGAGGTTGGGAACAAAAAACAAATGGTTAGAGACAGTAATTGATGAAGTAAGAAAAAAAAAGACGTAGGTGATCAGAAACTTGTCCGCCCACTGGAAACTCCAATAATCGTGGCGATAATAATCTTTGTGTCAATACGCCTCAATGATCATTTAGAAAAAATATTAATCAACTTTTAACTGTTTAGCATCATTCAAAACCAGTGGATAAGTAGAAAATATCACTGAAATTATCATCTACTGTATAACGACATGAAAATTACCTTCACCTGATGTTGTAATATTTACATTATTGTCATTTTTCTGTTGCTTTGTTTCATATTAACAAACACTTGACACATAATAATAATAATAATAATAAAATTATTATTGTAACGACTCACCGCACTGGTAAAGAGAATTATTCTAGTCAAATACGATTTGTTAATATTCAATGAATTATTTATTAAATCATGTAATGATAACGTTTAAATTTACATTCATTGTTTGATAATTGAGTTTACAGAAGAATATCATTTAAAACTAAAATAATGTCTACTTTAATTGTTTTATAATAATTAATTTCTCTAAATAAAATTAAATCTGAAGGTTATACCAAGCAGATTTTATGAGTGTTGATAATTTATTGACAAATAAGATAAAAAATTATTTATCTTCTTAAACTGCAATTATTAAATGACTCAGAAAGAAATTGGAGTTTAAAATCAGGACATTTGTTTCCATCATTAGTGTATTTTTGTAAAATATCATTTTTTGATAATGACAATAAAAAAGTCATTAGTCTAACGATATGATAAGTTAAAAATACAAATAATATGACAGGTATAAATACATAAATACTTTTTAACTCATATTACTTGAAAAAGATGTTAGGTAATGATGATAATAGGAAAAAAATATTCAATATAAAATAAGTTGGGAAACACTGATGAGAACTGGGGAACAGAGACGAAGACAGAAAGGATCGAGGTTTTGAGGAGAGCCAAGGTGGTGCGTGAAGAATAACGAAAAGAAGAGCTTGCAAGAGAAATGTGCACAGTCAGGCGTTTATTTTAATCTTAAGACGAGAATAGAACCCAACAACTGCCGTAGAACACGCACTTGTACTCCTCCTTATGTCTCTATCGTTAAGTTGGGTTGTTTTAAAGTTTTTATAATAAGACCGTAAGTTACATTGGCTTTTCTATCCTCTTTCCAGCTACCAGGATGTTAATATTTGACTTCTAGATGATATTCATAGATGCACCAAATTAATGAAAACTTTAGGGCTTGGTGAAAATTATTACAATGGCCTCAATTCCTCTGTTATTATTGTCGTCACTTGTGCCTTAACTTTTCTTGGTCTTGAGCTACTCCTACACAATATGTATTCAGGTTATTTATTTGTTTTTCAATATTTTCTAATCTAGGTCTAGTCAACCTTCAAGTTAAGACTTGATGTCTTATTATATTCCTTTTACACGGTTTTATTTTTTTCTTCATTAACATTCAACTATAAATTCCAGATATATTTTTATTTTAATCATATTAAATAAATATTGATTGATGACCCAATGTGTCATGAAAATGATTAACGATGTGTCAAATGAAACTTTTCTCGTTAATTCAGATTTTCATATTACTATTCTACTTTTTGTTCTAATTATAAAATTCAAATTGTCTTCTCATTAGAAAAAAAATCAAATTTTTACTGTAGAAAAAATGGAATGAATAATTTTAATTCAAACCAATCAATAATAAATTCATGTCAACACATTGGTGATGAAATTTATTTAGTATTTTTAAATTAAATTCATCGATTGATATGTTTATCTTGCTTGACTAAATTAATTATTGAAAATAGAAGGAAATAAAAAGTTTTATAAATGCATTTATCATGATAGATAGGTAGGATGTCCTGCAATTTAAAAAAGAGAATAGTTTCTAATTCAAAATAAATTCCATCGATTGCTTATTCAAGATAATTGCAGAAGATCTTATATGGATGCCTGATTTCAATTCAAGTGAGCAGAACATTTTGGTAGACCTATATGTGGACTATGCGGTTCATTAATTTCTTGGGTTAATGCTCTGTCAGTGGCACACCTCATCTATTGTTCATAAATAGTCAGATTGAGGCCGTGATGATGTCGTTGAGATAAAACAGTTTGTATTTCTTCTAACAATACTCCAAAATATATTCCGCAATATTTCTCAAATACATATCTAACTCACAAAAAAAAAAAAAAAATATTTAGATTAATTTGAATATTTTCTCTGAAAAACATTCACATTCTTATGCTATTTCTTTTTTACTTTTCATTGCTTAAGTAAACATTAAAATAAATTAAGAAAGCTTTCCATTTTATTTTTGTGTCGATGGAAGTCAGCTAAAAAAAGCTCCACTGGATTCCGCATGATCGGATTTCTTTCGGTATTACTTTACGAAAGCAAAATTCATCTCGAGCTCTTTGGACTCAATATTTATTCGCAAAATTGCAAAAATAAGTATCTTATGTTTAATCTTGAATTATATTCAACACAATTCTTTCTTGTAATTTTTTTCTTTTACAATTTACATTGTAATGTTTACTATACTCCTTGATTTAAAGAATCCTAATACATTTTTCAAAGTAAAATCAAGAATGGCATGTGATATTATGTAAATCATGTAATTTTAATATTACATCAAACGATTAATAGCATACAAATATGCAGTTTTGAAAAAAAATTTTCATGGAAATATTCTATAAACATTTATGTACTACTCATCGTCTTTATTCTTAGAATGTTTTCACAAGATCATCAAGACCACTGCTCTTCACATGTCTATTCATATGCTCCTGGTTATTGTTACAAATTCTATATTTAATCTCACTTGGGCATCGACATAAACTATCACATCAAAAAATATATACATATATGAATATGTATAGATGTTTAGTGGAGATACATAGTGCAAGTATTTAACTGATACAGTATCCACTACTTAGAAAGTCATTGGCACAATCTAAACTTTAAGATCGAACTTTTACAAGAGACAGAAAGAGAGAGAAACATTTGTTGGAATTTCCTTTATGTGTACGGCAGACTCTAGTGATTAAGAAACGCCTGAATGAATTGGAGGCATTTCAACGAGCAGCCATAATTGTTTATCGAACTATTTTCTACTGACATTTTAGTTGGAAAAACTTGACTTGGCTTCTTGAATGTAACATATATATATATCGTAGAATTTCCCACGAAGAGCTTTTTTGTGGTCTCTACTCAGAAACGTCTTCTTCAAAAATTGCTATGTCATAGCAAAATTGGAGAACAATAATATTTTAATTATCTTTTATTTTTAATTTTAAAAGACTTGTTCAGTGACTTTCAATTGAAATATTATAGGTGACGATTAAATTTTATTGTTTCTTATTAGCTTCTTTTCAACCTCTAATTACATGTTGTGTACAATATAAAGGCCATTCAATATAATTACAATATTAAAAGATAATGTGATAGATTGTTTACAAATTCGAGTAAACTAGGAAAGTATAATAATATTATTGGCTTAGTATTTAATGACTAATCAAGGAATTAATTACATGTAAATATTGTTGATGAAAGCTAATTTGATGCTTTGTCTTCCAGTTTATATATATATATATATATATATATATATATATTTTCATAAATATTTAAAAACAAAAAGAAGCCAAGTTGGATTAATTCTATATCATGATAATCTTTAAAACACTCTAGCTGGATGATTCTATTATATTAATAAAAAAATAGCAATTAATCATATATTTTTAAAGAATAAATAAGTGAAAATGAATGTGCTAATGATGAGGATGAAATAAATTCAATTGGAAAAATGTCAATAATTGAAAACTATAGGCGGTCTTATAGCAGAAAGCAAAATGCATACTCGACTGCAAAAGAGGCGGCAAGAATGTCGGTTGCTGTGCACATAAGACTTCATTTGATTTATAAGTTGCCTCGTAGTTGCACGATTTCTCCAAGCGGCACCTATCATAATGACGGGCGCTCCTTCTTTCAAGCTGGCCTTACAAAGCGGCTAGCCTCACTTCACATCCTGAACGGGACGCAGTTACGTATCTTCCTACGCATCGGCCCGTGTCCGGCTTCGTGTGGGAATCCTAGATATATTTGTCACATAAAATATTTAACAAGAACCAAGCTTAAAAATTCGCTGAGTCTTCCGAGCATTGAAATACCGTTAAATGACATACCTACACCAATTGGTCTGATGCTACACACTATCTTTTATATTGTTCATAATTATTTGCTGCACAGCTTTTATTTCAACTTTCATTCCTTCATTATATATTTATCACTTAGAATGATCATTTATCCAAAGATTCTTCATTATCTTGACCCAGTGATTGGTAGATTTAAACACCATTTTATCTTCCAAGATTTATCTGTGGAGGAACACTTATTATTGGTGGATCGAAACTTATCATCAATAAGAAGTAAACTTATCGAGTACTGTTGGTTCATAAAGTAGAATCTTAATAGTATAGAATATAGTAATAATCTTGATATTAAAATTAATTACTTGTCAGGAAGAAATTCATTATTTAAAAAGTTAGAAATACCACCAAGATTTAAATAGTCGATAACTACAATTCAATTTATTTCATTTATAAAAATAATTATAATTATATATTTATCATAGATTGGATTTTATTTTTATCAAATGTCACTATCATGCTATTATTCAACATTTATCAACAGAATATAACAATGACTTGATCAACATGAACTAAAATATAACATTAAAAATAATACCAAAGTTTGATGATAATATTTTGCTAAAAGAATTATTTTGTTTTGCAGTTTAATTTCGTGGGGAGGATTTTGGGACCACGAGGAATGACAGCCAAACAATTGGAGCAGGAGACAGGATGCAAAATAATGGTCCGAGGAAAAGGTTCAATGAGAGACAAGAAGAAGGTAAATGTTCACATGAATTTGTTATATTTATCCTGTAAATGAAATTTAGTTGCAATGGATGGTAAATTAATGGGTATGTAATTAAACCTTGTGACAGTCTAAAAAGCGTGAGATCACAAAATATCTGAGCCAAGTATACAGAAAGAGTAAATCGATAAATTGTTGCAATGACAAGAAAACCCATATTGGGTAGAAAATGGTTGTGGAATCGAGGTCTCTAACCATTTAGTGTTGACCTATGTGAGTATATAACTTTGCTCAGATTGCTCTGAGCGAGATTAACACTTGAAAGTAATCTATCGTTACGTGCGATACATGCAAGTGTTTATAAATGATCAAATACCTATGAAATCCCATCATAGCTGTCTTAGGAAAATGTTACCTGTTAAGGTGAAGCGTGTGGATAAAGACGGAAGACACACAAGTGGTCACTGACTTTACTTTTCTCTCTATTTTCTGTTGTAATCCTTGTATAGATTCTGACTCTTCAACGGTTAAATTTATACTTCAAGATAATGACTTTAAACGACTCATTCAAGTACTTTTCCATCTTTTTCATTCTGAAAATTACTACGAATTTCATTTTATAGCATTGCACATTTAAATTCTTTGGTTAATGACATAAAAAATGTTACTGCAGTCAATGTTTGATCTGTTAGTTAACATTATGCAATCATTTCATTTAAAATAATAGAAATTTTTTCCCCAGTTTATCTTCTAAATCACCATATTAATTTTTTTTTCACATTAAATATTTTGTTGATTATTAAAGAATAACTTATTGAGGATATTTAACATAATAGTTGTCAGTTTACTCCTAGTAATATAGGATTAGAACTGGTAACACTAATAAAAATCGTGTGAAAGTGTAATAAAGCTAGCACAGAAAATTTAATTATATATATCTTGAGCCTTTTTTCATTTTATTTACGTACATTATGCGTGAATTTAATTTTTTTCAATTGTTAGTTAAAGAAATAACTTAGTCTTTTATTACATACAAAATAAAAATCAGAAATAAATGCTAAAAATTTATGGTTAGGAATGACAAACTAAACTTTGTCTACAAAATGGAAAGTAGCTAGGAAAAATAGTGGTGGAGAATATTTCAGTAAAGTCAATGTTTATAAAAAGGAAATAAATAAGTTTGAATTGAGTTTAATTATTTGTTGGAATGCTTTGAATTTAAAAAGCCTGGACAGGACAAGGATACAGTGTATAATACTCATCTAAATGGTAAATGACAGTTATAATTGTCCCATGCGTGATGTCTACAATAACTGAAAGACTTTCATCATCATCATCATCATCGATGCTTGAGTTTTAATTTTATTATCTTTATGCAATCATCTCATCAGAAACTAGATAAATCACTTGTCTTGTAAATCAGACAAAGTGCCTTCTTTTGACTTTACAGCCAATTTGTTGAGTAATAGTATGCTTTACATTATTTTTAATAACACTTGTATGAAAAGTTTAAATTTATTCTTTAAAAGTTTAAAAGTTGGGAAGTGACTTTTGCTGTCATGTAAAAAAGAAAGTAATATATTGTGTGCAAAACAAATTCATTGTTTTCTGCTGAAAAAAAAACAGTGTCACTTTCATGCCTCTAAACAGCAGAGGAGATTGAACTTTCTCTGGGGATGCAGTAGTAAAATTTCTTACAATAAAAAGTATATGAAACAAAAATTGTGTCAATCATATTTCAAGTTTGCAGCCATAATATGCTTTTCTCTTATTAGGTTGCATAAAAATGTGCTTGTTAAGGCCATTGATTTTCACTTTTACCTCTTGAACGTTCAGTTGTAATATAATAATATTTATGGTTAATAATGAAAAAGTTGATGATAAAAAGAATAAAAATGACATAAAATATAAATCATTGTTTTCAAGCTGCGCTTGGCAATCATGTGAAAGCTCTTGTAAGTATTGATATAAGTTTAACAGCAAGATCACATTGTTCATTCATGGCATATATTATTTTGTTTGAAGAATATTGTAAATTATTTGAATGATTTAATTTCTCTTCCTCACAGCATGATTAGTAGCTTGATAGAAATATTATTTATATATTTACTGTCTAATCTTAATAAATATTTTTTTTATGATAGAATAGATTTATACTTTGAATCAGAATAATGATACAATTTATTATGGACATTTAGTAGGAGCACTTGATATAATGTTTCTAGCAATTGGAGACATAATACAAAATACACTTCCAACTATTAATCACTCAAATCAATTCAACAGGAGGAACAAAATCGAGGCAAGCCAAACTGGGAACACTTGACAGATGAGTTGCACGTGCTGTTGACGGTCGAGGACACAGAAAATCGTGCGACACTCAAACTTGCCCGTGCTGTTGAAGAAGTTAAGAAGCTTCTTGTACCCGTGGTGAGACAGTTCCAATCATATGTTTACTTTATTACTCTCTTTTTTCTTCTCATTTTACTCAACTTCATATTGATGATATTATTTGATAATCTTCATCCTTTAAACGTGGAAAATTAAAAGAAAAAAGAGAGAAAGTAGTAGCCATTTAAAAAAGAAACTATTTTGAAATAATATACTGACGATAATATCGAATGTTAGCAGGCTGATGGCGAGGATGAATTAAAGAAGAGACAGTTGATGGAGCTAGCAATCATCAATGGAACCTACCGAGATTCCAACACTAAAGTAGCAGCTGCAGCAGGTAAACTTGAATACTTTCAGCTAATGGACATTGACAGATACATGTTTATTTTTTTCTCCTGTTACAGTAAAAATTACTAAACGTTATCATTACAATACACTGTAAGATGTTATCAATTAAAAACTCTTAAGCTCGTGCAGCAAGACTGACACGTCGTATCGTTCGCTGTATCAAGTAATACTTAAGCAAATGCCTTTCTCTTCACTTATCCTAGATCGTGTTTCTAATACAATTACACAGACAATAACAAGACTTGGTTATAGATAATAAGAATGAAGGAATAGAGATTGTCTTGGTACTCTTTGAAAGAAATTTCACTTAATAGAGATGCTTCAACAACGTAGTTCTTATACTTTTCTGTTGATGGAATAACCATAACAGTTTTCAATTTATATCAAATTATTATTCTATATGCATTATTCATGATTCTTAATTAATTAAGATGATTATATAGATTGTTTCTGTGAAGAATTCTAGAACTTAAGAATTCATAGGAAATTGATTAAAAAAAAATTTTCTATAAAATTTTGAACTTTCATTTCGAATTTTTCTCATAAATATTTATGTATTATCATGATAATTATTTATTTATCTCGTTATCTATCTACCAAGCAGACTTTTCCAAAATTTTTATGATTAATATTGAAAATAAATAAAGTATCGGTTATAAATACATAGATCGGTTTGACTTCTGTTAGAGTAAAAATAATTTTCAGTTCATTAACAACAACATGCATTTCTGTAACAGTGCCAAAGAGGTCGAGTGTTTAAATCACCATTTTTTCTTAAACATTAGAACATTATGCCATTTTGGCAACCGTATCTCATTCAAAATCATCTGTCATTTCATTTTCAACCACTAAGAGTATTGAAGATTCCTTACAACTCATGAATATTCATTACACAAAATCATAACTTTGTCAAGACGGTCTTTTAAATCAAAATATAGCTTATTATATTAAATATAACTCATTTAAACATAAATTAACAGCTTTAACTATCTAATTAAAGCCCTGAAATTGTGTAAACATGTATCTACTAATACTGACGGGTGTGCTTAATTTGTTAGCAAACATATTCTATGTTTGAATCATTTTTCTATCATTTATAGTAATTTCTCAACAACGCATATAGTATTATTTAATTCAAAATTACATTAAATTAATTTTGCTTCAAAAAAGTCATTTCAGTATAAAGTAAATGATGTTTAAACATAGAGAAACTATTTTCGAAAATCTCATTGACGAAAAAGAACATAAATGAAAAAATGAAACACAGCTTTTGATATTACAGCTTGCGATGAGGAATGGAGACGTGTAGCAGCAGCAGCGGCTGAAACTCAACGCCTTCTTCCTGGTCTTGGAACACAAATAAGGTCACCAAATGCCCCCTTGGGTGCACCATTAATTCTCTCTCCAAGAATATCCGTCCCAACGACTGCCGCTTCGCTTCTAAATGGCTCTGGTCCACCAGGATCGATCCTTTCAGCTGGAGATCCACATGGTCTTATTTATACGCCTTATGCAGAATACGCCAACTATGCAGCATTGGCAGCATCTCCACTTCTCACTGAATACGCTGACCATTCTGGTGGGTTGTTTGCTCGCTGATATTAGGCCACTAGTTCGAGATTAACTTGTTAATTAAGTCTTTTTTTTCTGATTCTCTGCGGCTTTTTTGTTTCTTTTATTTCAACATTATAAAGACAGAAAGCATACTGCTATAGTAGAAAAAAGTAAAACAAGAAGCCAAACGAGACGAAGAAGCAGAAGAAAAATGATAGAAAGCAATTATTTGACATAGTGCTTTTAAAAAAATGATATTATTAAATTTAATTATGTCTATACGTTAGGACGTAGGCATAGTACGTAGGATTGAATGAAAATAGTTGAATCAGTCATTTACTAGTCGCGTCATAATTGTTTTTGAGATTTTATACAGCCTCGCTCTATGTGAGTGTTACTAAGTTAAAAACACAAGATGTTTTATTATTATTATTTTTTTTCATAGATAATTATATTTTTTTTTAATCTTTTTTTATTGCACTCTGTACACTAAGTGTTCGCGCGACAGGATACGGATTAATGAATTTTTAAAGTACCGTGTTTTTGCGAGGATGTAGAATAATACTAGTCCAAAAAAAAAAAAAAAGTTTATATTTTGTTCATTTTTTTACTTCTAAAGTTGCCATTAAGGCTGCATTTTAAAGCAGCAAGATACTTTAATTTAGGCAAGTATCTTTTATAGATTATGTTTTAAATTTAACGTAAAGATTATAGAAAGAAAAATTCGACAGAAATTTTTAATATATACACACACACACAAAAGTAGGTCTAAACTTTATTTTAGTAGATAATTCGAAGAAGAAGAAGTCGTATTGAGAACAATAAATTCTTTTACTGCAACAAAGTCAGAAGAAAATATATGGAGTAAAGATTATTTATTTATAATTGGAAAAAAAGAATTAATTACATAAAAAAATGAATGAATAGATGATTTAATTCGCACTCCATTTATTTCTCTTCTTCTTAGAAGTAATTTTAATTTCAATACAGATGTTGGAATAGCTCGAATTAAACGAAGCGCGAATAGTATAAAATAATAAATAGTAAATTGACAATATTTCTCTTCTGACACTTATACACACCCTCTCACAAGATAGCAAAGTATTCCGTTAGCCCGTTAAGTAATCTACACAGGAGCACGCGTCCGCATACTTACATCGTAACTGTAAGTACGTTGTTTTAACATACCAAACGAAAATATACTCTAACGGATCCTCGCACTTATCCACGAGCGGGGAGTCCAGTCATATGGCACATTCTTGTGCATTACTCAATGCAATAATCAAAGGCCATTAAATTTTTTAGTAGTTATAATTATTTAATATACTCTTATTATATATATATATATAAAAAAAGAATTATTATATATACTATTATATATTAGATCACAGATATATTTATATTTATTGAAAAAAATTCAGTATATAGTAGAGAATACTAGCATAGTAGCTTTTGCAAATATTTCTAGCATTTTTCATACATTGATTCATAAATGAATTGTTAGATGTAGATGATATTAATTAGATGTAACTGAAATGAAATTTTTTATACTTGCAAATGTTAGAAAATTTTTTTTTCGCTTTAAGCACATTCGTTTTTGATATTTTTTTTTGTTGTTATTTATTAATTATGCGGTGATGGTTAATTAGATAAATTTTTAGATAATTTTTTCGTACATAATTTTACTATTTTTTTTATTTATTTATTTTTTTTATAACTATATTGTTCGTAGAATTCGAAATTTTAACACTACAAAGTAATATCTAATTAGAATCTCAATTAAGAATCCCTCGGGCTTTTTTTAATTTGTTATAAAAAAAATTTCGTAATGATTTTGGGAAAAAAACCGGACTAACTCGATTCGTCCGCCTTTTAATTCGATGACCCTGTGTTTTTGCTTGTTTTATTGTTTAACTTCTCTATTTTAGTATTTTAATCACCAAAACAACGTTTTATATCAATATTACTTCTTTTTATATGAAAATACCGTTTAAAAGTAATTTACAACAAATTTATTGTTTAAAAAGCTTACTTATTCTGAAGTGAAGAATCCTATTTTAAAATAAATAACAGTCATTTTGTTAACGATCGTCTCTCTCGAAGATTTCATTATTTTATTGAATACAATTTGTGATAATTACTTAAAGAGCATTTAATCAATTCAACAATTGACGTTCATTTAGAATGAATTTAAATTATTTTTACTTATTTATTTTTTTTCTTTAATTCAAAATGAAATGAAAATTATCAGTTATCATTACATAGTTAATTGTTCGGAATAATTTACAAACCCATCCACGTAAACAAGTTGTTAAATAAATGCAATCGAAAAAGCAGTCATAACGATAAGAATACTTTAGTCGAGAAATGATATCTATTATTGGATTTGAAGTGCGTTTATTTTTAGTCTATATTATGGACGCAATTGGCTTCAATTTTATCAAAAAATTACTCACAAATTGGTTAAAAACAGACTATTTTTTAAATCTATTATTGTCTTTGTCTTCTAAAATATAGGATAAAAGACTCAATTCTTTAAACCGGATAACAAGCGATCGGTGATGGATTAGGTTGTAACAAAATACCTTAGAGTTTTAGGCAGACAGTTAAGAAGTGTAGGAAAAATACCCAGGGACCAAGAATTAAAGAACATTAATTTTAAGGACTGATGGTTCTAGAACATACTTGCAGATGTTTCAAAAAATATCAAAGACTATGTGTGAAAAAAAAAATCAAATTTTATAAGTGTACATTATCGAAGGAATCATGCACAAAAATACACTCACATTAAAGTGAAATTAGGTAATCATTTATGTACACCAAAATATTCACTAGAAAGCTTCTGTTCTCAACAATAGATTTTATAATTAGTATTCATATCTATACCCACACATTTAGGGTATGTTGGAGCCATTTCCTTTTTTGTTGATAGAAAAAAAAACTGTACATTTTCATTTTGATGTGAGTGCATTTCTGTGTGTGGTGACTGAAGACTTTTAAATTATTGAGACACAATTTGGTAACCAATTATAAAAGTTGAATACAAAAATGATGAACCAATTGTTAAATCGAAAACAAATATATTAATGATAATACTCATAAAAGAGAGTCTTTTTGGATATTAGTCTTTGACAGTTTAAACAAAAGATATACCATGAAGAGATATATTAAGAATAATGTACATTACTTTATATTATTTTACATTATTATTTTATTTTTTATAAATTAAAATGAACGTTAAGCCATATGAATATATATATATATTATAATATAATTAGCACATGCTAGAGAATTATTTTACTACTTATTGTTACGTTTCGTATGAGTGTAAATGGCTGGTTACATTTTAGTTTAATACTATGAATTACCTGATTTCTTTGAGAATCAAAATAGAATCTTTTCTATTATATATATCTATATTGAGTAATATAAATATATTTTATTTCATAGCAAATAAAAGTATACTAGTATGTATACTACCTATATGGCTAGCAGAGAAGAATATTTCTGCCACAATTGTGTCTTTAATGAATCAATATTACAAATTCTTTTACATTAATTGACTTAATGAAATCTTAATTTTTATTTCGTCATTTTTTCTCTGTATATAATCAACGCTAGAATCATTACACCAAAAGCATTTAATTGAAGAAAGTTTTTGCAGTGGAAATTTTTATTCTAATCAATAAAGAACTGATTATTGATGGAGAAAAAGTGTGGAAAATATTGGAGTATAGCATAAATTACATGAAGAAAATAAATAAAATTTATGCTCTCTATAAATAATTAGATGTTTTAGAATATTTATTCATGTAATTTATGAATAATATATTAAGGCATAATGATATTTGTTTTGTTTCTTGAAGAAGATTATAGCCAAGAACAAGAAAATATGTTTCAATGTAAAGTATTTAGTTCAGCATTAGCATCATTACGGCTCTATCGACTGGCAGTGGAAATATTTTATAAAATGTATATGAGTGCAGAATTATTAAAAATTTGTATGTTGGGGACAGGTGCAGCAGCCGCTGCGAAGCAGCGTAGGCACCTGGGTCAGATTCGCGAGCACCCTTATCAAAGGGCTGGCGCTCTCTCGTGAATACACTGAGCAGAGTCGCGATTACCGCGGAAAGGTTAGTTTTGCATAAGCCTATACATTATCTTATATTTTATAATAATATTTTTGTCATTCTCGCTTACCAATGTATGAGAAATTTGTTGACTTTATTTCTGGAAATAGTTCTTTTCAATGATCAATTCTTTGTTCTTCTTTCCAAAAATAAAGTTTAACTTATTGTGTACCTGTTTCTATTGATTATTTACTATTTAAATTAATCGATAGCTTTGTCTTTGTGGTTTTGATAACGATAATAATCGCGTGACAACAGTATTACATTAAATTATAAACCAGAAATATTTCGTTTCATTGCTCGCGATTTAGCTGGTCTATTGGTTCTTCTTAATGATTGAGTTTTATTGTCAGATAATAAGTATAATCCATTGAGAAGACTCAGTAGGAATATTATCAAGTCATACATTGGGAAAGCAACAGGAGAAAATGTATATTCAATTGACGTAGAAAAAAGTACCACTTGATGTTGTCCTGATTGAATTCAGGACTTATTTTTTTCATTTGGCGCAACTCCCCGCCCCTAGGTCTTAGCAATAAATTATTTGATTAGAATGTATGAGAAGAGGTCACTAAGTTAATTTTTGTCAACGTGTGCCACTGTAAGAAATCAAATGAGATAAATTAAAAAAATTATTATTCTATTGAACATGGGGATTAAGTAGCGGTGTGGGTGCGCACCTCCCCCATCACATGAAGATACAAAAATAAAACACTGCCCGTTATTGTATGAAGATTTTTTAATCAAAGAATTATTTATTATAAAGTTAGAGGTGTTGATGAAACTTATTGAGGGCAGTGTGTTGGCATAATAGCAAGAAAAATATAGACAAATATTTTTGGTGCTTATTATAATGATTACAAATAAAGATATAAATATAATTATAAATATTATATATTTATTAAGATTTAAATAGTTGATTTTCCAGGACATCATACATATTTTTGCATTTTGTTAAATATTTTTGTCTATTTTATTTCAACTTATCTTCTTTATTTTTGGCAACTTGTGCCTGTGGAACACTTATTGCCCTTCCATTTTATATATATATATATATAGATAAATATATATGCATACGCAACTATATGTATATATATATATATATTATCATTATTATATTATTATATTTAAATAAATATTTATATGAAAGAATAAATAAAGAACAGATTTTTTTTGCCATTAGTAAAATTTACAGGGATGGTTACGTGATGTGACGCGAAGGTTTTCTTTCAATATTCAACCAATCAATCTTCACTCAATGAATTAACAAAAAAAAATTTCTAAATAATTTAAACTTCTTGTAAAAAAAAATCAAAACCTTTCTCGAATATTAAATTAAAATAATATTTCCAATCTTTCAATGTTGATGCGAAAACTAATTCATTTAATAATTAATCATAAATTAACGATATTGATAAAATATAACTGCAAAAAAGCTGATGTCCTATCCTTTTACATATTATCACTAACATTTAACTTAATGTTAAATCATTTATTAAACATCACGAATATCCTTATACCATAGATTTAAATGTTCATCCATAATCACATAAATAATTTACTGCACAAAAAGAGCACCATCTTTTTTTATAAAACTAACAAAAATGCTCCACATGGCCAAGTTGACACTAACTTTTATTAAACACAACATAGTAATTGTTATAAAGTCATACTTATACTTTAAATTAATAATAATAATTAATAAGTATTTATATTGATTTATAATATTTTAAAAATGCTTCTAAAATGCCTGGAACTTTATAATAAATCTGTCCTTACATGACACGTGCCGTAACTCATTCGCTTGCTGATGAAAGATTAGTAATTAATTTAATTTTTTCAATTAATTGAATAATTTCTAATAACTTTATTATAATAATAATAATAGTATTATTAATATTTAGTAAATGTTCAGGAAATAATTAATGTACAAAAATAACCAAAATAAGTACCTTTTCTCATGTTTTGTTAATTAAATTATTAATTCTCTCAATATTACTGTCACTCACTTAGCTCTGCTATGTTGGTGGCAGGTGCACACCCAACTGCCTTTAAAATCAGTGGATAATTCGGCGTAACTTAGCACCAATAATAATAACTTTTAAAATAACTGAATAATTTTTAATCCAATAAATCAATCAAAGAGGTATCATTGCCTTGTGTTCATAAATAATATTATTACAATATCAAAAATGATTTTATTTACATGCATTCAATAATGGACTGGATGCAATTCATTAAATATTAAAAATTTAAAAAAATTTTATTCTATTTTAATTTCTAAAATGTCATCAATTAATTTGTCAATGAATTTATTTTTTAAACAAAATCTCAATTATTCATTAATATATTTAACTAACTTTACGCCTAGATTATTCTTTAGTCTCTTTGCCTGTCCTATGCGCGGGGAGGGTACACGAGCCATAATCAAATTTTTACTGTATTTTATTAATTTGTGTTAGTGATATATCCTGCTAAACACAAATAACAATGATATTCAGGTCTATATTAATAATAATAACATGAAAAAAAAATTTATCATTATACATCAATCAGTTTTGATAGAATTTTTTTACTTTTTTTGTTCATATAATTAACATATCATTATAAATTATAAACAATTGCTTCACACTAATAATTTCTTGTTTATATGGTGTAAAGCAATGCTGATAAGCTATTAGAACAAATGATAACTGTAATAATAATTTTATAATAACGTTGTTCAAAAATTCATATAATCAAATTACTAACAATACTGTTTTTCTTTTTTTTTCTTTCTTGTTAACCCTGGTTGTCCATGGCCTGTAGGCTTGGAGTGCTAACAATGGAATCCACTCGCCCCGTGCTAACACCTGGACTCTGGACACAGCATCCGCGTATGATTGGTTCGCCACCCAGCTGAGAGCCTTCGCCGTCCACGCGTCACCAGCCCTCTTCGTCAAGCTTATCCATCCTGTCTTCCTAAGAAACAAACATTTTCAAAATGAATATACCTTTCAGAAAACAACAAAGATTGTATTTTTAACACACATCTGACAATCTTTTATGCACATATTTATCATATAATAGTATTTTTATTGCAAATTATATTTCACATGAGGGTCTTTTTGCTCAGCCAATTACTTGTTGATCATCAAAATCATCAAAGATTCTTCATGGTCGATGTACAATTACCAATGCGATGTTTCAATTCAGAGTACTTATCATAATATGGCAGCAAGTTAATAATGATAATAATAATGTTAATAATAATATTCATAATAATCATAATAATTAAGTAATAACAATAATAATAATTATTATTATTATAATTAAAATAATACAAATAACCAATCCATCCAGAAGAAGTGCAACTTTTTTGTCAAGCATTCATAGGATCGCTGACTGTTGGAAAGCAATTGTGTGTCATCTGTCTTTGTGGATAAGCTATTCAACGAATTGGGTGTTTAGCTCTAATACATAATTTAATTATAAATAAATAAGATATGTAGACATTTCGCAAATTATTGTGCATGTTTATTATTAATATTAGGTAATAGTAAAAAAAAAAACAAAGAAAAAGTAGAGACACATTTCTATATGAGAAAATACAAATTTTATAATTTTGTAAATTAAAACATGATAAATTTGTTTATTAATTGAGAAAATCAGCAATCTTTTGGCTGAGATAAAAGTGCAATACATTGTTTAAACATGATGAAGAGAAGAGTTAGATTGTTTTGCAAAATAAATTAATTTTTGTTCAATGGTTATTCACTACAGTTGCTAGTTTATTTTATTCAAATGAATTATATTATTGATGAATAGAATAAGCGGATTATTTAATTAAAAATTGACACTTTTTTTCTGATTTATATTTCACACCGTTAGCGAGAGGAAGGAATCAGATAAAGAATCAATATATTACTATTATTAATAGAAAAATTATCTAATTTTGAAAAATAAATTTCAAAAAATATTGTTTTAATGACACTTAGAGTTTGAAATTAATTTATCAAATTGATAAATGTTTATTATATATAATATGTTCACGAATGTAAGATTTACTTAATGGTGATTAACGATAACGAAATGATCTTTACTAATATGAATTATGATTGATGAAATGAAAAAAAAAAATTATGAAACATCAACATCGTTACTTTTAGATCTGCCATATACATTACTTTAGAAACTTTATTATTTATAATTAATGTGTTAATTTTCGAAAAATAATTATCATATCAAAATACAAAAAAATTCTAAGCCCATTTATTATTCAAAAAAGTAAATAAGTGCCTTTGGTAATGTTATATAGAAACTTGTCTTCAATGTATATATATAACATATACTTATAAATATGTCAAAATATACATGAACGATAACGATTATAAATTTATTAAGTGATCTGCAATCTACTTAAAATTATTTTTTTGAGTAATAGATATTATATTACTATTATATGTTATTACTATTATCATAAAGAATAATTATTCTAGAGATAAATTTATCAAAGAATGAAAAAGTATATAATAGAACATAAAAATATAACATGTAGATATTACGGTTTAACAACTTTAATATCTCAATGTTTTATTGTTAATTAATGAATAGTAAAAGAAATTTAATTTAAATATAAAAAAAAAAACTATATAAATGATAATAAATTTGATTATTGTCCTTGATCATTCTTGACTGACGTTTTGTAATCAAAAAATTAACTTTTAAAAAAAAAGTTATTTTATAATTTGTGAATGAATTAATTTCACCTATAATATTTTGTAAGAATGATGACTGATGCACAAAGTTGAATGTAACGATTAATGGTGAGAATGATTAAGGACCTAATTTATATAACGTTGATATTTATAAAGAATAATTTGACGATAAATAAATAAATATATTTAATGGGCAATTTCATTAGAGATTCTAATACATCTATTAACGTTTAATATTAATAGTCGTTTATCCTTTTATTTTTTAGTTGTCTTACAATAATTATTTTATCAAAATGTGAGCACGTACATTGAAAATCGTGAAGGATATATTGTGGCAATATTATTCATTTTTGTAAAATAAGAATTAATTAAACTACGAATATAATTTTTGATTTTATATGATACTTTACAAAAGATCTGAGTTTAAGATAAATTATACAATAATAATAATTATTATATAGCTAAGAATTATGGAAATTTGACAACATAATAGAAATGATTTATAAAAATGCAACGAGCATGGTGAATAAAAAATACATACATGTATATTATTTTGAGTGAATTATTAGAGTTATGTATAAATCATACGTAAGAATTATTAATATGATTTTAAAAAATAACTTTATAGACAATTAAATAGCATAATATATATATAAAGAGATATATATTATTAATTGTTATACATATTTCCAAGTTTTGATGAAAATTTCTAATAAAACTAAATACCAGGTATTTTTCAAAATATAGTATCTCAGCAATAAATAAAGTAGAGCTTTATTATCACCAAAAAGAATTAACTTTTTGTTTATATAATACCCATAAAATTTCTCTACAGTGCTTCGTATCACTATAACTATGTTCATAATTCATAATGGTATAGAATTAACTAAAAATATATGTTGGATTTACTATAAATAAAATAATAGATTTCAAAGAAATTGTACGTAAATTGAATAATAGTTATACTAAAAAAATATAAAACATACTCATCGTTAGATAAAATAAATGGTTGTTATGTATTTGAGACATTTAATTATTATTTTATAAAAAATTTAAAGATTATAGAATTCACTAAAATAAATAAAAATTTAAAAATACTCAATTTTTGTTTATTCTGGATTCAGATATGAAATATTTCCCTTGTAAAAACGGAATAATTTTACGGAGTGAATATTTTAAATGGAAGAGATATAAGTAAGGTCAGTGACATCAAACAACCTTGAATTATGTAGTTTAACAATGTCAATTATTATTCAATAGGTATAAAAAAAAATAAATACTTAAATTTAAAAAATATTCATTTATTACATAATTTTCTTAATTAATAATTACAGCAACAGTGTGTAAAAATAAGCATGGTATAGGTTATGCATTAAAGTTAGAAAAAACACGAACTTTGATATGCATTAATTTTGCACCACGTCTTAAATTGTTGACTTGGGCTGAATCCTGAAATAGATTATTTGGAATATCGAGAATAAAAGGCATTCCAAAAAGGTTGATAGAAGTAGATGTTGAAAAGCTCGCTTGATACGAAAGAGCATTTACTATATGTATATTACACTATAAAACAAACATGGCGCAAATGCATATACTATATACAATTTGAGAAATTTTCAGAATCATTTTCGACCATCTCTTACACCCGATGTTTTCCAAGTAGACCATCTCGAATTCTTTATAGATTTGTTGGAAAAAATCAAATAATCGCGAGTGAACAGCAGATGGTATTGCACTATCCTCAAGATCTGATCAGAAGCTCATATAGTGTAAAGCCATTGATTGAAGTGGCGTTGAGCCACTTTGGCTTAATTGTGATTGAAGTTCGGTATCCGTACTGCTTTGTACTCTAGGTATTGATATACGTTTCACTTTCGTGGTAGATTTGGTGCCGGTGGACGTTGGTGGTTCGCCAGGCATTGTGCATTCAAAGTGCTTCACTACAATGGTTATATTCAAACATTTACATGTGCTAACTTTTTATCCATGCATGTGTGCAACAAAAATTAGTATTAAAGTCATTTATTTGCAATAATTATTGTGTCTAGAACCTTTAAATAAAAAAGTGAACAAAGATTCTTCAATTTTAAAATAATTTTATTCCAATATTAATAATACACATTATAAATAATACAGGAATCTTGAAAAACCTTAATTATCCTTATGTTAATAGTTAAAATTCTCGAACAATATAAATTTGTATATGCACACTGGAAAGTTTTTCTTTTTTCTCCCAAATCAAGGGAAAAGAAATCGGCAAATCGTCATATCGGCCACGTTCCACAATAAAAAGTCCAATCGGAGCTACAGATGCGGTGGATATCTCCATGGAAATTTGATTTGTTTTCACACTTTTCACCTGACAAGCATCTTCTGAGATGCCAAAATCTCGAATCGGTTCTATGATAGGGGTAAATAGCAGATATCTTAGAAAGTTTTAAAACATAATTCAAGTTGATAACAAAAATAACTGGTAGTAATAAATGTAATTTTAACACCAAATGATCATGGAAATCCACGCAAAATTCAAAGTGCTGTTGAAACATCATTAAAAGCTTTGGGAACGTCGTGCATTGATTTATATTTAATTCATTGGCCAGGAGCATCAGGGATAGATCATTAGGTAGAATGCCATCCACAATACAGACAAGAAGATTTATTAAAAAATTAAATAATAGACCAATAAAACTTAATATAAAATGTCAACTTTTGGAGATAAAATTGCTAAATTGTGCTTTGATAAATATTTATCATTAAAAAAGACGGGAAAACCGCAAGTCAATGAATGGACAGTTTTAGCTGGTATCGTTTTAAAAAAAGACAAAGATGACTTATTAGTAGTATCGTTGGCGACTGGAACTAAATGTTTAGGAGCTAATGATTTAATGAATACTGATTTATATAAATTAGGTTCACGATTGAGTGACTCCCATGCAGAAGTACTGGCAAGACGAGCCTTAATTAGATATTTGTACGATCAAATAGACCAATTACTCTCTTCAGCAAGCAGCGATGTGTTCGTTTTAAATGAGAATAAAATAATTGAATTCAAAAATAATATCTCTTTTCATTTTTTCTGTAGTCAAAGTCCTTGTGGAGATTGTTCTATTATTCCTAAAAATAACTTTAACACTAGTGGTAAAGATTTTTTGCCTTTAAAAAAAATTAAACTAGACAATGAAATTAATGTTGATAATAAAAACTACGAAACTAATGAAAGTAATCTGAATAAAACTGGAATAAATACTTTAGTGTTTGAAGATATTTATAGAACAGGAGCTAAATGTCTTGAAACTGAAGTAAAACAAGATCTTCATCTCCCTGGGATTAATTACCATGTAACAGGACCTTTGCGCATAAAACCTGGTAGAGGAGATCCGACTTTGAGTTTATCTTGTTCAGATAAATTAGCCAAGTAAATTTGATATCATTCTAAATTTATTGTTAAATTATTATTTAGCACAACTGGCGAGATATAAATCTTTTGACATTGCAGATGGAATTTCCTAGGAATTCAAGGTGCACTGTTATCGTTATTAATACCTACAATAAAATTAGAAACAGTTGTCATTGGAAGTGGGTGTCCTTTTTCTCTAGACGCTATCGAACGAGGTCTTTGTCGGAGATTTAATAAAAAAGATTTTTTACCAAAGATTTTGCAAAGTTCTCTATCATTTGTTGATCAAAAAAATCAAGATAAAATTAATCCATGTCCATCAAGTATTGTGTGGTGTGCAGTAAAAAATCGGTACTATATTTAAAGTTAGATATGTATGAGTTTAAATAAAAATAAATTTTCTCACAATAATAATTCTATTGATACAGACCTACTGAAGTAGTCGTTGAAGGTAGAAAACAAGGAGCAACAAAGAATAAGAAGGGAAGTAATTTGTTAATAACTAGAAGAGAATTTCTTAGAAGTTTTGTACGAATTATTGATAAACATCCAAACTTTAAACATTTACCATCACATCCAAAGAAAATGAATTATTATCTTTGTAAACAGTGGTCTACTGATTACCAAAAATCATGGAGCTGTTTAAAATCTACCATATTTAAATCCTGGACTAAAAAGCCAGAAACTTTACAATATTTTTCATTGTGATAAGTTAAAATATGTACTTTAAGAGAGAAAGGGCTTAAAATGTAAAAAATTATTTTAATAATAAATTTATGTACATTAAATATTACAACACTTTTTTGCTTATATTACTATATCCTATACCTATACAAGTCATAAGAACTTGATCCAATATTACTTCATCATTCTCATCTTTTGCTGCTTCTAATTTGAAAACGATTCCGAAGAAATCTTTCAAATCTCGCAAGAATTGAATTCTATATAAAAATTAAGCAGATCAAATTAGATATTTACATAAATTATGTTTCTTTTCTGATTAATGTTATTAAATTACTTACGTTGCTTGTGTTAAAGGACCAACAAGAACTTTGGAAACATCTTTTTTCCCTAGAGCCATAAATAATGCAGTCATGCTTTGAAAAGCAGAATCAATACAGCCATTTCTAAAATAATTTTTTTGATAAATAGTTCATTCAAGTCAATTATGTTTTCTTGTCTTATAACTCAAGTATTTTTTACCTGTGTATCTCATCTAGAAGCATCATTGCAGCTTGTTGACCGAGATCTTCGGGATTAAATGGTAACGATGATCCAGATTTCATTTCTGAAGTAAATGCTTCACTACTAAAAAATACTCCAGTCGTTGTTTCTGCTACAAGACTGATTCCGAAACCTTGAAACCAATGGTAACAAAATTAGAAAAGGCTTCTTGTGAACTCTTCTCATACAAAAGTTAATGATACAATTTATTTTTATATTTCCGTTATAAAAATAATATAGCAGTCAAACCTGGAGATTTTCCAGAATTTCCTTTACGACAATGATCTGTATGAATATACACATCAGGCAAAAATTTTAACAATACTCCTTTTGATGATTCTACTAAACGATTAGCTATAGCTGGTGAAACCCTTAAACTACACGAAACTCCTCTTACTCTTTTAACCATTCCACTATTTTGTAACTGAAAAAAAAATCAAAATATATAAGTAAATAAGGTTTTCTGATATATATTTTAATGTTTAATAAATGAATATAAATCTTACTTGAATACTTTTGACATTACGATTAACAGGACATTTAAAATTTATTTCACCACCACCTAGAGGTGCAGCTCCTCTTTTATGTATAGTAAGCGCTACATCACAATCCCCAATGATAAATCTTTTAAGAACGGGTATACCTGCTGCTTTTATTGTATCGACAGATGGATCTTGAAAAAAATTAGCAATGATTAATTTTAAAGTTTTCTACAAATATAATTGATTAAATTTATAATCATGAATAAATAATTAAAAAATGGAAACAAGTTTATTTAATACTCACCAAGATTATTATTTGTAACACCTTTTAGTTTAATATCAACAGGTATTTTACAGAAAGGTGCAAGCATCATAACTGCTTCAAGATAGTATCCAATTCCTCTTTGTGGATTACAGTCATGTTCTATTTCTCCACCTACTAACAATCCTGGTGAATAAATAAGACTAGTTCCCGTTTCATTTAATTCAACTCGGGATCCATTGGTCATCCGATCTAATAATCGAATTAAACTTACTTCGTATTCTGAAAACATCAATAATAAATTAAATAATCATTCTTATGACTAAAATGACATATAAACAAATAAATAATGCATAACAAGTGTTTACGAACCTCTTAAACCAGGATCATCATGATTTAACCTTATATCAATAACTTTCAAAGGTTTCCCAGATAATGTAGATAATAATAAACGATACTTTAAGTTATTACAACCTTGGTAAGTAAGAATATTTTTTGGAATTGGCATTGTTAAAAAATTTAGTTATCGTTTACAATATAAATATTATGAACACATGGGTAACTTCTTATAGTACAAATAATAAGTTTTGATGTATGACTTTAAATGACTGAAAATATAGAAATGAACCATAAAATCATGAAAAATAATAACAATAATAATTAATTTTAATTAATAAATGTAATCACTTTAGTTTTTATTTGTTTTTACGTAAAAATACAAGAACTATACCTCCTTTCCTCCTATTATGAAAGAGACATGAGCCACCATATTGATTGGAGAGACGCCATATTGGCGACCATGTTGATAATTTGAGTGATTTGATTGGCTTTTGATCACATGATTTTTATTTTGAAAAATGTAAAATGAAACAAAAGAGCATTTTTTTTGAATTGGCTTGTTCTTTATGTCACATAAAAATTGAATTCTACATCGTATAAATTTTTTTATATATTAAAATTTTATTATCAATAATGTTAATATTACAATGCTTTAATTGGTAATATTACCAATTTAACTAGAATAGTATAATAGTCTTTTAAAGACTAAATAGAAATTTTAAATGCACAAAATATTCATCATTATTGATTGAAATATTAAAATCTTAGAATAAAACATGTTCAATTGATAACATTATAATTTCAGTTTCTTTTTTTTGCAACTTATAAATATATCGCACTTGTATCTTTAGCTTAGGGAGATATCAAACTAGTTTCACTCGTATCTAAAATTAACATATCATCATCACTTTTTTCTTCATTCTTTTTAATTATACTGTCACTATCGTTATCATCATCAACATCATCGACAAATTGAGGTCCAGTCGATTTGTACTGGAAAGCTGACTGTGTTAAATCAACTTCCACAGGGAATAGGGTCACTGCCGACAACATATCGCGTGTACTTGCATAGTACGTAGCAAGACCAGATGCAAACTTTTGGAATTGCCATACAATATCTTGAACGTGTTTATTATCAAGCAGTTCTAACTTTACTAAAACATCTGATCTAAGTTTTGCGAATTTAAGTCTTGCTTGTTGTCTACATCTTAATATTAATCTGTACTCATAATTTCCAGTTTCAACTCGATACAAAGGCTCCTGAAGAGCAACATAACTCTGCTCTTCATCATCCAATTCTTTTACTTTCAAACAGTATGATAAATATTCAAACTTTGCATCAGCATATTTGCTAATAGTTAAACGGGTGTCTGGAATAGCTTTATGGAGATAAGTTCCTAGATCATTTAAAATTGGCTTCAATGCTTTTAACATTGTAACTCCAAATTTTTCCATTTGTCGGTGTTGCTCTCCAAATTGTCTAAATGCTTCACTTGCTCGAGGTTGAGGTTCTCGAACTCCTATGGCTGCAAAAGCATCTCCAAATACTAGAAACAAAAATAAGTTTACATCGTATATCTTTATTAGATAAATAAATTATTGAGAGTAAATATTACCTTTATAAATTTGGGTGAGATCAAAAAATGCATATAACATGGACTTGGCATGAGCAACGAGATTTCTGTATAAATTTTCAGTGTATTGTAATGTCATAAGTCTTTGTACTAAAGCATCGTTGCAGAGAATAGCACGAGACAGCCCAAGTGCATCAGCTGTCGCGCTTCCAATACTTTCAACTAATCGATGTTTGACCTGTTGTGTTATAAAAAAAATCAAAAGATTATTTTAATTAAATTATTAATTGATTTATAATTACCATAATTATGCCTTACTTTTTTAAGTGCAATGTCTAGAGTACGTCCTTGACGAGGATCAGCATGAAGTTTATTATAATTAATGCTAACTTGATGGTCACATGCTTGAATCATTTTAGCAACTTCTACTTTCGTTTTTCCTTTGACTGACGCTCCATTGATAGCACATAATTCGTCGCCTGCTTGTAAAGTACCTTCTAAGGCAGCAGGAGTGTTATCGAATACTTGGACGATATATAAACAAGGACAGTATGGTGCTCCTCCGCCAATACTGATACCTATTAAGTTACTACTATCTTTCTGGATAACAACGTTTCCGGATGTTATTGTCATACCCCTGTGGAAAATTGATATGATTCTTTCATGTGAATTTTTCATTTTTTTGTTTTAAAATTATTTACGTTAAATTTTTTTCAAGTTATATTATTAATATTTAATAATATGTAACAATATTTAAAAAATTTAAAGCTAATGTAATGAAGCAATTGCACAGAAAAAAATGAACGAGTGAAATATAAACATCATGAATGAATGTGTAAGTGTAATAAAATCTTTTTAAAAACATGCCGAAGTAACTTTGAAATACAACATACAATAAATTCAAAATAAAGCAATAATTATTAGATAAAATTCATTATATAAGACATTTATTATTGTAATAAAAAATTCCATTACACGTCCCTCATGACTTACATCTGCTGAATCGATAGGTGTGCTTGAGCAGCAGATTGTTCCAGTCCTGTGAGCATTACATCTGGACTAAATTTCCAAAGCAGCGAATAATAAAGCCAAAAACCATTCTTATATTTACGTAAAAATTAAATTATAATAATAAAATAATTATATATGTATAGATATAAATAAAATTTGAAAAAATCAACAGCATACATGCGGTTTTCCATCATAGCCATGTGATTTGATTCAAAATAACTTGCTGGTAAAGTAATCAAATGATCAGCAATTGTTTGTTGATTCGTTTGGTTATTATTTATGAATGAATTCGTGTCAGAAGACTGAGATGATGGTTCATTTAAACTGCTCCATTGAATCACAACGATAATGCATGCATAATAAAAAACAAATAATAACAAGGCACATTTCACATTATAGCACAAAAAATAAAATTAACTATTGTAGTTGGGACAAACCAACATTTTATCCTCTTCGAAGAAAAAATCATCATCGAATTCCATTTTGTATTTGTTTATAAATTCGGAGTTTAACTATTTAACTTTTATCAAAAATAATTTTCCCTATTGAAGGCTAAATTATTTATAATTAATAAAAAACTATTTAGAATTAACAAAAACACTGACTAGAAAAAACATCATGTTACGTTAATTCAAATCAATAATAGAAAGAAGAAGAGAATAATCAAATTTAGGGGCTGATATCAATAGACAGTCAAGGGAAAATCTGCCCCCTTCCATGCCACCATTTTTTTTCAACGACAAATGCCATTGGTAGTAAAAATCAACATTACAATTTTGATAATACCGACTGAAGATAATATCAATCAATTTTCAGCCAACGCTATTTTAGTTCTTTTACCTAATTTTCGATTATTTGGCGCTACTTTCCGTCTTGATAACCTCTCACGGTTTTTCTTGATACCAACTTTATAACTCGAACACTCCAAAATTTTAAAAGCAACAATCATATGACGGTATGTAGATCAAAGTGTACATATGTGTTGAAAAGAGATAAACAGTTGTGGCAAGAAAGAGACACAAGGTATTTAAATGGCTATGATTGGAGCGTCAGTTTAGCTAAAATTACGATAGAGACAAGTATCTATACTAATCACACTCGTAGCAAGTTTCAGAACACTTCGAAGATCAGTGAATAAAATACTACATGCATGTTTGTGCTACGAACTAGTGCAGTACTCTTTCATTCTTATTAAAACATGCAGTATTACATATATATTAATTCGTTATATTGACAAAATCTAAAAAAAGCGTGTACAGTCATTGAATACCAACGCAATTGTTGTGTATTTTTAAAATAATATTAATTGTAAATAGAGCAGATAATAAATTCAACAGAAACAATGTCTGCTTGTACAAGAACTCAAAATTCGGAGCAACATACAAATGGGGAAGGAAATTTGGCTTCACCAAGAAAAAAACAACGAACATCAACATTTGGTCAATTCGCAAAAGTTACAGTTGTCCTTGGTGCTCAATGGGGCGACGAGGGTAAAGGAAAAGTCGTCGATATGCTTGCTGCTGATGCTGATATTGTTTGCCGGTGTCAGGTAATAAATTGCTTATCAAATATGATCCATACTTATAGCTCAACAAAACATCAACGATTTTATTTCACTGATGAATAGATTGATAAAATATTTATTCCATGATATGAGTCTTTTTGTTGTTTATATTCATTTCATAAGTTCTCAAATATATGTAAATAAGTCTAATAAGAGAGAAAGCCTTAAAGCTTCTTATCAAAATGACTTTTTACATTGACATAAATTTAGAGATATTGATCAGTAATGTAAAAATACAAGTGGTTGTTAAACATGTCTCAAGGTCTGGATAAGATTAATAATAATTCTTTACTCATTGTTTTCTTAATGACATAAACATTTTCAAAATTAATTCTTGCAAGTTGACAATCACATCAACTCAAAATCATTATTTGTGATTGTTGTGGATAAAAATCACTCTGATATATATGAACACAATCTTCTTTAGTAACTGGCATTTTGATGTTATACTTACAAGGATTTTTTTAGTTACTAATATACTTTGCTATGTTTGCGAAGTGATTCAGAGACCTGTTTTCATGTATATTTGAAAATACAAGAGTCTTTACTCATTTTAGTATGGATATTAGTTGTTTCAAAATATTCTTATACGAGTCATTTTGATTTTTTTAATGAAATTTTTATTATCATAATATCTTTGACATTTATCTGCTTCCTAGATGTGTTCCTGTTGAAACAATGCTCAGAGCTATACTTTCATTTCTATGATATTATTTAACAATCACTTATCAACGGAATGACAGTACGTGTTGAAATAGATAGGCATTAATTAATAAACTAAATGCTTTTTGGTATTTCATCTTTAATTTGTCAAATTTATATCATTGAGCATGAATGAATTTTTATCAGTTCTCAGTAGTTTTTTATTAAAAGATTGAAAATAATTGAGTTGCATAATGTTTAATATATTCATTTTTTCATGATGACACATTATGTAATCGTCTCAAATGATTTATTCTTTTAAATTTTCATTCGTCTCATCTTGCTTGAAGATTTTTTGTTTTTGGAAATAATACTTTTTTATATTTCATTTTAATGAAGAAAATACAATAACATATATTCTTAAATACATACATACATTGCCAGAACAATCTGTTTGAAGAATTTAATTGTTTACATTATATAAATTAAAATTGGTGATATTTGAAAATTTTTTTCTTTATTGTTTAATATTTAATTCTAACAACTTCTAGTTGAATGTTTATGTTTTAACTTTTAATTAGAATAAAATTCAATATTAGATTATCATAAAAAATATGTAAATTTATCTTAAAATCATTTTATCTTTGCAATTATAGTCATTTATATTTATTAGATGAAATAAATTGATATATTAATTGATGACTCGAAGCAAAATAAATGAAAAAATCGAATTTTTTTTAGATTTCAAGATTAATGCATAACATTAGAGTAAAAATTTTTTATAAAAGTTCGAAGAAAAACAATTTTTGTGGTTTAAAATAACCAACTATAAGAAGTTTACCAAAGAAATTTAACAAAAAACAAACTGTCTTGATTTTTCTTTAAATCACAGATATTTTTGAGTCACCAAGTATTAGGATACTTTAAATAAAAGTTTTTACCAGTGTATGTATAAAAAGACAAAATATTTTCTTACAAACCAATCTTTTCCACTTTATCCATTAAAACTTATAAAAAATACGTGTTTCTGTTAAAATTCTTCTTCTCCATTAAAGTAGAGATGTATAAAAATAAATATTACTAAGTATAACATCAGTTAGAGATAATAGAATGCGTAACGTTCAAATATAGAGTTAACCAAAAAAACAAAAAAAGGTACAAGTTGATAGAAAGAATTTATTAACTTGTAAAACCTGTAAAGAATTATATTATTTCAGGGTGGAAATAATGCAGGTCACACAGTAGTAGTAGATGGTACTCAATTCTTCTTTCATCTTCTACCTAGTGGAATTATCAATCCCAGATGCAAATCCATTTTAGGTAATTAAATTACTTCAATAAAATTTAACTATACTTATTCTCACTTTCAAAAAATTTTTTATCAAAAATAAAAACAAGACAAAAATATATATTTCTCCAAAGTATATGAAGAAAAATGAAAATAATTTTTTTTTATTATAGTTATAATCAATATCGTTATTGTATTTTTACATTCAATTAATAGAAAATTATAAGAATAATGTTGAAATGATTATTTAAATTAGTATAGAAATTTTTATATTCTAATATAGATTATAGATAGTTACATAAATTTGCTAATCCCTTCAGACATAGATATTATTTTCAACTAAAATAAATGTTAATATATTTTTAATTATGGTGTGTAATGTTAGGTATAGTGTGATTGCTACTATAATTAGTAATAGAATAATTTAATTTAACAAACATAATTTAATAACCATTATGAGACTCACACACATGAAAGGATATTACATTTCAACCTTCTAAAGGAAGTATTATTATCAGAATCCATTCATAGCCCATCCTTTTTATGGATTCTTTCCTTTCATCCTTATAAATAAGTAAATCGAATCATACATTGCTTTTACTATTCTGAAACTTGATTAAATAAATTAAAAAATCAATGCTCCAACCTTCAGAGTCCTTGCGTTCCTATAGTTAAAACAAACAGTTGATAAATGAATCTACTTTTTACATAATTGCTGGAGATATTTATTCTAGCAGAAGACAGTTTAAGATGGTTTAAAGTAAACAAGATCATTATGGATTTGACAGTAATAAAATATTTATGCTTCATAAAATAATTTTGCTCACAATGACAAGTTATTCAAATGGAATGTAAGGACTCCGGAGGTTTGAGTAAAAGTAGAGCTTGTGAAAAAAAAAGATAAGGATTAAAATAAGTAAGAATAATATGCAGGATATGCGTATATTAAATAAATATATGAATATAGGAGAGAATTGAAATTTTTGTTTGTGGATATAATAATAGAATGAAGGTTTGAAGTTTAGTTTATTGAAAAAGTTGTAGTATATTTGGAAAATGTAAGAAATTTTGATTTATAATTCAAATTTTAAAATATTGATGAACACATTATTATTATGTAAATGTGCAGATTAATAGCATATCTATTTTAATCGATTATACCAATCCAGGGTAATAGGATGATTTATTTGCAAATTTATTATTGATTTTACTCAACTGATTTATCATATTTGTCGTCAAAATATTTTTGTAATAAAAAAGATATTTTATCTTTGAATAAATGATTGTGAAATAAATTTTTCTTTTATACAATAATAATCTTTTATATTTGAATTTATTTTTTAGGCAATGGCGTCGTTATACATTTACCTGGATTATTTGAAGAGTTGGAGCAGAATGAGGCTAAAGGTTTAAAGGATTGGGAAGATCGACTTATTATATCTGATAGAGCCCATTTGGTTTTCGATTTCCATCAAAAAGTTGATGGAATGCAGGAGCTTGAAAAAGGAACTCAGTCGTTGGGAACAACCAAAAAAGGAATTGGTCCAACTTACTCTAGTAAAGCTACTCGTAATGGTTTACGTATTGGTGAACTTCTTGGAGATTTCGACAAATTTTCGGAGAAATTTAATGCTCTTGTATCTTGTTATCAAAGAATGTTTCCATCATTGCACGTTGATGTTAAAGCTGAATTAGAGCGCTATAAAGGGTAATTATGCAGTATTTATTCTGTCATGATAATTGATTATTCTTGTGCAAATTAACATTTATAAGTAAGTTAGACTAAATAAAAAATAGCTAAAAATAAATTCTTAAGCTCATATGTGTATGCTGCAACAAGTTTTGTAATGTCTTATTTATATGATTACGTCTGCTTAAAGAATATATTTATTTTATTTATTGATATCATAAAAGTCATTATTTAAGACTTATTATATTCAAAAAGCAGAGTATCAAAAAATTTCATAAGGTTATTTATGTTTTGCTGAATGATATTTAATGAGTGTAATATTATTGCAGGTATGCGGAAAGAATTCGACCATTAGTAAAGGAAACAGTATACTATTTAAATTCTGCATTGAAAGCTGGTCAAAAAGTCTTGGTAGAAGGAGCAAATGCTGCAATGTTGGACATAGACTTTGGAACGTATCCATATGTAACAAGCTCGAATTGTAGTATCGGCGGTGTTTGCACTGGCCTTGGACTACCACCGTCCACAATTGGTGAAGTTATTGGTGTTGTAAAAGCTTACACAACGAGAGTTGGTGATGGACCTTTTCCAACAGAGTTAAGAGACTCAACCGGTGAATTACTTCAATCACGTGGCCATGAAGTTGGCGTTACCACGAATCGTAAAAGACGGTGTGGGTGGCTTGATTTGGCACTTTTGAAATTCACTGGCATGGTCAATGGGTGAGTTTTCGATAACAATTATTCTCATGCAATAAGTTAATTAATTTTTTTGTTTGTAAAATTTTATCATTAGTTATTAATTTTTAATCAAAAAAACTATCAATCAGTATTATAAGCTATTTAATATAATTAAAAACAACCCAGCAATTTAATTTTGCAAGCTATTTTAAAATATATTCTTAAAGATTATCTTTTTTTATGCTCGTTTTTAAAGATGTACGATCAAAGTTTACTAGACTCGTAATTCAACGGGTTTCTAAATAAAAAATAACTCATCAAACTATCTTTCATTTTTTTGTGATATTTCAATAACTTTAATACATTTTTCCAATTGCTAACAGATATACTTCAATTTGCTTAACGAAATTGGATATTCTCGATACGTTACCTGAAATAAAGATATGTATTGGATATCGCATCAATGGAAATAACATTGATTATTTCCCGAGTACTGTGTCCGAACTTTCTCGTGTAGAACCAATTTATGAAACATTTGAAGGATGGAATGTACCTACGGAAGGAGTACGTTCATTGGATAAATTACCTCTTAATGCTCGAAGATACGTTAAAACTATAGAAGACCATTTAGGTATTCCAGGTGAGTTTGAATTATCACTAATAATTATCAAATTTTAAATTATGTCATTTGATTGGTTAATTAATTTTTTTTTAGTTAAATGGATTGGTGTTGGAGCAGGTCGAGAAAGCATTATTACACTTTGACCATCCAATATTCTTAATCAATTTGTTCAATTTATTATGTTTAGCGTATTAAATTAATTAATAATGAAATCTGTATTAATGGTAATTTTGATTAATGAAATTGATAAACGCACAAGTTACTCTAAGTAGCTTTAAGAGTATGCGGTACAATTGTTATGGTTAATAAATCAATTGAATGTAATTCTTTCCTGTAATTATAACGTATCATTTATATTTATATTTTTCCATTTTTTAACAAAGTACAAAATCGGTTGTTAATTTTAATAATATTTTTAGACTCTTATGCTTTTCGCAAACTGTTCAATTTGATTTCTTTTCTATCTCTGGCTCGTCGATTTTGAAACCATATTTTTATCTGTGAATTGAATTTAGTATTGTATCAACGTTATATAGTTCGATCAACTATTTGATAGTGTTACTTACTCTGTTGTGAGGTAATCTTAAAATAGTAGCTAAATGATGAACGTCTTTCTTTGAAAGATAGGCATTGTTTCGATATTTCTCTTCAAGAACTTCAAGTTGAAATGAAGTAAAAGGAATTCTAGGATGTGTAGCAGGTTTTCTTTTACAAGCTCTGTTGTTGAATGTTCTTTTTGGTATTTTTGGAGGTTGATATCTAGTGCACTGAAGCCATGAAAAATCACTCCGAGACACTATTTTTCTTTTATCATGGAACAATTCTTCACATTGTTGTTTATTAATAGGTTGAATACGTTCATTTGATGAAGATGTGTAAACTTCACTATTAACTAAATTATTATAATTGCTTTGGTCAATACTTGAGTTATTATTATAATTAACACGTAGAAGTTTGTCTTGTATTAAATTCATTTTGATCAAATGAATACTCCATAGTGGAGGAGTAGATTCTGTTGTTTTATCAGCAAGAATATGTGCGATACTAAAATTGCTGGACTTTTTATTGAATTTATGTAGCTCGGACATTTTCGGAGGTACAACTGAATTATCGGTTTGTTGGCTGTTAGTTTTATATCTGCCGAGAAAGGACAGAACAGAAGAAGGGATAAAAAAGATAGTAGCCACCCTACTTACTTTTAATAGTCTACACCATCTATTTTGCAGGAAAATTAAACGCTTAGTTGCATTCTCGATGGCTATCAAATTGCACAAGTTCATGGGACATGTCACCGATTCTGACGAGCCCTTGTACCGGTTTATTGTTGTACATATTTTTATACTAAAGTATTATCTCTGTTGGGGTATCTACCCTAAAAACCTCTAATAACAACAATGTAATTGATACTACTGGCGGTTTCTTGGGAAGTGATCCTCTCTCGCTTACTTCAATAGACCAGATGTCTCAATGAACCAAGCGCATAACTCGAAAGCCACAGGGGTCAACTAATCTGGTAATACGCTAGGTAATATAACCACACGCAAATTGATATTGTGTTATTCTGGAGCGTAAGTCTTTTGTGGTAAAAGCATGCCTATAACTATAATTAAACTTTCATATCTCTTCAATACAGATTCATATAATTTCAGGATTAGATAATTAAGTTTGTATTAAATAACATTGTTTTAATAATAAATAATTAAATTTAATGTTTTTTGATAGCTTGGAGAAAATTAATTACATTTCATATAATATTTATAATGAAATGTAAAAATGATGTTCATGTGTGGTTATGGTTGAAATGATGGTTTGGAGACTATAGAAAATTATTTTTTAATCCACTATTTACATAATAAATATTAAATTATTGAAACTTTAGTATAATATAAATTAGTTTGCTTTCAGATCAATGCATTGTTATTTTCTGCTTTAATGCATTTGAGTACTAACAGAGTATGAATTCGTGTACAGTCGGGTACAATCGGGTGATGTCGGCTATATTAGAATTGAGCAGCTGAGTCAGATAACCAAAAAATGTATTGTGTTGTGAAATTTTCCAAATCAATTACAGAGCAGAAATTCTCATTGATATTACAATATTTTGATCAATATTGGATGTTTTTTTATTCTCAAACTCGTATTATGTGAAATTATAAAAGGATTTGAAGGTATAACCTAGATATATTCTTTCAATTATCTACACAAATATTTACCATTAACTTTTCTCATCATTTTGTGAAACTTATAAATTGAAAAGTTCACAAATACTATTTCCAGTAATTTTACTTTTACGATTGATTATTTTTTAGTAATTTAAACGACTATTCTAGATATGTCTCTCTAGAGTAATGTAGCAATTAATAAACCAATTCAGAAACAATTTAAATAAATACTACATTTAACGAACCTACTATTAATTTTGTTACCTGAAATTATCAAGAAAATGCTAGGTCATGTTTAATAATATTGACAAATAAATTTTTCATAAATTAAATGTCTCTTCAAGATTACATAATTTATAATACATTGAAGTCAATTTGAGAAGCTTTATTGTTTACTATCAATTCTACAGAATATTTAAACTCTTGTGTATTATCAATAATCACTAGTTAATTATTATTACTTGGTAAATTTAAAATGGAAATTCTGGATGATTTCTGATTCCTTTGAAAAAGTTGAAGTCACAAATACGAGCAGCAGTTCCTCGATCTAAACTTTCCAGTTCTTTAAGATCCTCTTTATCAAGTTCAAAGTCAAAAAGATTAATATTGTCTTGAATTCGTACTGGATTCGTACTTTTCGGAATAGCAACAATATTTTGTTGTATTAAAAATTTCAATGCTATTTGTGCTGATGTTTTCTGATGCTTTTTAGCAATATTAATCACTACAGAATTGTCCATGATACTAGGAATTTTCTCATCTTGTCCTAGCATTTTTACCAAACCTCTCGTGCCCAATGGTGAATAAGCAGTCACAGCAATATTATTTTTTCGACAAAATGAAACCTTGAAAGCAATTAAGTCAATATAAATATCTTGATAATTATTTATATCTTGTAATATGGAAATATAATTTTTATTTACCATTTCTTTTTGCTGGAAATAAACATGCAATTCAATTTGCAAATTAGAAACAGGTTGCTTAGCATGGCTCAGAACTCTAGTAATTTGCTTTTCATTAAAATTTGATAATCCAATGGCAAGTGTTTTACCAGCTGCTACTTGTTTTTCCATTTCTTGCCACATAGCAAGATGATCTGTGTTAGTATCAATTTTTATATTTCCTTCTTCATCCTTTGGATGTAAATCATCTCCAACTTCCTCAAATGAGAATGGGGTGTGAATTAAATATAAATCTAAATAAGAAAGTCGTAAAGCGTTCAAAGATTTATCGATCCACTTGCTGACTCCACCAGGACGATGTCCAGTTGGTGGTACCTGAAATAAAATTAAAAATTGGAGAATTAAAATAAAAATTAATTGAACCTTTTTAATAAACTTAAACTCACTTTCGTAACGATAAATAAATCCTCTCTCTTAATTTTTCCAGAGTGAATCCATCTTTCCAAAACTTCACCGATCACTTCTTCATTTTCATACACAGGTGCGGTGTCTATATGTCTGTATCCGGCTGCTAAAGCATTATCAAGAGCAGCAGTCAACTCTTCTTTAGTGGCCTAAATTTAAAAATCATTAAAAAAAAATTATTTAACATTCTGGAAGTAGGATAAAAATCAGAATCATTTGTAAAACTAAATTCTCTACTTACTTGCCATGTTCCAAATCCCAATATAGGCATATTACGTCCATTCGGTAATGTAATAGTTTTTGCAGTCATTTTTGTAATGCTCTATCGTGCAGTTGGAGTTGAAATGATTAAGAAGAAGTGAGCCAGAGTTGTACTTGAAGAATGTAACGGCAATTTTGTACCACTTTGATCCCCACCAAAGTATTATATTTCTGTTGAAGATAAGATCCTTTCTCTGGACAAATTTATGTGACCATGACAGAAAAAACTGTTTTTATTATTTCATGGTATGCGCCGATGACATTGGTGAAAAAATTAATTTAATATTAAATCAGTAAATAAATTAATTGCTGAAGAATTTATCGATTGTACTTCTATGATTATAAGTAATATCGTAAATACCTGAAAAATATCTTGCTTTATCTACTTCACGATTTTCTGTTAAAAAAAAATTAAATCATCTGTCAATACTTTTTTTTTTATTATCACCAAGTCCCCACAATAACAGTTACTGACATTATAGTCATTTGTGTACATAATGAGTTCATGTTAAGATTTATTACATGTTACTTTGTATGACTAGATTAAATGTTTCCAATGATTATTATTTTTGGATAAATTTGATCTTTATAGCATAACAATGATTTCTTCAATTTCATCATGTTTAATCAGTGCTGCATTTTTGTAGGATTCATTAATTATAAATAACATTATTTAATATGAATTGGCTGGTCTTGGAATATAATTAACGCTCAATATATCTAAATTATGTCAAGATGTATACCTGCATCAATTGTTCTCAGCAAGTTGAAGAACTTTACAGGCGTTATAGCCCTAGTGTTCTCAAAGTACTGAAGTGTGTAAGTTATCATCAGTTATTTACTAATATTTATTGATAATGAAATTATTCGAATGAATTTTAATTATCATACATCTTATTACTAGAGCAACTGTGGAAATTTAGCTGATAAATATATCGAGTATGATCCTGTGATAGTTCTTCTAGACTTGGTTCTTCTTGAAAAGCAAGCCTATCGACACTTGCTTTATAATAGCACTTTCAAATCATACTGGAAATTGATGGTAGTCTTACTTCTGAGTGAGTCATTCAGAGTATGGTCGAATTTTGGAAAGCATGAAGTTCTTGAGAAGATAGAAGATAAAATAGAATATAATAAAAATATTGGATTTGAGGGGGAGCAAAGTTTTTATATTCTTTTGGCCCACACTGGACTATCATTAGGTACATTTGTCCTTGCTGTAGCTGTTGGAACAGAACTACGTTGGCTTTCGATGGGCAAAAAGCCGAAAAAATATAAGGTTATCGATCTCTTCAGAGCATTAGTTGTTGGAGGAAGTGCTAAATTATTGGGATTACTCAGTCTGGTTTGGCGACATGTTGCTCAGGATCTCCATTATATTCTGATACATGGTTATACGATGCTGTGTCTACTCACAGCATATTCAGGTAAAAAAATAGAATTTAATTTAATTTTGTTTGATATTTATTATCGTTAAAAACAACATGAAATAGTAAATATAATAACAAATTAATTTTTATGGAGTTTGTTAATAATTTTATTAAATAGTTTGGTTAAAAATTTTAAATAAAATGTTTACATTTATTATTATATTTAAAGTCAATTGCCTAAATCCCATTACTGTTTCGTTTTTTTTTCTTTTATAAAAATTTATAGTTCCGTATTTCGTAACCGTATCATTGACATTAATCCTACTCCTTGAAAAAGTTATGTTTATCTAAAATTTCATTTAACGTTCTTTGTTTGGTTTTAACATTTAATAATATTATTTACGATATGATATAATTTTACTTCTAATTTTTTTTTTCAGTTGTTTGCGAGAGTGGAAGAATTGGATCTATTATTGGATTAGCTTTCGGATTAATAGCATACAACTACGTCTCTTCAAGTACTTTATGGTTTCCACCAGCAATGACGAATACTACACTTTTAGATAAAGAAATTTAATATTTTTTGAAAGATATCAGTTAGCTTGTATTTAAATTTCCTTGACAGGTAGGACACTCCAACCTATAACTAATCTATCAAAACCACAAGAAAATAGGTTGCATGGTGATCCAGCTTCTTCTGCCCAAGCTACTGAGCAAACCATTCTTCGATGACCCTGCCAAATTTGTCATGTACATATGTATATTTTTTAAATTATTAACATGATAAAAGTATTAATAAAAATGTCAATAATAAAAGAAAAAATAGTCCTTACCCGTCTACTAGTACGTGGTAGTCGTGCTAATCTTTGTCCACTGAGATCAAATAGACGTATTTGTCTATTATCATGAGGAATAGCAACGATACCGTTATTGGATACTGCTAATCGATTAGCGGCACTATCTCCTCGGATCGTAGCTAGTGGACTTCGTATATTTCGCAACTCCCAAACTTTCACACTTCGATCATCTGAGCCAGAAACAATTTTGTCTTCTCTCGTAAAAACAGCTGATGTAACAGCTCTGTTGAAAGAACATCAGTATTTTATGACTTTTCTCAATTTAAAGCAAGGAAAATAAAATAATAATAATGATTTTAAACATTAAATATAAAATCTAAATTTTAAAATTCTTACTCAGTGTGTCCTTGAAATACTGAAACAGAGTGAATAGGTTCTCTGAAATCCCACAAACGAAATGTACCATCGCGACTAGATGTAACACATAAGCGTTGAGCATGATGAGTAGAGACATGAGTTAGCTCTTGATCATGTCCACATAGAGTATGAATTATTTCGCCAGTTTCAGCATCATAAAGATTGGCCGTTCGATCCCATGAAGCTGTAACTAATTGTTCAGCTCCAGACAACCAATCTGCAGCCATTACAACACCAGTATGTCCTAGTAATTCACGAACTGGTGTTCTAAGTGTTGGAGGTTCTTCTTGATCATCGCCAAGATAAGAAGCATTAGTTGGCGTTCGATCAATAGCTGATAAATCTTCAGATGAAGATTGTCGTTTTGGTATATCCCAGTTAACAGCAGCCTGCCAAATATGAGCAGAACAGTCTCCACTTGCAGTTAATGCCAAATCTATTGTAGGATGAAAGCGCACTGAATTTACAGATCCATTATGACCGATATATTGAAGTAGACAACGTCCACTTTCGATTGCTATTACACGAGCTGTATGGTCTGCTGAAGCCGTAGCTATAATGGGTTGTCCTGGACGACCAACACTTACTTCCCATACTCCATCTTTATGTCCAATATACTGACGTTGCATACTGCAGTTCATGGTTGGATTCTTAAAACTTGAAACTATTTTACTTGTCTGAGCTTTAAGTTTGTGCGATGTCTTAACTTTCTGAGCAGTATTAATCACAGCTAAATAATAATAAATTAGATGTATTAAAATAATGAATTATTTATATGAAAATAATAAAATGAAATGGCTTACATTTTGCTTTGGAAGGATTCTTTGAATCGGAATAATCAGCCTGATCACCTGGAGGTAGACTGCGTTCACCTGATCCATAACATTCTCGTTCAAGTTTTTCGTTTAAAGCATCAATTTTCTCTTGTACTGCAATAAAAACTCGAGATCAATATGGAATTACAGAAGAATACAGAATCATTCTCGACCATCTCTTACACCCGATGTTTTCCAAGTAGACCATCTCGAATTCTTTATAGATTTGTTGGAAAAGATCAAATAATCGCGAGTGAACAGCAGATGGTATTGCACTATCCTCAAGATCTGATCGGAAGCTCATATAGTGTAAAGCCATTGATTGAAGTGGCGTTGAGCCACTTTGGCTTAATTGTGATTGAAGTTCGGTATCCGTACTGCTTTGTACTCTAGGTATTGATATACGTTTCACTTTCGTGGTAGACTTGGTGCCGGTGGACGTTGGTGGTTCGCCAGGCATTGTGCATTCAAAGTGCTTCACTACAATGGTTATATTCAAACATTTACATGTGCTAACTTTTTATCCATGCATGTGTGCAACAAAAATTAGTATTAAAGTCATTTATTTGCAATAATTATTGTGTCCATGCATTTTTATAACAAAAAACAAATTGACAAATTTTAAGTCAGAGACACCATTTGTTCACAAAAAATAATTATAGATGGACTGATTTCACTAACATTGTAAAGCTATCGTCAGACATGGCTCTTAAAATATTTACTCCTTAAGGTCACTTTCAAAAACCATACATGATCAAGAGTAATCTTCAAACTTCAGACTTGCTAACTCATGAGTACTTAACTAATGATTTATCAATAAATGAATGAATCTTTAACTAAGATATTTTTTGTGAAAATTATTGTTTTATTATCTCCTTTTTAGAGCCACTTTTGAAAGGTAAAATTGAAAGATAACAGATATTGATCTTCAAAAAAATAATTTATTATAAATTCAAAATCACCATACTATTTAATACAGATAGAAATTCTAATAATTGTGATAAATTGTATTATTCAATAACCATTCTTTGTCATACTCTATTTTATTAAACTACTCATGAATTCCGTGTCGTTTTGATTCGCCATTTAAATTGCATGAAGCGCACTCTAGTAGGATTCTAAAATTATGTAGATAATACATGAAAGTTATAGAATTAGAATGTATAAACTATAATAATTTAACTATTTTGAAACGGCATTAATAGCATGAAATTTCAATTATTTTGAAAATGTTTGACCTAATTAATGAGTAACAGTCACACCGAGTTTTTGGTTGTTATGTTAATTGCCATAAAACGTATACATATTTAGTACACTTAATTTTTTTTTCAACTAAGAAAAAAACCTAAGAAAATGATGAATTTCAAATATTGTTGATTCTTAAATTTGAATATTTGGCGTTAAATGATTCATTGTCATTATTTATACTTGGCGCACATTTTTGTACAGCCCAGGAGGAGGGAGCTATTTTTGATAAGATTAATTGTTTAGTCGATTAATTATCGACTAATCTTAAAATGGTCGACAAAGTTCTGATCAGCTGAGAGATGGTACGGTAGAAGGCCATAGAGATATTACAGTGAACATTGACATTACGCAAATGCTTCAAAAGCGTTTGTATTTGTATTGTTGGTGTGAGTTATTTTCACATGTGACTGTTTGCTTGTACACACTATACATACGTTTCGTGATGCATATCACGAAAATATTGGTGGTTTGTAATAAATACATATGAATTGTATATGTTTTCATCAGTTTCCATTATTAATCTGACATATTTACCAATTTTGAATACTTATTTTACATTCAGTTGTTCTTGTATATATGAAGATAAACATAATAAATTGAGTATTTGATTTATTGTGAATATTAGTGACAATGATACTTCGAAGGACAATAAAAAGAGACTTTTCAATGTAATTTTTTTTTTAATAAAAAATTGTTAAAAATCACTAATTGTTTTTTAGCCTGTACTTGTAAATAATCATCTGAAATGTTATTGATACTTGAATAGATTGGGAAAAACAACCGTTCATTAACTTTTCAATTAAATTAAAACAGTTTTTAACAAAGAATCAAAAGTTGATACAATGAGTGATGATGATAGAGATATTGATATCGAAAGTGATGTAAGTAAACTTATCTAAAAGTCTTTAGTACTTTTTAAAAGTATATTTAGTAAAGAAAAATTCATTAATGGTATTATTTCTTATCAATAATAGGAAGGCGACGATTCAGACTCTAGACAAAGACCAACGAATAATACTCAATATTATTCTCAGGTATGTGCAGTTTGATGGATGTTTCTTCATTCTTACCATTATTACAATTGATATTACATAAGTTTATTTATGTAAAATAAATATTACTTTAAAGCTAAAAAGTTTAAATGAAATTTTAAACAATACAGCAGAAGTATGTTTATTTTCAATAACAGGGTGTACATCTTTCACAGGCAGAAAAACGCGCCCATCACAATGCACTCGAAAGAAAGCGCCGTGATCACATAAAGGATAGTTTTTCGAGTCTACGCGACACAGTACCTGCTTTACAAGGAGAAAAAGTTGCGAGCAGAGCACAAATTTTAAAGAAAGCTGCCGAGTATATTCAGTTTATGAGACGTAAAAATGCTTCACATCAACAAGACATTGAAGACCTCAAACGACAAAATAGTTTATTAGAATCACAAAGTAGGGCATTAGAAATGATTCAATCAAATCTATAAAAGAAACAATATTAATATTAACTAAAATCAATCAATCTAGAAATTAAACTTTTTTTCAATTTTTGTTTTGCAGTTCGAACATTGGAAAAAGCTAAAATAACTGGAAATTTTGCAGCAGAATCGTGCGAAGTATCAAAAGCAGAATCTGTTAATATTGGTAATTATAATGATTCAGAATCAGAATCTTCAGATAGTGAAGCTAGCAGAGCTGTACGTCATCCAAAAAAATTAAAAATTGCTGCTAATCTTCATCATTGATTTTCGATAAAGTTACTCTTATAAAAATTATTTTGTATTAATTAATAATATAGAAATTACTATCAATCATATTAAGTACATAGAATATATCTTACTAATATTGGATTATAGATACATGAAATGGATGAAATCAATTAGCTTCATTTATATCGAAATAATTATTAATTGAATAAGAATTAATTTAATTATTTTTATGGCAATAATTACTATAAATAAATTTACATTTAAGCACCATACTATATTCTAATTTTAATATGGTTTATTCAAGATTTTAAGTATTCACATTTAATTTTTGATTATTAATTGTTTATATTCGTTTTCAAATATTGCCGTTCAGAATGAGTGTTATTGTATAAATAAATTTAATTAAATATAGTATAAAAGAGAGTTATTATTTAATTACTGAACCTTACTTTGAATAAAGAAAAGTTCTTTTCGTAAAAAAAAATTTATTAGCATACAAACATGATGATCATTCTTATCATTCTAAACTTATCACTTATCAATTTTTATTAACTATTTATAAATAGTAACTATGAAAATTAATTTCAATCATCTGAGCCAGCTGATCTTTTCACTTTTCGTTGTTTTGGACTTTGTTTTGGTACACGAGGTGATTTGTCTAAAATAAATGGTAAAATTAACATTATGTTTATAATAATAGATTAAATTTGAATATTTATACTTACTGAGTCTATGAAGTGTTTCTTTTGGTAGCCAGTCATAATCAACATTGTTAGGATTGGTAGTTCCCATTTCAATTGGCTGTTTTCTAGACACTTGAGATCTTGATTTTCTACCAAATGAAGATAATAATTGTTGACCACCAACAAGTGTTAAGATAACACAAGCTGCAAGGAAGATATAAAGGAATATTGTTTCACCATCTAAACCTTCATCTAATTCAACAATTTGAATGGTTTCATTGTACACAGCTCCATTGAAATAAGCACCATTCTGAAAATATATAATCATATATTCAATTAAAAGAATCAACAAATATATTATGTAGCATTATTTTAATTTTTGAGTATATAATTACCACATCTCTGTAGTTCAGATTAATTTGTAATCCGAAAGGACGACCAGCGAAACTTTCTGATGGAATAAAAGAATAAGCTAAAGTAGCTTCATGGTTTGGCTTTACTACTTTATTAACTGCAAGATTAGTGAAGTTTTGAATGTGATATTTAAAGTCCATCGGATATCGCAAGGAAGTATCCAACGTTTCAAGAATAAAATCAGACTTTCCATTATTTGTGAAGCCTACGAGGAATTCAACTAAATGTCCTCCAGGAAGTTCTGAAAAAAAACATTAATGTTGTAAATGTAGTGGTAATTATATAAAATCTACTTATGAAGAGAGTATATATTATAGAGTTTAATTTTAAAATATATCTCTATAGCTGAAATAATTCATACCAAGTGTTGATGATGGATTAGCGACTACTGGTTTCGTAAATAATATTGTTGTTTCGGCATCTGCGGAAGCAGTTTGAGATTCTTCTTCAACATCATCTTCAGCCGAAACATTTGTTTCCTCAGTGTCTACATCGATCATATCATCAACAATCTCATCTTCTTGAGCATATGCTACGTTGGCTCCTGTAACATAAATTCATAAATTAAAATCTACATATTTTTGGTAATTAAATACTTTAAATAAAAAATTTTAATACTAAAAGTAATATCGAGCAAAAAATTTTTAGTCTACAAGATAATTTGAAAAATTGTTATTGAATTAAAATGAGATGAATTTTACACTCGAGTAGATTTACAGAAAAAAAAGAAATTTATAAAAAGTATCTTACCATTATTAATAATTAAAACAAAAGACGATAGCATCAAAAACATACAAATGCTTAAACTCTTCATTTTGATGAATAATTATAATTATAAGTTATAATTTAACTAAATGTCAATATTTTCCGTTTTTATGTACTGTTCGGAACACAACCATTACATCGACTGATACGATGTTTGGTTAGACTGTCCTTATTGCTACGTGGAAGTCGACACTGCGGTCGTCAGCCGTCAACATAACCAACGTGGAACCATTCAGGATGTGAAATTCACTTGTTACGTGGTAAATTTACTGTTTTTAGACGGAAAAATGCTCACATTTACAAAAATGTAGCCCGTAAATAATCGGAGTAGAAAATTTTCAACATTCATAAAGTTTAAATATAGTGTAAATTTCAATAAAATTTTTTAAATAAAAATCGATAAATAATTCAATTGTTTTAACTTAACCGTTAATAATGATAATAATTAGAAATATTGAAAAAATTTTTTTGGTTAGAGTCGGTAATGTAGGAATTATTTATCAAATGAAAAAGTATTGTATTTATCCTGTATCTCGCGAAAATAATTCAATTTTCAATGATATCTATTCTAAAATATTATCTATTCACAAATTAACCTAAAAATTTATAATTGCAGAATTCTCAAAAAGATTTACTTTTATTATTTTCATTTCTTGTTACTATAATTAATTATTACATGTACAGGAGAAACAATATGTCTAACAATAAAACAAAGATTTTTTAAGGTAATCATAACTACGAAAGAACCCTTTTATTGATTAATTAATTAAATGTATTAATTGATTCACGATGACGTTTCCTTTCACCCTTCAATTTAATACATATATTTAATGAATTTAACTAATGTACTGTAAGGCCAAATTAATGGAAAAAATTTCATTAAATTTTCAAGAGATTCATAAAAATTAATATTGATAACAACTGAGATCAATAAAAAAATAGAACATTTGAATATTATTTGTTATCTAAAATATGACGTCAAATCTGAGCTTTTCAACAAAAATATTTTTTTTTGGAATTAACTTCTTCAATATATGTATAAAGATGGATTTTGGTGGATTGTAAATTTGAAAATCATCAAAGTCTTAGATTTTCATGTATTATATATCAAACCATGATCTATGTAAAACAAAGTTAAGATATTATTTATGACGTAAGTGGAAAAATTTATTCATAATCATAACTAATTCCAAGATATTTTTAAATAAAAAAAGCTAAAAAATTATTTTTTTACTTCAGGATTATTTTAAAATCCTGCTTAATGAAATGTTAATTTCAAATTAAATGTTTCAAAACTATTTTTCTTAATCACATAATTCACTTTATATCCTCTTTTTAATGAATTCTCTGAAGATGATTATACGGAAATTAAAATCTGCTTTAATAAGCTAGTTATTACCTAATATTCATATATCCTTCATGATGGAAATTCTTAATTCAGCAAATATAAAATACACAATTTGATTTGGTAATTTCCAATTATAATTTACAGTTCTGATTATGAAATCAATTTAAAAAAGGTAAGTCTATAACAATTTTAAAATCTAATAATCGTGATTTTAAATCAGTATTTTATTTTAATGCAAAAAATATTGTTTCAGGAAAAGACCAATTTAGGAATGTCCACGGTAAGAATTCTCACTATCAATGATTCTTGATTTAAGGAAACGTCTGAGATAGAAGGGTCGGATATTGCACTTTTGCATATATCATCAATAAAAAATGTTGGCGCTGGCGCACTTGGTCATGAACTTTGGATTATTCTTCGTTAACGTTAAATCAATATAAAGAGTGACGTCAGAGAAAATGTTTGTAGCATTTTGTGCGCACGAGTGAAAAGGCATGGTTATAGTCAGACAAGCAGTGAAACAATAAGTGGGGTAGCAAAGTATCATTATCATCGTCATCCCTGTATCAAACAGAAAACTTATACAATGATGCTAGTAGTAGAAGAAGTGTGATGGCGTTATTCTTATTGTAACATTCTATCAGTCTCATAAAAAGCGGTTGGTATATATAAGTTCATCATTGATTACCAGCCGAATAAATACACAGTATTAGTCAAGTTTGGATGACAATGAAGAAAACACGTGTTAGATTCGATACTAATAATGACCAATCCAGGAATACTAAAATTGCTTCATTGCACTCAAATCTAATAAACAAAAATAATTTTTCTGATCGTTATAACAAAAAAACAAAATTTTCATTACATCAGCTGACAAGTGATAATTATTTAAAAAAGAGTGTGAGTAGTAAAACGTATGGGTATAAAAAAAGAAGTATTTTTTACGTTTTTGGAATTTTTGCATTTGTTATTTTCGCCGTCATTGGTTCTAATCATGTTAACGCTAAACCAGAAGTTTTTACTAATGCTTTCCTTGTCAAAATGAGACAACCTTTAATTAAACATCTGGCTGACCAAGTGGCTGAAAGAAATGGATTCGTTAACCTTGGTCCGGTAAGGACTTATTTTCTATCCTACTAGTTAATTCTAAAATACATACTTTAAGTAAACAAATATGTTGATTTCACATTCATAATTTATAAAAGAAAAAGATTATTATTCATGTTTTAATTTTTTTTTATTCCTGAACGATAGTTTACTGAAAGTAATAGCAAGAATGAATTTGATAACAACAGATAAATTTTTCCAAACCAAAGCATCTGTTCTAAATTATTTATCATCAATTATTTATATTTATTTTTTATTTTAAACTTATAATTGCTAAAATATAAATATTTTCATTTGTTTTAAAATTCCAGCTGTTTATATCGAATATTTTCTCTATGAACTTGGTTGGATTATTTACATATGAGAACTGGTATAAATACTCATTTAATGAACTATGTTTATTTGAATAACAGTCTCTATTGGAAATAAAATCCAAGATGCTTGTATTTCATATTAATTAAAAAAAAATCAAATAATTTTTGTTAATAAAAATTTTACTTATTACTTTTGTGTAGGTGTTGGGTAGCCAGACAGAGTATCATTTCATTCATAGAGCGTTACCACAAGTGAGGACTAAAAGATCAGTTCCTCACACTAGACGACTAAAAATAGATCCTATGGTAAGTAATAAAATTTTACCCTCCTAATATTCCTACACTTTCCACCCCAAATATCCTTCAAAACCTATTGTGGGTGTTCTTGAATTATGTATAGAATTTATTCTAGGATAGTTATAAATTTAAACAAAATTTTACATACTTGCTATTCAATCCCTTTCGATATTAAAACTTTATAATTATCAACATGCATCTATATTAGAATATTCATACATAATTTACATCCTTTCTCTATTTAACAGAGTCTAGTCTGTTTGAATCAAAATGAAGTAAACAAAAATAAAAATTACTATTACATAAATGTTATAAAGGAATAAATCGATGTTAATGGTATTTATGGATTTGTTTATTTAAATCTTATGTAAAATTAGAATCATAGAGGTATTCATGTTTAAATTATGTAATAAACTCGATGTATTATTCAATATTATCATCGTAATAGTTAATAATACTATTGATATTACGAGAAGAATTTGGAAGTTTCAAGTTATATCAATAGCAGCAGAAATAGTTTCATAATTGAAAAAAAAAAATTTTAATCTAGAAGATGATCTTATTTTATTACCTCAAAAGTTTTAAAATGGGGAAAGTACAGCTTTTCAATCTTTATTAAGCTCCAAAAGTGTCTATCAATTTTGACAATCAGTCACCTTGAAAATAAGATTGACAACTTGCTCGTTATTACTTCAGTTAGAAATTTGTCTTTCTCATTATTGATTAATTTTTCAAGTAGATCTTTTAGCTTTCATTTTTTATAAATTCTTAATAAATGAGTTTATAAAAGGGATTAATTTTTATTAAAGTTCAAGGGAAGATTATTTTTTTTATTCTTGAAAATAATGAATCAAATCTTATTTTACGTATTGAAATACCCAAAAAAGATCAGAAAGTAGATTAACCTTTATATTTGAACTCATCAAGTGTCTGGGGATATTTGACTCTTATCTCCCTCACCTACTTATCCTTTATAATTTACGAAATTACGATTTTTTATTGCATCAACACCCGCATGTATTGTATTTAATTATATCTAATTTACTTTCTACTTATTAACATAAGTTGAGACGAATACATAGAAATTCCATGTTTAAATTGAAAAAATATTTCCATCTAGCCTATATCACCCTAAAACAAGATCAATGAACCCAATCAACATTCTTGAATATTTGAATAGTTTTCTGATATGAATTATTAAACAGTCTGCAAGTCATTTATTTACAATTACTTATTGATTATCTGTCATCATTGATTAACTGTAATTATTTGATTTTTGGTCTTTCAAAAATATTTGTAAATTATTTGAAAATATTTATCAATCAATTAATAGAAGCATTAATTGATAAACTGATTCATCCAATTTTCATGGGTCAACGTTATAATGCATATTAGCATCTACATGAAAGATTATTGACAGCTATTAGTTCACAATGAAAACTCATTTGAACTTTGGTAAATTTTTTGGATAAAATACTTTTAAAATACTCAATCTTTATTTTTAGTATGGATGTATGAAAATAAGGCTTTCAATTAGTTCAGTGTGAAATTGATAGTAATAAATTATTTCAGAAGCAATGAAATGAGCAACTCAGTAGTGAAGGATCCTCAGGCAATAATTATAAGTCTTAAGTAAAGCAAAGTTTTGTTTGTGCCAAACTTCAACACAACTAACAATCCAATAAAAGCTATTGCCCTCAGAGTTTATTACTCTCAATATCACTGAGATATTTCAACTTATTGTTAGCACTCTTTTTTTACTTCTGGTTCACTAACTTCTTTCATAAAGAAAAAATGAATTAAAAAAAAAAAGTTAATGAAAAACTTACTGGTTTCAATTAAGTCGAGTTTTTTTGTTTGCATAATTTTTTCTATTATTAAAATCAACTTTCCAGTTCAACCTCAATTCATCTCTGAATCTGGGAATGTCACATCAATTCAGTTTATAGCCCTCATTTGTCTTCACTTTGATTGAATTTCGAACTAGAGTTCAATGTTCACAGATAAAATTTTTGTTTGCTGAATTATTATTGTCATTTCATCAGCAATAGAATAGATATCAACTTTCCACGAATTGAAACCACTTTAATCTTCCACACATTGTGTTTTTATTGATTAAATAATTAGTATCCACTTTTAGATATACCTAGGTATATAAATAAGTTTTTTTGTTTGTTGCAGATTCATACCGTAGTTCAACAAACGGGTTTTAAACGTGTAAAGAGAGGATACCGTCCTCTAAGTGTAGAGAATCTTGTACCATTCTACACTAAAAATTTGATAGAAGAACAAGAGAATCAAGATCCTACTGATCCCTATTTTCAATACCAATGGTATTTAAAAAATACCGGCCAAAATGGTGGAAAACCGAAACTTGACCTTAATGTAGAAGCAGCATGGGCTCAAGGTATCACAGGAAAAAATGTCACCACAGCTATCATGGATGATGGTAAAGTATTTTTTATTCAGCTATTATTTATCTCTTGGTTATCTCAACTTGAAAATTAATTGTACACATTACATAATCTTAATTAAATCGATTACTAATCTGAAGATTTACTTGTCTACTTCATTACTCTATTTGATTTATTCTTTTTCCAACTAATGTAAAAAGATAGATGTATCAATTATATTTTGACTAAAAAGGTTGACAAATTTCTTTCTTTAATTAAAAAAAAAATAATTTGAGATAAGTAAAATATAATTAATTTTCTAGACTTTATAAAATGACTGTGATGTATGTTAATTTATGCTAATACAGCTTTTTCTATTCAGGTGTGGATTATATGCATCCCGATTTAAAGTATAACTATGTAAGTACTTTTTCCCATTTCAAAAGTTATTTTAATAAATTACAAATTCCATAACTTTATTCTTTTTTTATTAAACAAATTATTCTTTCAATTTCAGAATGCAGAAGCATCGTATGATTTCAGTAGTAATGATCCTTATCCATATCCAAGATATACAGATGACTGGTTTAATAGGTGAGGACCATGATTTGGTTCATAAAACTTTTAGTTAGGTGTCAACTTTTTTTTCTAATAAGAGAAAATTTTTCATAATATTAAAATAAACTTACAGTCATGGAACAAGGTGCGCAGGGGAGGTTGCAGCCGCTCGTGATAATGGTGTTTGTGGTGTTGGTGTAGCATATGATTCTAAGGTTGCTGGGATTAGAATGTTAGACCAACCTTATATGACCGATCTGATAGAAGCTAATAGTATGGGTCATGAACCTAATCTCATTGACATATACAGTGCTTCTTGGGGGCCTACTGATGACGGCAAGACTGTAGATGGTCCAAGAAATGCTACGATGAGGGCCATTGTTCGAGGAGTTAATGAAGTATGTATTTGATCATTCAATTGTGATATAAAATTACTAAACCAAGTACTAAATTAACTTTAATGATTTTTATAAATTCAATTGAACAAAACGGCAAAAATTGGTCTCTCATGATTTGTGTAATTTACCTAGGGACGCCGAGGATTAGGTAATATTTATGTCTGGGCATCTGGAGATGGTGGTGAAGAAGACGATTGCAACTGTGATGGATACGCTGCAAGCATGTGGACTGTTAGCATTAATAGTGCAATTAATATTGGACAGAATGCTCATTACGATGAAAGTTGCTCCAGCACATTAGCTTCCACTTTCAGTAATGGAGCTAAGGATCCAAATACCGGGGTGGTAAGTTAAATTTGATAATTATCGAATGAATACATCTACATTGGTGAAAGAAGATCAAAGGTGTTTATTGAAAATTACATAAATAATGTATTCCAAAGAATATTTTTCGAAAAATTTATTTCATAGAGGATAAAACTGTGAGCATGTGCAAAAAAAATATTACTTTTTTTATGGTTCAAGCCAGAAACATCAGCAGATTACGAATATAATTGTGTTATTCATTTCTCTTATATATGTAGAAAATGAAATAGCAAAACCTATCTCAGTTTAGTTTATTTTTAAACGACATAATTCTTTTTTATTCCAATATTCCATGTTACCTCTACTCTCTTTTTATAAAAGTATAAAAGAGATTTTTTTTTCATAATGCAGATATCGAAAAAAGATTTTTTATTTACACATATATACAGATAAAAAAACTATTTATTTATATAAAAAAAAAATTTAATTGTAAAACAAAAAATGAATAAATAATACTTTAATTCTGATAAATTTTTAAGTAGCGTAATATAGATTGTATCATTAAAAAAAATTTTAACATCCTAACACAACATAATAAGTAAAAAGCTTCCGATTATATTTCTCTTCGATGTCCAGTAAACTAATTTCTCAGCGGCTTAAATTTCCTTTCCTTTAATAAAATAAAAAATTAAGTAGGTTTTTTTTATTTAAAAAAAAGTAAAATTAAAATATAAATATTTGCTGTACACTTGTTACTATTTTTATCATTATTTATAAATAACTCTCCAATTTGTTGGTCATTTCAGGCCACCACTGATCTCTATGGCAAATGTACTACGACCCACAGTGGCACATCAGCTGCTGCACCCGAAGCAGCAGGCGTATTTGCATTAGCACTTGAGGCCAAGTGAGTATTATCAATATTGATTATTTGTTATTATAAACAAAATTGATGTTATTTACTCAGTTAATTCTATTCCATTCAGCAGATAACAATATATATTATAGAATCTATACATCTTCTAATTTATCGTGACAAGAGGCACTAATCGAGAACTTTTTTTATTTCAGCCCTCAGTTAACGTGGAGGGATATCCAACATCTCACGGTGCTGACATCAAAAAGGAATTCTCTCTTTGATGCGAAAGGCAGATTTCATTGGACAATGAATGGGGTTGGCTTGGAATTCAATCATTTATTCGGATACGGTGTTCTTGATGCTGGTGCGATGGTTGCTTTGGCTAAAAAATGGAAAACTGTACCACCACGATATCATTGTGAAGCTGGATCTGTTCTTACCACCCAGTAAGTATTTTTGTATTAAAAAAAAAGTTAAAATATTTCCAATCACTATAAAAAGACCACTTGATCCTAACAATAAATCATTGCAGAGAAATACCAAGTAGTCACTCCATCTTTCTTAAGATTAAAACCAATGCTTGTGCTGGAACTGAGTACGTTGTTAACTATCTGGAACATGTTCAAGCAGTGATTACTGTCAATGCAACGCGACGGGGTGATTTAGAACTCTTTCTAACTTCTCCCATGGGGACCAGGTAATTAAACGTTTCTTTTGATTTATTATAAACAAGTAAAATACTCTTTTGGGCTACATTTATTTCAATAAATTACTCTCATGAGAATAGAAAATTGTTTAAACATTCAAGGGTTTTATATTTAATAGATCAAATATTATTGAAGCGAATATGATAATTTTTTTCGGTTGATCAATAAAATATTATACATATACTTTTTTTTTAATTTTTAGATCAATGATCTTAAGCAAACGTGTTAATGATGATGACCAGCGAGATGGATTTACTAAATGGCCGTTCATGACGACTCATACTTGGGGAGAATATCCTCAAGGAACATGGACACTTGAAGTAAGTACTGCAGATTTCTCTCAGCATTAGCATAATGATATTTTCAGTTTTATAAAATCAGTGACGTGACTGAATTTTTTCCAGTTTGTTTAAAATTTGAAAATTCCATAAATTTATTTCAAATTTTTTATGATAAAAAAATTCATCTATTATTAGACCTAAGAGGTTTAAGAAGTCTGTACAAAAGCATCTCCTCTTTTTTACCCTATTACCCGTACGACTCTGGCAAATCCATTTTCAGTAAGTGATTATTTCGCGTAAGGATATTACTCTTCGAACTCCATATTTCTTGATCTATAAAAGTTGGAAGTAAGCAGTCACAAGATTTTTGTTTAGATGTATAGATATATTTGTATCATGCACAATCGCTTATTTTCTTTTTCTAGTATTACTAAATTTTTTTTAACATGTTAAGATAAGAATGAAATTGGATTCTAATGAATCGAAATAAACCATAATGACCAATTTTTAACATCAAGTCTAAATCAGATGAATTCCACGACAGTGAAATTGATTTTTATCAGATTCTACATACAATTTTATGCCATGTAAATGGTATAGAATTAAATCCAATCACATCTAACTTGGTCTGAAAATCCCCTGTAAAATGTTCAATCAGATCAAATTGCATCACATTTGATCCAATTAGATGGGGTCATTTTTTCTCCAGATTACATGTCCTTTGAGAATATATTTTTCTTACGATTTCTTTTTATCAGTAAGGTTCGAAGATATCTGCTTTAAGATTATCTCTGAAAAATACTTTTCTGGCTTTCAGATGAAATCTACCAATAACTTTTAAAACATTGTAGGTATTTTGGAAAATCTGCTGATTGAATTAGAAAAAAAATATAACTTTAACTTTTATAATAATTGAAAAAGTGACATTGAAAAAAAGAGTTTTATTAGATAAACTTTTTTCATTATTATTTTGAATTAGAAAAATTTATTGAATTTATTAATTGATAAATGAATTTATTTTCACAGGTCAGTTTTAATTCAAAGAAACCACAACACGGATTCATTAAAGAGTGGACGTTAATGCTTCATGGTACAAGTGAACCTCCATATATTGATTTACCAGTCGTAGATCAGCATTCAAAATTGGCAGTAGTAAAGAAAGCTCACGAAGAGCGACCTACTTTTATGTAATCAAATACCATATGAATACACTTATAATTTACGATAAAGAATTCATTCGATATCCAACCAATCTATAAAAAATTTTGGCACAAACAAAATAACATTGCATATATTTAAATCTTCTAAAATGATTCTAGTGTTGTCTTCCTGGATATAATTTTTTAAATCACACAATGTGGATTACTAAATGCGGCAATTAGGACAATACTAAGAGTCACATTTGTCTTATGTGAATTCGATTATTTATCATTATTTTGGTCATTCAGATTATAATTTAATCATATGATTTATCTCATTGAGTTTAAATCTATTTTTTGTTCTCATTATACCAAAAGATGATCATAATCAAATATTTTTTACTAGACCAAATTAACTTTTTCATTAAACATATCTCTATTATGGAAATTCAATAGTTTATAAATTATTTTTTAATCGTCTCTGCTTATTAAAAGTATGTCTCTTTAATTTAATCCAATAATAATTTTGATTTTATACCAAAGATTTTTTTTTAATAAATGATTTTCAAAAATACATTTGAAAATTTGTAAAATGGATTTATATGAAAATTTGCAAGTAGTGTATGTAAATGTTATGTGCTTTCGTTGATGTTGCGAGCTTTATTAATGATATCAAATTATAGTTTTTGTTAGAAATATAATATAATATTAATGTTGAAATACTTTGAAAATTGTTTATTTAAATTATGTTAGTTTATGAAGGTATGTTTCCGAAAATTAATATTTTTATGATTTAAAATATATTTTCCATATAATGTTAATTAGTTGATTTATAATTACCATGAATTGGGATGATTATTTTAATAATAGTAAAATCGAGTAGCGATGACTGTGTAACATATGATATCACATATTATATCAAGTGTAAATGAATTATTAAAGGAATAACAAGAGAGTTAAAAAAAAATGTTTAATAATTCAAAGAAATTTATTTGTAACTGTTGTCAAATAAATTATTTTAAAATCTAATGAAAAATTGATGTGTTTTTGTTTTAAATTAGAAATGTTTATCTCAACATCATTAAGATTTATTATCATGAGATTTCAAAATATTTTTACTAAATAAATATAATGCGGTAAATCTTATTATATTTTTAATTAACACCAGCTAAGATATTTATAAAAAATATAATGTATTTTAATTATGAATGCAGAATTACTACCATAATAAGAAAAAAAAAAATAATAAGTTATCATCTTATTGTTGCTAAGTACCTTGCTTCATAATAAAAAAAATGAAGTGGCAGTTTCATTGTCTGAAGTATTTTTTATTACCTATTTTCATTAACTCCAGAAAATAAAAATCATGCCCCAATATCTTGATGATTCGCTTTTTTTTTTTTTATTATAATTGACAATGAATGTTTCCTACAGAAATTTTCGCATTGACAATTCGTACAATGAAGTAAAGCTACAATTGCTTTTGAATGTTACATGAAAAATAGCTTGATCTTCCTGAAGTTTTCAAGTACCAGTGACCTGTTTTTCCTTCAAGTTTTAGTTGTAATTAAGAAAAACTTCACTACATTCAAGAATTAATATTTTATATTCATTTTCAAGCAGAAAATCCTTTAAAGATTCACACTAATTTATTTTGACCTTGATTTTTTTTATTTACATATTAAAAAAAAAAAAATTACCTATTACTTTAACTTTTAATGATTTTATTCAAAAAAGTATCAACGTTTTTTTTGAATTCAACTTTGAATAACTTATGGAAATAAGAGAAAGTATAAATAGCGTTTCATCATTTGACTTTTTATTTTTAAAAAAGTCCACTCATGCAAAGTTTTTCCATTCAATTTTTTTGTTTTATAAAATTAAAAAAAACACTTTCAATCCTATCCATTAACATTTTTATGGTTTTCTAAGTGAATGGATCTATCCAGTTGGATTATCATAAAATCCAGAAAAACTTGCAGACATTTTTGGAGCCAAATAACAAGATAAAAATTAGGATGTCAGTTAAACACATTCGTCCTATCAATAACATGTCTTTTGGCAAATGTTCATGATTTCCGCAGAGTGACCTACATCCAAACACGAATTTTGGCCACTATATTTATATGTGGAAGCATCTGCAACTAAAATCAATAAATACACTTTGAAGATTTATTAGTTCTATATGTAGAATAGCAATAGATGTTCAATTAATATGCGATATTTTGAACAAACTATTTTACTCATGTATTTCACGCGAGCTCTATTAGTTTCCATTTAGTTTTATACATATATATATATATATATATATATATATATATGTATTTATTTCTACAGTTCATATAATTCATAGAACTTCGATATTCCGTATCGATTTTTTATCACTGGAATCAACAGAAAAAAATTAATTAGATAGTTCAAATGAAGTTACTGACCAAAGATTACCAGTGTATATCATAGGTGAACAGTCACAGCTAATAATATCCGGATGATACCCGTGCAGAAAAAAAAGAATTATTGAATCTAATTAAGAATCAATTAAATTGGGGAAACCATTTACTCGAAACTTTTTGATGAAGTATTTCATTAGTATAATTGGATATAAAATATCTGCATGATATATTTAATTGGTTCATTAATTATTTATTTAAAATATCAATAATTGATTTAATTTACTGATCCGCTAAATGATGGTTTGTTCGGAAAGTATTCTGTGGATGCATCACAGGTGATAGATAATACTCTCTAGAAGGTAGATGACCAAAGTTTTCGCAACAGTACACCTTGTTTAAGTCATTCCTAAAAATATAAACATTTATTGTGGGGTTATGTTGATTGTAATAATGAATTTTAACCTTTTTAACTCTATTTAAATAATTAACTAAATAAAAAGTATAAAAATATTAAAAATGGAGTACTCACTTTTGTTTAATAATTTAAAAAGAATTGTTTTGAGAGCTGTTTGTAAGTCTGACTTCCATAAAGATAAAAAAAATCAATTAGTCTATGCTATCAATACTATTGATTTTTTGGTTATATTTTATTCCAATATTAAAAACATGCCAATTCTTGTCGATTATATTGAAAATAATCAATCATCACATAAAATAATACTGTCTTGAGGAAGATTTTATTCCTTTTTCAATCGAATTAGGATACTTGGCATGAGATCAACACAAATTATCGAATACCAATCGATAGAAAGCATGAGCCCAATAATAAACAATTGGATGAAAAAAAAAATATAAAGGATTTAAATGTATTTATGAATGTCATACTAAACTTAAACATCAACGTTTAGTTTTCATGATCACAATAGTATTTAAAGTTTAAACTATTGGGGTTTCGTACAGTCCATGCGCTAAGTCAATTAATGTAGGGGAAGTTGGTCGACGTAAGTGGCAGTGCATGGGAGATCGAACGGGAAGGGGTTGAGCTTGGAAAGCAGGCGCCAACGATAGACATTACGTCATTTCACTAGTCCGCGTGTTACCTTTGAGAGATGTGCAATACACCAAGGAAATCGTTTCTATTCAGATAATATTGCCGATTATTAACAGTAACTATATTTCGATTGTTAAATCAATAATTTTTATTATATTCTAGTGTACATAAATACTAATGTTTTTTTCTGCAAATTTTATTTATTAATACTTCTAATTCTAATTCAATACTCAATTAAAACATTTTGTTTTAAATCTTGGAGGTAAAGTTGGTTAATTTATTCTTAACTTTTTCTATTTTATTTATTTTCCTCTAACATATATAAAAGCTTTTGTTGTATTTAAAATGATTAAAAATCATTAAAAAGATTATTTTCATACGTAAAATATTAAGATTGATTTTATTTGATTAAATTATTATTTATTTTTTTTGCAAACAATTTACGATTATTTATTCTGACGAGTACGAATATTTGCTCACTTTCTTTCTTTCTTTCTTTCTTTCTTTCTATTAAATAAAATGAAATTTGTCTGTGACAGCTACATAATCTAAAGCTGATTTTTTTCTTTGAAAACATAGATCATTGATCGTAAGAACATCATTCAGTGTTAAAGTTTTATGAATATGTATGAGAAATTTTTCTATATCACTTTATTAACTGGCTTTTCAAATTAAGCGTGAATAAAAATTAGTAAAGTATCCTTGAAGAGATTAATTTATCCACCAATCATACATATAACAATTATTTTGGTATTCTGGGAATCTTGGAATTCAGACATGAATTCACCAAGTTGTAAGTAATGCATACTTGACAGTTGATGCTATGTACATAATAAAAACAGACTGATCATTAATTTTAGCTTTGGTAAATATTTGATTGATGATAGAACTTTCTACAATTAAATAATATTGATATTAATGTTATTAATTAATATGAAATATTTATTATCACTATACTTTATATAAAATGCTTTCTTCAAAATTGATTTCCCGTAAAAAATAAATTGTTGCTTTATGGAATTTAGAGCATAAAAAATATAAAATTTATAGGACAGCTAAAAATACACTTGACAGTTTTCCTATCAATGTAAATAATATATATTTTTCAAATTAGTTTTATTGACTTTGTATCTTATGTCCATACTTTTTATTTATTGTATTAAGATCAGAAAAAAAGTGACACATTTTACCCTGTCATGAGAAAGCAATGCGTTATCAAAACATTTTTCATTACCGTGTTATTTTTTTCCTTTAGTATGCACTTGATTTCAGTCGATTAAAAAAAATATTGTCGATATACGATTCTGACGAATAAAAATTAGAATCTATCCATCAAGCTATTCTTTTTTCCAATTTTATTGAATCTTCTATGATTCTTGATTTATTCTAATTTTGTTAAATCTCAGTTAAAGATTTTTAATCGTTATTACTTCAATGGTCTCTTCATTTAATCATTAAAATCTTTCATCCAAATTACTTTTGAATAAGTAATGATTCAATGAGAAACTGAAATTCTCTTCAGAAAGAATCTGTAACGAAAAAAAAAAGTCGATACATTCAAAGTATATTAAATATTTAAATTTGGTAAAGCAAAGTAACTGTATTTGTTTTGAAATGTTTGTGTTGATTGTTATGCGAACACCTTGAAATTTAAACAAATATTTATACTCGATTTTACTATACCTCAACTTCAACAAACTTTTAAAAAACTTATTTAAAAATCTACATTTTTGAAGTATTTGTCACTGAATCCAATGTAAAAAATACTAGAGTATAATTCATTTATTTAATTTGTTTTGAGTAAATAACAATAGAAATAGAGTAAATAAATTCTGTGGCATATGATTATAGGATAGACATAAAAATAATAGAATATTTTAGTGAGAACTTCATATGTGAATATTAAATTGTGGATATACTACAAGATTTCTTTTGCTTTCAGATATAAAATGTAACAGATATCTAAATAAATAACATTCGGATAATGTATGAAAAGATGGATAAAAATAAAGATTCATGTGAGAAAGGACAAATTTTTCTTCATAACATACATGTACTGAATTAATTTAAATTCATTAAATGACGCATTCAAACAAATTTTCTCACGTTTATATTTAAATGCAGAAAGCATCAAGTTAATTATAATAATTATTGGCAATAAATGTGTGGTATTTTTAGCATCCTCAATATTTGCTATGAGATTTGAATATATACCAAGGGAAATATATCGATAACAGGTGCGACAGATAATGTTACTGTATCATGAATTGAAATATTTTATTTAAAATAGCTTATCTGAATTATTCCGTGTCTTTTGTTGGAATAATTAGAATAAAAATTATGTCGAAAGTCATTTATTTATTAGGATAAATTAAAAAAAATTTTTTTTTCTATTCTGTGAGTTCTAATATAATATTTTTAACTTTACAAACACTAAAATATCGTTTTCGTAATTATTTAATTGAGAAGCTCTATCCTAAACTCTCGTATAAAATTTTCCTAAAGCTTCCAAGAAGTCTTCACAGTTTTTAACAATTATTCAACAAAAATAATAGATAGTTTAAGTAGAATAAAAATTCTAAACTGTAAAATTTTGAATCATTTTAGAAGTTGAGAGATTATAGTCAAATTTTGAACTCCGTTTGAAAGTGGAAATTCATTCTTAGGCAATTATCAATGTGACATTTTATCTACGAAAAAATAGATGTGAGCATTAAAGAAATTTTTTAACACAGAATAATTTATTGAGAAATTAATTAATGTCATGCATTTCATGCTCATAAATTTATTGATAAATAGAACGTGAGTATGATAAAGTTTATTTACAATTCGTAATATTAATTAAATTATGACAATATTATCCTCCATAAAATGTAATAAAATATTTTCATACCTAGAAAATAAGATCCTTGATGAATCTGATGCCTTGAGATAAACAAAAATGCATTCATTTCCAATTTGACTTGTTTAAAAAAAAATATCGATACCTGTATCGACATTTTTGTCTAGTAATTGTCGATACAGTTATGTAAGTATCTCATATAAAAGACTATTTCTATCGATTTATCGGCAGTAGTGATGTTTATTGATTAGTCCAATTAATGCAGAACTAAATTTAATCTAAAAAAAAAAAAAATCGTTAGTTCATAAAATTTTCGTGCATTTAAAACGTTTTACGAGAAACTTTCAACAAACGATTATTTGATCATTCATGTAATTAAACAATTCATCCATAGGATATTAAAACAATGACGATTAGTGTTTATTTAAAGACTTATTGTCTATAAATTCTACGATAAAATAAAATTGACCATAAAAAGTTAGGAAGTAGTTTATGATTTATTATAAAAGATAATAAATTGGAAATTAATCTTTGCAATGTACGCCACCGATATTACAGATTTGAATAATGATTAAAATTGTTTGATAAGCATACATCTTTTTTATTCATAAAATCGATCGAAAGTGTGCATTGATGAGCTTGAGTACTGCCGCAAGTGTGATGTATAAATGTAAGCTTTTCATTATACTTAACGAGAATACATTTTTTTTTATTATTTATTGTGGCTACTAAATTAAAATATCTATTCGATTTTCAATTCTTAAGATCTTCTTTCAAAAGACGACCCCCTTTGAACTTGACCAAGTGGAAGTTCCGTAGTGAGTGTTGACTATATGTGTCAAGGTTAAAATGCTAAAGGTGTTTGAAGAAGAGTAAATATTTACTAAATTCTACTATTGAATTTCTTTCAAACCTTTAATTGAATTGTAACGAAAATTATATATATATATATATATATTAATTGTCGATTGTTTCGTTGTAAAAATATTGTCATAATAAAGCATATCATTACCAGGCAAAGTATGATTAAATAAAGTCTATAAATTTGCATGCTATAGGAAGGGAGAACGTAATACCTGAAATTAAGAATTAAATAAAAAGTAGTGTCTGTAATAGATATGAAAACTAGATTCAGTAATGTATACAGTAATTTCGTTTCCTCATAAGCACAAAGAATCAAGTTTAAAATTAAAGGAGTACTTATAAAAAAGAACCTTTCAAAGCATCAAGGTTACTCTTTTACTAACTTCTCTATAAATAAATAAACTTTGATAATTTTACACTAGAAAAATTTATTCAGGCGATTATTTATCTATATTTATAATATCAAGTTATTTTTTTATGACAAGTAAATAATAATAAACACTACAACATGGATGATAAAAAAAAATTACAATTAATAAATCATATAAATGTCTGAAAATTTTAATGATTTTACAAGAGCTATATTGTAAATAAAAAAAGCGGTTTTTTTATAAAAATAATTCGACTTTAATGAAGCGAAAAACATTCAAGGATTTATTTTATTCAATTTCCAAATCTTTCATTCAAAACTTTTTATCATCTTCTCTTTTTTCTATTCATCTAAGATAAATTTGAAAAAAAGAGAGAATGATTTTTAGTTTTATATTAATTTTTTTTAATAAAATAAATATTAAAAAATATTTCTTTTCTAATTCTAAACATGAGCAATAAAAGATAATGTTATGCATGAAGATGGTGGTTAGATTGTCGATGATAAATTAAAATACTTACAATTTTTTTTAAATATTTGTCTCAATTTGAAATTTAAACATGTATACATGCTTTATTTTTCATAACATCATGCATTTTATTCTATTAATAAATAATTTTATCCCATTTATATTCTATGTGCAACAATTTTTATGAGATGACGATTCGTACGTGTTAATGTTCACTTGAGCTTGAGTACGTGATTTAGGAATATTTTCTTATACACTAAAGGTATGAGTCAGCCTTTAACAAGGACAGAATTTGCTTGATCGAAGTAATACTTGCATAGCAACTTTGAAAGTAAAAATAAGTTCTTTGAGAATTAAAAACTGTGGAGGTTTTAATTAAATATTCTTGATAGTTCCATAAAGGGGAGAAAAATTGTCACGTTTAAAAATATATTTTAAATTCATCGTTAATATCTATGCATAAAAACAGGTATAATAATTTTTTAGCTTCGATTATCACTGTAAATCACTGCAATAATATGATTATTTCGCGAATTAACAAAATCTAATAATAAATGTGTAACAATAAAATACTCAAGTGTTTACAATTGCAACGCCATAACCTATAATGTTTTGGCACAAACACGAAGACATTTTTAAAAATGACGACAGTTGGTTTATAGTATTTACTATTGTAAACATATACAGTGTTTCATTATCAAACACTTTGGTTTACTCTGCATATTTTGAAGAAATAAATAGAAAATGTTGAAATAAAAATACGAAACAAATGATGAATATTAATATCGATAAATTAATCTTTTATTTGAAATTTAGGTTAGTTTGTAAATTTATTTGATATTCTCTGCACTAAGTGATTTAGGTTAGCGAGGAATGTTCCTGTTTTTCTCCTAAAAGTAGAAATTTATCAAAGTTTACTGTAATTATTTGTGGATGACAAATTTGATCATCTTCATAAGCAATAAGTAGATTTATCTTTTGTTCAAACTTCTGATTAAGTGTTCGTCGTTAACCTATTTTTTCTGACTTAACTGATTATTCAATACCAATTTTTTACTGTCGTATAGAAACTTTTTACATCAAAATCAGATTCCATGCCATCAAAAAAAAAGGAAACGACTTTTAAATCATGACAGAAATTTTTTTTTATTTCATTGAATATTGAATACTTTGTGACACTTGTTAATTTTCATAAGTATTCAAAATTAAAAGTAATAATTTTGAATATAATTTTTTTATTATTAAATTAAGCAAGTCCAATTTAGAAAAGAACCTTACCTGTCTAGAGCCTCTGAAAGATAAGTTATTATGTGAGTTACAATTCAAAAGTTTAAATAATAAATATAATCATTTGTGATGAATGTTCTATTTTCGTGCTCTTCCATTAGATAGGGCCATATAAAAGTTTCACAAGAAAGTTTTTTTATGAAGAACTTGAATTAAAGCTTCAACTAATTATGCATCTTTCAATTTCTCTAAAGAAGTATACCGTATTATATTAAGTAAATGTGTTATGATGAAATATGTACGAGACTACTCTCTTCTGTAATTTGGAGTCTTTGTAGAAGTAAAAGTACTTTAAAAACAAATAGAGAGTTCTAAAATAAGACATTGAACGTTATCATAGAAGTAAGTACTAACTTGGCAATTTCATTTTATTAAAAAAAAATTACCCAGCAAAATTGACCTGGGTTTTGATTATTTACAAATTTCAAATATTTTATCTCAACTTCTTTGTCTCTTTAAATGTCATGTATCACTAAATAATATATAAATAACTATTATATTATAAATCACTAACATTTCAATCACGTTCAATCAATAAATTAATTTAATATAAATATTATATGCAACGTTACTTACTGTCTCTGGAGCAAAAATAGTCTACGTGACATAAAAATTATTCAAAAACAAAATTGGTTTGGTTTGTTTTGTTTTTTGTTTTTTTTTATATCGTGAGATCTTTTGTTTACAGTGAAATACTTGTTGCTGTAGAATAGATTGATTACTCAGCATATCAAAAATTTTATTTACTGTTAATTAAACAAATTAACCAAGTCTTGTTCTTTTTCATTCCAGGTTGATACATACTACTTTTCAACAAATAATGTGCTAAAGTACCCATTGTAAATGTCAACAGTTTTAATTAACATTCAAGATCGTGATAAAAAATAAAAAAATAGACAAAAAATTATGAACAGTTAATATTATAAGCAATAAATTACAACTGGAAAACTATTTATTTGGAAGAAATTTCTAATATTAGTGGACAAAGAAACTTCAGATGTGGCTTTGTGTACAGTGAATGAGAATTGTCACGGTAGTAGAAGCTGGAGTGGTGAAAGGAATAATTCAGCTAGTGTGAGACTATTTAAAGGTTCTCGCACGCTGTGCGTCTCAGGGCCAGTGGCGGGGCCGCGTGTGGTTCGTGAAAGTGGAAGCGGGGGTGGTGGTGGTGGTGGCGGTGGTAGCAGCAGTGGTAATACGGGTAGCCATGTGCATACTCACCAATATCATCGGCATCAACAAGATTACGTAGCAACATCAGTACATGGACAAGCCTTAGATGAAACAAGTAATGTTGATGAATCAATGGTGCATGCTGAGCGAAGTCAACCATCGGGGACATGGATATGCTGTGTACCTTGTTACTGGCTCAGACGTAGTGAAGCTGTACATAAAGCTTTACTAACTTTTGCCATGTTATTGGTTACTAGTTTGCTAGTTACTAGTCCTGTTCTTTTTCTCATTACCACTCTACCGGAAGGAGATCAACCACGAGATTGTGCTCCTTTGGTAAGATTAGTTGTCAATCAATATTTCATTTTTCTCTTTATAGAATAAAATATAATAGAGCAATAATGAAAGTTTTAATGACTTTAAATTAATATAATTTTCTTTTATCATCATCATCTCTTCTAGCTAGTGGTCTTGTAATGCTACATAAAATAAAACATTCACATTACTGTATTGATTGCTTCATATTTATATTTTCATGCTATTATACTCAAAGATATATTTACTGTACGTTAGGACCAGAAAAATAAGTATGAAACTTGCAGCCAAACGATATTTATATTTTCACCCTCTTTATGAGTTGAAAGGCTCTTATTTTCACGCAAGGCCGTGAGTATAAAACAAGTTTTGAAACCTTGTAATCTTGCCGAGAAATTTCTCGGTTTCTATAAAAACATTCTATTTTTTTTAATTTTCTCTACTCTTGAATATTACTGTTACAAAAAATTTAAATAATACATAAAGTTCTAGATGATCAAAAGTACGTTTCGAAGAAACATAAAACATTTACATATACATGACAATTATTGTAGCAAAAAAAGCTAACGCCATGTAAATTCGATATCTATTCTTTAAAAGAATGTCTTTATAAGTTAGCATCAAGCCGAATTGATCTTTAAAGCGCTCTTTACTTTAGTTATTCGCTATATTCTATTTAAAATAAAGTGTTACCAGTTGATGTTTGTAACAAAAATCCAATAATTCTATTTTTCACTGTTCATATCTATGAATAATTTTCGTAGGTCTTTTGAAGGTCTTATCTTTGAAATACACTCAGCAGATCATCTCCTAGTAGTGCCTATCAATAACTCTGGACCGTATGGTTCCGGAAGGTCATATCCTTTGAAAACCTCTGTTTAGTACATCCTGACCTCAATAAAGCCAGGCGATGCGTAACTTCCTGGACATAATCCAAACCTGTTTAAGTGGCAATTTGTTTATAACAATTATTATTTGTAAATAATTGAGTAATATTGATCTTTCTCAGGACGATGCATGCATTCGAGAACAAAACGGATTAGAAGACTTGTGTACCACCGAAGCGTGCCATGAAGCTTCTAGAAAAATGTTGGCATCAATGAATAGAAATGTGGACCCATGTACTGATTTTTATCGATTCGCTTGTGGTGGATATAGTGATCATGAATTTTTACTGTCAAGTTCCAGCTTTACGATACTCCAGAAACAAGTTGATCGTAAAATACAGAGTAAGTACTCTTTTTGAAACTAAATTAGATAATATTACGGTAAGTTGCATAACACGTGTAATCAATAAGATGTAGGAGGAAAGATAAATATCAAGAAAAAAAAATACGTCGTTACTAGCAGAAATTTTATAAATGTTTGCTATTTTACAGAGAATGGACACTCATTAATATAAAATCAATTGACTCATTTAATGGCTTCTGAAAATATACATCCAGAATGGATACATTCCAAGTAGAAAACATACTTTATTACCGTTGTGCCAAGTAGGATATTGGAGCTTTGGAATAGTTTTTTCGAAAAACAATATAAACTATAAATTTTTTTAACGATCACTGTTTTGTACTTGACATAGAGAATACTTGCATTCAATGCAATACTTGTCATACTTTGATTTATTTTCTTACACTTGGGTGATATTTCCTGAAAATTATATATCAACTTTTTTTATACATTAACAAAATTAATTCTTGCTAATACGAAGTAAGTAAATTAACGACATCTTTATTTTTTTGCTAATAAAATATTATTCTTGTATACACAAGAATAAATGGTGATTAAAAATTGATCGATTAATTTACTCTACTGGCCAAAAAATGATAAGATACAACTTAGTTCATTGTTAACACTACAGTTTTTAGTTTACCAAGAGCTTTTTCCTAATCCTCTATAATTAAAAAAAGTACATGCTGCTTTAATTAAATAACTTATAATTTTGACTTTATTATAATTTTAATTAAAATGTATTTACAAATTTTAAATATTATTTATCACTAAAGAATGTTTTCTATCATGAAAAAATGCTTTAACAATGTAAGGAATATGTAAACATGAGCTTTTTCAAGCTGTATCAAATGATATGACATGATGATCTGAGAAAGGGTTTGCCTTTGTACTTGGTACATAAAACTTTTTTAAGAAATAACGAATCATACATTTAATTTTAATATTATTTCTATTGTTACAGAATTATTAGGAAACGAGACAGGAAAAATGGTTGGAGTTTTCCATAAATTAGGACTATTTTATTCATCATGTATAGAACACAAAAACAAGGATGTTAATTTTACACAAAGTGAGTTTATATTATCATTTATGATTTTTCATTATTTGTATCGATAAATTTATTCATGCATGATAATATTCAATATACTATTGATAACGAATTAATTCACCCAATGAACTGGATCATTTTTTGATAGATATTACATGTCTTTTCCAGATTGCACATATGAAATGCATACTCACAGTTGCATTATTGTATTCTTCTTTAACTCAAAAATGATTACTCACTCTCTGTATCTTACTTCATACATTTTTCCTTCTGCTTTGCTCATAATGGCTCGATTCACTGTAAAGTTAACTTCCATTAACCCAGCGTCAGTGGAAAACCACAAATGAAAAATCGCTACTATTGCAAGTGTGGAATAGAGTGCAATAAGAAAGTGTACATGTGATAACAAAAGCTTCTTTAACCTTGACCAACTTCTTCTAGCATAAAAATATTGGATTTATTGACTTTCATATATATATATATATATATATATATATATATATATATATGTATAAATAAAGATAGATTTTACAAAGATCCCATTCATCAAAAAGTTGTCATTTTTATGTATTTATTTCGATGCTACTAATTTATTTGAAAATAGAAGTGTGTTTATAATTCACTAATTTCATGAAAATAGCTCTGCATAATCTCGTTGTTCAAGTGATACTGGTTGGCTATTATAGTCGTATTGTTGGTGCAGTTATACTTGATGGCAACACTTGGGTAGTCAATATTCCTAAATTGCGAAGCTCAATAGCGTTGAGTTAAAACGATTAGCAGAGAGAACTTTGCATAGAACTATTGTGAGAAATTTTTTTCGCCTTTCACGAGGAACTAATCTATATATCGAACCTCATGAAATAGTGTAAATATTTTATAATACGAAAAAAATGTAAGGTTTATTGTTTTCACAGTTTTCAGTTTTTTAGACATCTCCATGTATGTAAAACTTGGAATGTGTGTTTATACTATTATATGATATATTTGACCTAAAATATTTTCAGTATAACAGAAAATATGGCTTCCCCGAAGTACTTTTATATTAGTATAAAATATCTCTACTTTCAACCATTTTTATTATTTTATAGACATAAATATCAATGTGTAGGAAAGCAGCATGTGTGGTGTATACTATATGCATATATCATATTATTCGATAAAATATCACATTTAAATTATTCGCGAAATTATAACAATGCTAACATATTAATTGAACATAATAAATATTTTTAAATAATGCTATATAAACTCTATTTTGGTGTCATTAAATTATTATTTCTCATTAATTTAATTAAATTTTGCATTTTACCGTAACTAGAAGATTTTTATCACAAAATAATTTTTTCTATAAAAACATAGAAATTTAATTATAAAAAAAAATTGTTTTATTTCTGAAGAAAAATTAATTAAAACTATTTTAACGTTATATTAACAGTGTATGCAATCCTAGAAGAATTTGGTGGATACATACCTCCAAGAAATTCAGCTCCATCTGATATAACACCTTTAGTGGCGAATCTTCTAAAAATTAATGGTGCCCCTCTATTTGACTTCTATCTTGATGTTGACCTTTACAATCATTCAAGAATGTCTATTTTTCTTGATTTACCTTCGAAGCATTTGGCAAATACTTTTCCTTCGCAGAAACAAGTAAGTTTTTTTCTTTTTTTTCTATAATCAACTTTTCACTTTCAAGCTTCCCTTACAGACACTTTCATTTTTAAACCATGAACCTGACTTGTGTACTTGTTGGACCACTTATCTAAAAAAAATAAATACATCTTTTATTTCAGAAGTACATTATTGTGAGTTTGGTTCTTGAAAATTCTAAGTTAGGTACTTTACGTTATGTGTCTTCCTCTACAGAGACGTAGCATTATCAATGTAAAAGACATCTTTATGTGGAAACATGTTAATTTTAATTCACACTTGCTTGGAGTATAGGTAATAATTGTTTTAGGGAAAATACTTTCCTTGATAAAATGATGATTTTTAAGCTCATAGTTGGCTTTGGAGTAGGCTTTAATCATGTAAATATCAGCTGATGACTACTTAGAGGTCATTGAATACAAACATGCTGATAGTTTTGATCAATCATTTTAAGCTTATTTATCACCTATTTTCATAAATCAATATTGTAATTAGCAAAGCCATAAGTTGTAATATTTTTTCATCAGTGTATTTAAGAGTTGACAAACATGTAAACAAAAAAACTCATATATTTTTTAAAGAGAAAATTCACTTCTTAAAACGATGATATATTTGCATAAATTCATGGTGATCTTATGTTTATGTTAAAAAATTTTAAATATATTTTATCATGAATTTTTCATCGAAAATTTATTTTTAAAAAACTGAAAGGATCTTTCAAATGAATATTTAAAATACTCTATAATAAATTTATGATGTCAACATTGATTATGAAATGTTTATAAATAATTATTAGCTTATTAAAAATAGAAAAACAATACTTACAAATGTTGAACAACCTACTAAATTTTTATTCTATACCTTCAACGTTAAAGTAAGTTTTAAATACTTCAAACAATAAGCTTTCTAAAGGTAACTACAATGTTGAAGATAAAGAATAAAAAAACTCTAGCATCGTAAGTTTAGAATGTTATTTGGCCTTTGAGAGTATTCTTATCGAAAACTTTGAAAATGTGTTATCTCTATTCTGTTTTATACTATGTATACCCACTGTGAAATTCATTATAGATAGTAGCTTTTTGTCATAAACATTTAATCTGTGAAAAACAAAATAGTCCGTTATAAATGATCATTATGGTAGAGGAACAATGTACAGAAAAATCGATTTGACTTCTTTTTAATTCCACACACTGGTGGATCTCTTAAAAAGAGTGATACTTTAGTAATAAGCATTATCGAAATATTCAATATTTGCATGTTTATTTGTAGTCATTCAAGGAATATCAGTGTTTACTAGGGTAGAATCGATGAGAACAAGGATATTGCTGTGTTATTTCGAGGTTTAGGTCAATGCTTATTTTATCAGGTCTTAAAACAAGAAATTATATACAAAAATGTTGTGACACTAATCATTAAATAATGCAAATAATTTTAATGAATTTTTTTTTTCATCAATTTTTAATTTGCCATTAGGAAGTTATTTTCATTATTAACAGGATAATTTTCATTAATAATTTACACTTACGTTCTATTTGTTTTTCATTATAATTCACAGGATACAAATGGAGAAATTAGATGTCAAATGATTGAACAGATCCTTCAAAATTTTTTACCACAAAACATGGGAAAGCGTGAACGGTCATACGAAACCTACCTTCTTATGCAATTTTGCTTAGCTTTAAGTAAGGTATGGAAAAGCTTGATTAATATGTATAAATAGTGTGATTATCAGCAACATCAACATCATGTGAATGAATTGAAATGGCATTTACAAACATTTCAGATTTACCCTCGTCAAAAAGATTTGTATGATTGGGTTGATGTGGATCAAAGAGTATACGTGCCTTACAACCTTACGTACTTGCAAGATAGTTTCAGTTATGTAAGTGAATGAAAAATTTAAATAAAATTGGGTCACAGTGATTCAACTCTTTTCTAGTGAATAAAAATCGGATCAACAGTTTTTATATTTACTTTTTGATATACTAAATTTCTAAAATATTTACTGCATACCTTTGAAAGTATTTTTAAAGAACATTTATATTTTCACAATTGGCATAGTTCCAACAATATAATCGAGTCAACACGCGATAATTGAATAATAACAATTATTGATATTACTTTTTCTATTTTTGATATTTCATTATTGCATCAAAATCAAATTAGCGTGACTTAATTATATAATTAATATTGATGAATTGACACTTATCATTAAAAACTACATTGTCTGGTCAGATAAGGTGGAAGACGCTGTTAAATTTCACGTTGACTGAAACTGATATAAATAATAAATACAATCATGGGACCATGACTGATGACCAACTTATTTATGTATATATTACTGCACCACGGTACTTCAGAAGTTTAGGAAAATTGCTCAACCAGTTCTCTAAAAGGTATATTTTTAATTCCCTAGAAATATTTCTAATTTTAAATTAAATGATTTATAGGATCACTTTATTATAAATAAAATTCATTCATTTTATAATTTTTTTTTTTTATAGAATTATTTATAACAGCTTATTATTTCTGTACGCGGTGGATACTCTGTATGATATTGTCAATGTTACTGCCAACGATAATTGGAATAATTCTTGTAATAAATTAACAAAAGTCCTTTTCCCTGAAATGGTTGGTGCAGTTTATGTACAGCAATACAAACCTGAATATTTGGAAATATTGGCTGGTCAAGTAAGTCTATTATGCAATTAATTTCTATACATAGATAGAATATCAGATCAGTATATTGAGGTAATTCATCAATGACTCCATTTGATAAAATTATTATTAAGGTTAATCATCTTTTCGAACGTATAAAAGAGACACTAGCAGAGAGAATATTAATTAAATCATGGCTTGACGATCATACCAGAGCACAAGTTCTTCTAAAACTTGCTCATCTACGTGGAAAGTTCACCGTCTGGTCGGGTTTTTTTAACAAAACATTGCTGCAGAAGGAAGCTGCTGAGGTAATTTAATGTATTATAGAATAATAAAATAGGGAAAACCTTTTTTGTTTAATTTGTATCTGTCTTCAGATTATTGTTGAGACGGATAATTTCATAAAAAACGTCATGAGAAGATTTCGACAAATTCGCAGGCCAATGGATCAAGTCCTTCGAAGTAATTTCAAAGAGAGGTGGCGAAGTCCATATGCCGTGAATGCATACTATGAATCTTCAACGAATTCTATAGGTAATTAATTAATGCCTTTATTATGTATTTACATAAATATTTGAATTGATGTTTGACAGTGATACCACTTGCTATGATGACTGCGGTATCTTGGTCTTGGGAAGGGGGGCCAGCTTATTCAGCTCATGCAACATTGGGCTCAGTTATTGCTCATGAAATCCTCCATGCCTTTGATCTGCATCGCCGACGCTACAACTCAGATCCAATTTTAAATGTCAATAACTGGCTTCGGATAACTCCTAAGTCTTGGAATCAACTTGAAGCGAGGATTGAGTGTATAGCTAAGTTGTATGCAAGAAGATTTTGGAGAAAAATACAGTATTATGGTGATGAAGTTGATGTACAAGTACTTATCAATTACATTACATCATTTTTAATTAATCCTTCTCGTTTTTTTACAAAAAATATTTTTTTTAGTTTGATTGGAATGTCACTAAAAACGAAAATGTTGCTGACATTGGAGCAATACAAATTTCCTATCAAACTTGGCACACTTTAACAAATGGCAGAGATCGAACTCTACCCTTATTAGAAGCTTTGCGTCCAAGTCAAATGTTTTTTATAAGCGCTGCCCAGGTAATAATTTTGTTTAATATAACTTCAACATTTAACACTGAAGTAAAGCATCAAATATTCCAACTGTTTTCAATGAATTTTGTAATCATAAAAAAATGTAGCTACTACTGAAACAAAAAAATCTATTTTAGTTATAAATAATAAACTTGTTATTAAACTAAAGTTTATTTGATTTTTTTTTTGTTAGAATTACGAATTGATTTGCAGTGCTTTAGGCAGGATAGTCATAAATGCAGAAATTTCAATAATAGTTTTATTTTCAGACTTACTGCACTAATACAAGTGCAGATAGCAATCTGATTTCCAGCGAGCATAACTATCATATTCCATCCCCAGAGAGGTATGAATATATTATGTACTTATGCATACATTGTGTCATTATAGAATTTTTTTTTGTAATTTTAAAATCGTCGATTTTTCTAGAGTAAATGTTGTCATGATGAATTCGTTATCATTCGCTGAAGCTTTTCGTTGTTCTACCAGTACACGTATGAATCCGCCCAATAAATGCAGTACATGGTGATAGATGAATCATTGATAAATTACACAATGCGATTAAATGAAGTAGTAATAAGTTATTATGTTATAGACGATAGAATTGGCTTAATGTGTGATATTTTTAGAAACTTTTTATTTATTCTGTTTACGGTTATTAATGACATTGTTAAGTCAATAGTTATAAGAAAAAAGATGATGAAATTACATTATCTCGAGTGACTTTAATATTGACGGTTGTTAAGTTAAGTGGAAGATACATTTATATATAGCAAATGTGATAAGTATTTTGTGACATAAAAAATTTCAAATACAATATAATTATTGGCTACAAACTCATTGAAATTTTTATTGCATTTACTAAAGTCAATTCGAAAAAAAAAAGTAAATTATTATTGTGCTAAAATAATTCACTATATTTTCACGCCAATCACAGTCAATATTATTAGTGGAATAACTTTGTAATTAAATTAAATTTAAAAAAAAAAACAAATGAAACTGATGGTATTTTTTAAGAAAATATCAATAAGAATTACCATAAAATATTGTAAAATTTTTATAGATATAAATTATATTTATTTAAAGATGAAACTTTTTGTTGCAAAATAAATAATTTATTGATGTTGAAAAGAAATTTTGTAGGCAAAGCTTATGCTATTACCATTATTAAAATAAAATCAATTCATTAATTCTTAAAATATTATTAATGGGAATAAAAGAAATTTTTAATGACTATATTTGAATAATAAAAATAAAATTATTTTTCAATTAACTTTCTCTATATATTTGAAAGTAAGCGACAGTTTCGGGAGAAAATAAGATAAGGTTTTTAACAATTGTACAAAAAATTGTAAATTGATCTCAAAATTTATTAACTAATGTTAATTATTAATATTACAAAAAATTAGAATTTTGCTTGTTATGCATAAATTTGGCTTTCAACATCTTGATTATTGTTGAAATTTATCTAGCTCTGTATGTATAAAAAAATCTAATTTATATGATATTGTTAGAAAAATAGAATACTGTTAAATAAGAATGATCAAATAAATAGTATAAAATAAAAACAATAGATTTTGAATAAATTCCTCAGTATTATTAATTAAGGTGAATCTAAAACAACAATCTGTTATTTTTATTTTACTCTATTCTTTATTTATTATAAAACACTGTGTCATTTAGGATTAGTTTTTTGAATTATACATGTTTCAGTTTATACTAAAATATAACTTAATTACTTCATAACCATTCTTATTTTGTTGCACCCTTCTAGATGTTATGATAAGATAAATGATAGATGATATGGATAGGACGTGACATGATATTCACTTGAAATTTTCAAAGAGTTTTCGTCGATTACACGATAGGGAATCTACTGAAATTTGATTGATCATAGCTTGAGAGGTTTTGCACAAGTTTCAGCAAACTTGACAGTGACAGGAAGTAAATATGTGATACCTAATAACTAAATGTGGAATTTTAATCATATCAATCGATAAAGCTCTTTAGAAGTACAAAAAGTCAAAGTATGGTCTAAATTTAAATAATATTCACAGCTCTTATTAAAGATAGACATTAAATATTTAAGAGGTAAATCTATTGATAATAATTAAATGATTCTTCGGGGATAAAAATATTGATCCTTTTAGTTCAAGTTCTTTTGTCTGAATAAAAGACTGGTAACAGTCGAAGAAAGACGAGGAAACTTTAGGTGAAAGTTTTTATCATAAAAATTCTTCCGCTATCTAGATGGAGACAATAGTTTGATTTAAGAGATTCTATTATAGAGAAGAATTCATTCATAAGAAATTTTGTGTCAGAAAATCACAGTTATGAGAAACACATCTAAGGGAAAGTGAATAAAAGCTGCTGTTAATGACAGAAAAGGAAAATACAAAAAAAAGGATAAATAAAGATGGTGAAAAGTATTAAAAGCTGTGTTAAACCGCTTATTAACTACATCATTTTAGAGTGACTTATTAAATGGTTTTTATCAAGATAGCAAATGTTTAAAAACTTTTAATACTTGCAGATTAAGTTCTTTAATGTATCAACATGCTTATTAATATAAGCTAGATGTCTTTAGATATTTCTATTCAATCAGGAATATCATTTTCTCTCTTTCAGAAACACTTTCTAATTCTTCATTTGCACTGATGTCTTTGCAATCTTAGCTTATACTGACAGAATCTATAATATCCAGTTATTTTCTATTCTTACAAAGGAAATCAAGTTGAAAAGTTCCACAAAATGACATCGGTTATATAAGGGGGGGGGAGGTCCCTTTTTTCCAATCAGAATTTTTAACAGATGTACTTGAGGGTAATCACACAGTAGAATAGAATAAAGAATGAAAGAAAGATCGATATAACTTAGCAGCGGTCACTAACTGATAACTTTTAGTTCTTACCCTGTAATTGAAATTTTTTATAAAAGACATTATTGCATGAACTCTCTAGGATACCTTTCAAAGAGACTATTGAGGTTTAACTTCCGCATGAAGTTGAAATAAAATTTTCTTTCTCTTTGAATAAAAAATGTCCACCCTAAGTGAATATCAGCAATTGATTTTGCCAACTATGATGATGAATAAAGTACTATCTATATGGCCGTTAGATCAAAACAACAGTAGCATGGTGGAAAACCGATTAAGAATTGTTCATAGAACATTAGTATTTTTAATCTTAACATCATACTCTATCGCAGTAACTGCAGATTTTATTCACCACAGAAAAGACATTGCTGATGCAACAGAATGTGCTTTAATTGGAATTGCTTTCTATCTTTCTGTTGTAAGGATTGTTATTTACACAGTACATCAAGATAAGTTGACATATATCGTTAAAACTATGAAAACTGATTGGGAAAAATCAAATTTAAAAGATCGAGAAATTTTAAAAGACAAATGTATCTTTGTTTTTAAATTATCTAAATATTTTATCTTCACTGTGATATCAACCATTCTTGCATTCATGTTCATACCGCTTCTAGAGGTAAGTGTCCATGATGAAATTCATGATAAATGTTTGGATTGATAGATCAAATAATTATTTTGTAATATACAGTCAGTTCTGCTTGGTACCAATGAACGAAAGTTACCATTTCGTGGCTACTTTTATGATAATCAAACTAATTATCCAGCATATGGATATCTATACATATATTCTATCACTTCTGGAGGATTAGGAGGCTGTACAATCGCTGGTGCAACTAGTCTGAATCTCATTATGGTGATGCATGGAGCTGCGAAGTTCAAAGTTGTACGTAAGAGATTGGAAGCCTTGAAGAGTGAGGCTGATAATAAAGAAGAGTTTAAAGAATGTGTGATCCAACATCAGAGTGCAATACTGTATGTAAATCGTTCATCTGCAATACAAAAAAAATCTCAGATTAGTTGAAAAGAAAAAGAAAAATAAAAATAAATAGAAATATTCAAGTTTAAATGAATCCTTGTTATTAGATTTGCTGAGCGCGTTGAAGGTACAATAAATATATTAGCGTTGGGTCAATTTCTCATTAGCAGTGGGCTTTTGTGCTTTGCAGGAGTTCAAATTACTATGGTAAGAAACTTATAATAAGGAAATAAAGGGTAATAAAAGCAAAAGGTTGAAGACATTAAAATGTATGTGTTCATTACGCAGATGAGATTTTTATTAAAAAAAAGTATTTTCCTGTATAACAGGTTGAACAAGCGAAAGGTGATTTAATGAAATATTCATCATTTCTTAATTCAGCAATTTTTGAACTTTTTCTGTTCAGTTATAGTGGAAATGAACTAATGAGTGAAGTAAGTTATCCTAGCCAAGTATGACTCTAAAAGAAAAAAACTTATCCAAATAATTATAATATATATCTATATAGCATTATTAAATTTAGAGTGAAGCAATTGGTATGTCAATATATAAGTCTGATTGGATAGGTGCAGATTTCATGAAAAGCTTACGGATTATCATTATGAGATCTTTTATTCCAAGCACAATTACTGCTGGTAAATTTTATAACATGTCTCTAATGAGTTTCACTTCAGTAAGTTCCTGTCATAAATACTCAATAAAGCTATTATTATAACAATTATAACAATAATTGCTTTCAATATTTAGGTCTTAAGTACAGCGTTTTCTTACTTTACGGTGCTACAAACTATGCATTCTGAGTAAAGTATCTCATAGTACATCATTTATTGTATCAAATAAATACATTGAACAATAAATAATCCTAGACCTATGTTATTATTGTCAATATTTTTTTAATTACCTGAATTTAAATAATTTGAGCCCATAAAATTCATTACAATACAATTGAATGTGTTCAGGTCAAAAATGGATGTTGAAATTTAATCATAATACAATACATGCATAATAAAACATATCATAGCACAACTACAAGCCTTCAACATGTGGCAATTTATAGCTCCATAATAGCACATCTATTGCACCTGTAACTACCAAAAACTGCAATCTAAATAATGTTAATTGAATTAATTTATTCAATTGATCTTTCATTTAGTAATGATATAGATTTACATGCTTTTAGTAGAATTTCTTTATTGGCAAATATAGTTAGATATACTCTCGTGCAAAATGTTCTTTAAATGTACACGCATTCGTGCACGCAAATAATCGTATTATTATTATTATCGATCCTTTATACCGATAATATCTGATATCTGTCTATTTCTCTTTTGTGTAATCTCACTTGTTCTATTCCTCGGCCTACAGATTTAATCTTATCGTATAAGTTTATGTAGAGCAGGATGTACAAACTCAGATCTAGGACTGTGCAATCTGAACTGAAATATTGCAGATTTAATTTTTATAGTAAACTATTAACTTGCCTAAGACAGAAAATACTCCAATTATTCCAACATCGATATTTAAACTCAATAAAAATGTTTTAATTGCTTTTTGGAATGAAAATAAAAATATTTAAAAAAAAAAAAATTGAAAAAGAAAAAAAAGTAGAATTTATTAATAATCACCAAAATATCTTTAATATCGAATTCTCACCGTTGGAAACGTCAACAAATGTATTCATTCAGCTGGGGGAAAAGAAAAAGACAAACGTTTCAAGCATAATTCTTGAAATAGCACAATTGTGGATATAAATATATCAAATAAAAAGTTACGTACCAATTAACAAGACTTTTAAACAGATGTTAATTTTTCTTTAAATTGATCTTATTTTTATATTCTGAAAGATGTAATGATGGTACCCAGTGATGAGGATTTCCAACATCACGACATACCATCCAGCTGTTAGTTTGGGTGGGGTAAGTCTAAGACAAATTTGGACTCAGAACTGACTAGAAGTATTTTCATCTTACAGTACTACACGTGCAGTGACTTAGTAATCTTAGTCGTAGTTTCATGACGCTTTTATTTTCTTTAAAATTGAATTTTAACCAATTATCTATTATTCCAATAAAAATATTAAGTGCTGTTTCTTTACATTTATTTAATTATGTGCAATAGACCATTTCATATTCTAGTTTGATAAAATACTAAAAATCAGGAAGATGCACATTTTTTAAGCTTCAATAAAAAAAAAACAAAAACGTTTATGGCAATGGCAAGTATCAAAGTAGCTGTGAGAGTACGGCCAATTTCCACCAGGTTAGAACTATTCTTTTTATTTGCAAAATACTTTCTCAATGATGTGTATAAGAGCTTTCTTGACTTTGTTCTTTTAATCTTCTTAAAATCTTTTATTTTCAGAGAAATTAAAATAACAGGACCGGAAGTAGTGGTGCATACTGAATCTAAAAAGATCTCATTAATAAATCCTAAAGTTCCTTCATCTAGAACAGCTGATAGTCGTAAACGAATAAAGCAATTTTATTTTGACTATTGTTTTGATTCTTCTGACCCCATTGCTAATGATTATGCTGGGCAGGAGAAGATCTACAACACACTTGGTGCACCAGTGCTTGATTCTTTTTTTTCTGGGTATAATGCTTCTATTGTTGCATATGGCCAAAGTGCATCGGGAAAAAGCTACACCATGATGGGCACTGAAGTAAGTATATTTTAACATAATTAAATAAAATATAATAATCATCACCTCAAATTAATTCTTGATGACAAAAAATCCATCTTTTTCACTTTTTCAGAATGATCCAGGCATAATACCACGGATTTGCAGTGATTTATTTGCACGAGCATCTGACGAAGAAAAAAGTGGCAAAGTTCTTCGTTTTTTTGTCAGGTATGTCATTCACTTTTACTCGTATATATCAGTATAAATGAGTCATGTTTAGTTTGAGCATTTTAAATAGCTCTTTTATTAAAATGCTGTCAGGAAATGTAAAATCTTGGGCGTTCATATTAACTGTCAGTTGTTTATTGACCTACATATGCGTTTTTTTGAGGAATGCTTTCATAATGTGTGAAATCATACCTTTGCACTAATACCTGAAAACGATCGGTCAAGGTCTTCTATTTCTTCCGTACCATCCATTATAAAACATGTTTGACTGTAAAATCAAAATAATTTATACTCTATTTTGATGTTGGTAGTGAATTGGATTTATTTTGATTGATAACCTATCGATTCAATAGGAAAATAAATATATATTTTATTTTCATTTATTTATTTTTTACCAAAGTTTATCGAAATTTATCACTTTATTATTGTTTATTATTTGAATGAGATATTTTCATGATAGAATGTAATCAGCGAAAAATTTTAATTCAAGTTGTTGTGAAATAATGTTGGGAATGGAGTGCGTAATATTGTTGTAAAGTAATTCTGTAATTGTCTAATGTAAACTTAAGAAGAAAATGAAGATATTATAAACAAAACTTGAACAAAAGAAGTGGGATAATGAAAGGCGCACGATACCTCTGCAAGGTGTTCTGTTGGCCTCAATGTCTTTCGAGCTTACAGTATCTCGTGACATGCAACTGTAAACGGACGTAAACTCATTGAACAGTGGTAAGAACTCTTACATTTGGTAGGTTAGACGCTAAATTTATCGTAAGCTCTTTCAAAATTTTTCATTTGTTTTATTTTCAACAGATTTGGTTCATTCTCGTATTCTTTTTTTTCTAGGATAAAAAAAATGTATCACAATAGATTGGAACTGCTTGTAATTATTGAGGTTATAAAAATTTATAATTAATTATTGTTAAATTATTTTGTTTGAATGGAATGAATTACATTATGAGTATGTATTTATTTAAACCAAGTTTCCAATTTAAATGGATAAAAAGAAATCGAGCTTTGTATTAAGAGCGAAAATTTGATAAAGTGTAATAAGAGCTTGCAGAATTTCGAAGACTCCTTATCTGTTTATCCAACTTGGCACAATACTTTGCACATAAATACTTTCACCACGTTGTTCACTCTAGATAATTTCAGACACTTAATCCGAATGCGCCTCGTTAATTTTCCTGGAAACGTCAGGTTGTTATGATTCACTATGTAAACGTAACAATTTTAAAAGACCGTAAAATTTGATGAAATATTAATAAATAAATTTGGTTGTAAGATTTATCATGTATTACTCATAATTAATCTCCAGTGTATTATCTTATTTTTCTTTAAAAAGATTTATAATTATTTATTTAGATTTAAGAAGGATAATACAATTTCTTACGATTGCTATTAAAGTATAAAAATAAGTAGGAAACAAATTTTCTTGAAGTTTTCTAAACAAACAAAATAATTCCTGGAATTAAACTTTTTTTACTATCTTGTTTAAAAGTAAATATCAATTTACGTAAATTAAATTTAGTCAATGTCTAGAATTACCCTTTATATTGCAATATAATTATACACGAAGGGATTTTTTAAAAAGAAGTTCTAAGGAGTATAATTTTCTTTAAAGAAATAAATATTTCTCCAGTAAAATACGTATAAACAAAAAATCTGACATACATCCATTTCTAAACCTCCACGAATAAAATTTTATAGTAATTTTTACTAGTTAATTTACAGTCAAATTTACTAACAAAAAAATTGAAAATTATTAGGGGTTTTAGTAAAAATAGCTAAAAAATGTAAAGTTAATAAAAAATTGTTTAAAACAAATCGAATCTAAGATATTTCTAATTATTTTTTTTTATAGCAAATCGAGAAACGAATTCATACATTACTTCATCATAATTCAATTCGATTTCTTCTTCAGTGTTGGTAATCACTTCACTTTTCACCAATTATGATTTATCACTTTTTCCTATTTCAATTGGATTTGCAATCAATAAATTTCATCATAAAGCATGGAAGTCTGTTGAATATAATGATACTTATATATTTCAAGAGTTGGCTACTAGTAGATTAGTGAAAGTATTTAAGCAGCATATAATAACATTTTATATTACAATAATAGTGATAATGATTGTAATCATGAATCGAAAACAAATAATGATCAAACTAGTAAAAGTAAAAACTTCTTTCAATATTTCACTATTTTCTCATTTCGTCAAATAACTGTTCCTCCTCTTCGATCGATTCTTATTTCGTCGAGTTGCACCTAATATCCGTCAAACACGAACTTGGTGTGTTATATGACTGATCTGCCGTCACACTTGCTTTTCTCTCCCAACAAAATTACAAGATCAATTTTACAAAGAGAAAGTCTGAATTAGATTTCAAATTCTTGTGTTCAGTTTACAAGGTTATCGCAATTATCTTAATGAATGTTTGCAATTTTAATGTTTGGGGAAATGAAATATTTTCAAATCATCTATCCTATTACACAGATATAAGCTTCATCATTTAATTCTCAAATAGAATGCTACATCACCAATACTAGAATTTATTTACACCATGTGAGCAAACTATAAATTAAAAGATGTTATTTATCAGAATAAAATTAAATATTTATTATTAAATAATGTATTATATTTAAAATTACTCATTCATCATTTGTTAATTATATTTCAGCTATCTAGAAATCTACAATGAAAGAGTAAAGGATCTCCTGAATACTTCTATGGATGCTGGCAATTTAAGAATCCGTGAACATCCACGATTTGGTCCTTATGTTGAAGGTAAGCAGAAACTTTATTCCATTCATCAACTTGACACATTATCATGATCACATTAATAAATTTAGATAACATTTGAACCACAGGATTAACCCAATTCCAAGTCAAAAGCTTAAGTTCATTAATGTCATGTCTCAAAGAGGGTACACTAGCTCGCAAGACTGCTTCAACTTTACAAAATCTCACAAGTAGTCGAAGTCACGCTCTTCTCACATTATCATTAGAATTCAGTAACTCTATATCTGAAGATGCTATGTCTAAAGCTTTAACGAAGTCTCAAAAAAAAGCTCATTTTTCACGTTGCAAATTGTGTTTAGTTGATTTAGCTGGTAGTGAGAAATCCACAGCCTGTGCTGGAATAAATCGTTTAAAAGTGAGTCATACATTTTGATTAAAACGACTATACTATTTTCTGATTTAACATTTTCTCAGTGATACTCATGTATTAATAGGATACTTTATAAAATTATCAGGATAAAAAAAAGGAAGATTTTTCAGCTCATTGTAAATCACTGCAATTCAACTTCCTAGACGCTAGAATTTTTTAGAAATAAAATATCCTGGTTTATATTCAGACAACGGATAATAAACATTATCATAATATAAATACGACTCTGCAGTGATTATTTTTTGTTACTCATAAATAAATTTCTTTTTTTTTTCAAACCAGGACATTCATTAACTGTTACTATTTTTATTTAACATACTATCAAAATTAATGATCTATAATTCAAAACATTTATCTCAATTACATACCATTAATATCAGAAATTCAATTAGCAACTTAATTTATCAATAACCCTGATCAATGTATATAGAAGTAATAAAAAATTGATCAAACTTTTTTTTGTACAAATTTTTACATGTAGTAGATTTTTTTTATTGAAGTCAAAACTATCAATTTTGATCATAATAATACAATGTCAATCGATTATTTTGCATAAAGTCAATAAATATGCATGATCGTAGAAGTCAAACCAATTATTATTTTACTATATCAGGTGCATAATATTCTCGTATGTATTGATTTAAGTCACAGGAAGGAGCGAATATAAATAAAAGTCTCGTTGCTTTGGGTAATGTAATTTCTGCTCTCGCTGAGCGAGGTTCCACAAGTCATGTAGCAGGAAAAAGATTCATTCCGTATAGAGATTCAACGCTCACATGGTTATTGAAAGACTCATTTGGTGGAAATGCAACTACGATTATGCTAGCTAGTAAGTAAAAAAAGTTTAATAACATTGTAACTTGGTATTGGTGTATTTTTATTTATTTATTGTTTTTTTAATCATTTGATTATGACATATTTCAAATACAGGTAGTGCAAATATAAATACCCATTAAGCTTTCAATATAATTAGCAATGACACTTTTCCAGGTTTGCTATGATGGACTGATATAAAATCTGTGCTCACCAAAGAGCACAGTCCTGCCATTGGTAAATAGTAGAGAAACGTAGATTTAGACTTATTAAAGTTTTATTTGTCCAATTTTAAAAGAAGCAGGAAATATTTAATACTTAAAAAAAAAAATTTAATTAAAAATGATACTTAATTTTATTGTACAAGCCAGGTTGTATCAATAAATGAGTTACATATAATTTTCTTAAACATCATTGTAAATATTCACTATGCTGCCGTTATTTGTTCCAAGTTGATTCTTATTAAACAATTAATTATATCTTGATTGAACCAATTAAGAGTTCGTGTTTTACTGAATAAATTAATTTATCTTTTCAGCGATATCGCCAGCAAGTGGAAGTTACAATGAGACAGCTCACACCTTAAGATTTGCTCAAAGGGCGCAGAGTGTAGTCAATAAACCAGTGATTAGCGAAGATCCTGTTTCTAAAATAATTCGAGAACTTCAAGCAGAAATATTAAGACTCAAAGCTCAACTGTTAGAAAAGGTAAATAATAATTTACTTGATAGTATGTAGTTGAATTATTTTTAATATGATATTTATCTTATCATGTACAGATCAAATTTAAATGAGATTTGATCGTGTTTGACACAAACATTGGATTAAATTAGATCTAATGATATATAGCCTTAGATTGAATGTTAGATAAATTTTATTCATAAAATTGATGCTATAATCGAATTAAATAAATTGTAAACTCTCTTTTTTTTTATAGGATACTGAATTGACCAACGATTGCAAGTTACTGTGCTCGTGTCGAAAGAATCAAGATCTAGTTTACACCCCAAGGAAGGGAGATGATAAAAATACACCACTTTTAACTTATGACAACTTTAATTTATCTCCAACTGTCATTTTTAGACGACATAGCTTTGATGATTATTTGAATTCTAAACTAATAGTATCGAATCCGTTGAAAAAAGTAGGATCATTAGAATCAATATCTGATTTGAAAAATTTTAATGATAGAATTTCTTATTCAAGAAAATATGATAAAGGAGCAAAAAGTTTAAAATTGGTTGATAATAATTCTGATGAATCAGCTTTTGTAGATATTCCAACATTAGTAGCGGTTCTTATCAATGCAGATGCAAATGCAATCGAACAAGATACTCATCAAATTGAAGAGCTATCTACTAATAGTACACATGTTGATCCTATTGATGAGAGAACAAATAGTTTTGTCATTAATGACAGCTTAACAAAAAAAGAATTACCAAGTGAATCTCAAGATGAAAAAATTGAAGATAAAAAAACTATATCATCTGTACCTGTGATTACTAAAAAATCAAAATTCAAGCAATCATTATCAGAAGTGTCCAAGCAATCTTCAACCTTGAACTCTCAAGAAAATATTATAAAAGCACCCGAAGAATGTAATAACCAAGGTACGAAAAAAGCTAGCTGTCTAAAAGATAATGGGAAAGAAAAAGTAAAAAATATAGTTGTTAAAGCAAACAATGACAGAGAAACGAAGACGACTTCTTCAAGCCAAGAAGCAGCTATTAAAAAGCAATCTTCTGAAAATATCGAGCGGAATATCAGTAGAGGTGGTGGGTCTAATAGTTCAAAAGATAATTGTCCATTAGCTACTGAAATTATAAAAAATACGAGAAAAAATTCTACAGATCCAGAGCAATTATTACCTCGACAACATACAGTTATTCAACGCGCTCGTAGAGCTGAAATTGTTGCTGCTGTTACTGAAAGACTTTACTCAAGTAAAAAATCTTCTGACGACAGCAATACGACTTCAACGCCGGCCTCGGAAATTCGGTCCCCGGAAATTTCTGAGGTAAAATTCCCTGCTGTGACGAGAATGCGATTGAGAGAAATTTCAAGAAAAATGTTGGCTAAACGACGACGTGTTTGTGTTGACACTCAAACTGATATTTACCCAACTGTTCGAGTTAAAGATGCTGGAATTTCAGCAGAAGAACCAAAAATTATTTATAAAGATGTTTCTATTTTAACTGATCGTCATGAAGACTTTGAATCTTTATTACCTTGTAGTACTCCTGTAATAAGATTAAAAGAAATAGCAACGTCAACTAAAGATCCTGCATTTTTAAAACCAACCATTCTTTTAAAAGATGTTGGCAGTGCGACTGAACAATGTAATAATGATATTATTCCTAATTGTATTAATAATGTCAAAAGTGAACATTCAACAAATACCTGTCAAGTTGATGAACCTAAACATTCGTGCATTCAAACAACACATTCAGATATTTTGATAAAAAACCAACCACATCCTGTAAATATTTGTGAATTAAAACATATTCCACAAAATGATGTTAGATATTTATCAAATCAAAGCTTAAAGTGTTGTCCTTCAATCTCTGTATGTACAGACCCTAGTTATTATTCAAAAATTATTGATAGTAGTCATTGTTGTCCTAAAATTTTGAAAGAATCATGTCAATGTTCGTCGAAGAATCCAGAGAAAAATGTTATTTCTTTATCTGTACCTGATACGATAAATATAGTTATTGAGTCATCTAGTATTTTAGATTCAAAGTTACAGATTTTTGATAATGAAGAATGTCAGCAGAAAGATGAAAATGTACAAACGGAGAATAAAATGTTCTCTCATGTTGAAACATTGACAGATAATGTAACTAAAGTGAATATCAGAGAATCGTGGACAAACACACGATCTGTTGATGAACAAACAAATACTAAACCATTTAAATTTCAACGGTTATTAAATGATCTATATAAAACATCAAAATCTTTAAGAATTAGTACGTCCGATACCATCTATGATTTTGATGGTCCTTCAACTTTATCATTGGAAAAAAGATTTAATAAAACTCACATACCTTCATCTAATTCTTACAATAAAAATAATACAACCAAAAAAAAAGAGTGGCTGACCAAAAATCGATTTTCTTGGATGACTTATCCGAATAATGATGGTCTAAGACATTCATTCAGTTCTCCTAGAACTAAATTCAATTACTTAAATGTAGATAATGTAATTCAATCTAAGTTAAACATAAAAACACGGAATACTTTACGACATTATTCATGGCGTAATATCCGAAGAGCGAGAAGTAATAGTTTTGATAAGAAATTAAGACAATGGAACAGAATAAATTTTTCCAATCAAATAAAAAACATCAGAAGGAAAACTCCTGAGCTTTTATGGACAGATAATAATTTATTGTATTTTAAAACGTTTGATAATAATTATTTTTCTAAGAAAAAATCTAATGTTCCTGATGATAATCAAAACTTGAAACAAGTCAAAACTAAATGTACTGCTATAAAAACAGATATAATGAATGGTATAAATAAAAGTGAAAAAAGGCATGAATATTTAGTAGATGGTACAGCGCATAAGAATGAACAAATTTGTTCATTTAAAGAACACAGAGGTAAAACAATTGATGAATTGAAAAAAAAATTAGAAAATTTAACTAATGAAATAGTTACTACTATTCACGAGTTTAATCCATGTTTAGCTAATGTATTTTTAATACCCATAACATTTAATGGAAATGAAACAACAAAAAATTGCCAGAATTTGTTAGAAAAAAAAAATAAAAATAAAATTGTAATTCCTATTCAACCACAACAGCATTTCTGTTCCTCATCTTCAACAGCTCTAGAGGTACATAATCAGCAAATATCAGAGAATGGATTGACAGTTCAGTCTTGTGGAGACTTTACCAAGTCATTACAGACTCTAGATGCTAAAGTTGATCCTGAGACTCAAGAGAATCCTGAATTAATAAATTTTCTAAAATTAAAAAATATTCCAACGAATGTGAAAAATGATTCTTCATTAAATTCAAGTGAAAATGTATCCCCAAAAAATAACAATCTTATTAAAGATTACCTCAAAGAAACTATAATATTTATGCGAAATGTCAATTTCATGAATGAGTTAGTTAATGCTGACGTAATTAAAAAAAAGCTTTTAACCAAACCTCGTAGTGCATGTAATAAAAGAATAGATCAAAGCACTACAAATAATCATAAAGTTGAGAGAAAAATACTAGATTGCTTTATATTAGAAAATTTATTAAGTCTTGATGAAAATAAATTTAAAAAACAATTGGGAGAACATGCACATAAAAAGAGTAATACTCTCAATCATAAGCATTTATTGAATCCTAAAGACAATTATTACAGTCGACATATCAAAATCAATGACGAAAATTTTTCACTAGAATTGAATAATTTGACAATAAAGGAATTCATGAACGGTAGAATTTCAAATAATTATTCAAAGCAACGTAATATACTCAACAAAATGAAGAAACGACGTCATTCTGAATATTGTATGGAGAATAAAAATGAAAGCAGTAAACTGAATGATTTTGTTGATGATAATGAATTAAATTCTCATATATATTTAAAAATAACAAGTAATGAAAATGATTTTGTATCTAAAGGGCGTAAATTATTATCATCACCATCACGATATACCATTCCAAAATACGATTCTTCAACTGAAAATTCAAGTTCAAACGAAGCTTTTACTAATTTCATCGAATCAATACGTTATAATTATAGATATAAAAATAAATGTAAAATATCAGAAAGTCCACGGTTGAAGTTATTACAATTGCTAAATGAAAGAAGACAAATTATTGAAACCAGCCGCGAACTGTGCTCACCTTAAAATATTTCTTTTCCTTGCTTTACTACGTCAATACGATTTTTTCTTTTTTATAAATTAAGAACTACACAGAAAAAAATATTAATTAGTTATTATTAATTTATTTCGATTTTGTTTATACAAAACAATGTAATAGAGATCTAACTAAGTACACGACAGTGTACACTCGAATGTATTTATTAACAAAAAATAATTATAATAAACACTTTTAAGAGCCTTATAATAAATCATTTTTTTAATACCTTCGATTATTTATTTTCTACCCTTTCTGTAATTTTTTAGACTTTTTTTAACTTTATGGTAGTCTAATCAACGATAAATAAAAAAATAATGATAGTCAGGAATTATAAATTAAAATAATCAGCCAGAAAAATTTCCATATTAATAAGATAGTATTTTTAATGAGCTATCTTTAACTTTAATTGATTTCAAACGTTCATCAAAAATAAAAATTCATGAATAATATCACATTACGAAATAAATAAATGAGATGTTTTACTAGATATTTAAAATATCTTAGCTAAAATATATATATATACATATGTCTATAGTATTGATTAATCTTATATTTTCATGCATTGTAAAAGTATATTTTTAAAATATTTGTACTCTACCTACATTTTTTCGTTTTTTTTCCATAATTTAGATCCTTTTTTTTTTTCATTTTTTTCTATTATGAGTATGCAGACTTGTCAAATTGTGAATTATGATGATGTAATAATGATTTCTGCTGTTAACAAAAAATTGATTATCAAACATTTACAATATTTATTTTTATGTGTGATAAAAATTTCTACTTACTTTTTACAGAGTGTTAGCAAAAAATTCAATCTGCTCCATGCATTAATGTTAATCCTATTTTACTAGATTTTAAAATTTTATTTAAAAACTTAAAGCTTCGGCTAGCGTAACAGAACATGGACCTTGAAAGTGGTATCTAGAAAATATAAATATTATTATTATAAATAATTTAAATAAAATGAATATTTTACATACTCACTGAAAACTTTCTGTGGCTGGAGTTTCCTCAAGATTAAATTCAGCAACAGGCTTACCACGTTCAGCGACTCTTGGTGCAAACATTGCTGCTGGATATACAATTGAAGATGTTCCAGCTATCAGGCATATATCACAGCTTTCAACGATTTCCTCTACAATAAAACGCATTCAATTTATATTGATAGTATTGCTTGAATGTTGATAAAATAATGATATTAAATTATTTACCAGTTTTTGCCAGAATATCACTGTCAAGATTTTCGCCAAACCAAACTATGTGGGGTCGTAACAGTCCAAAACAAGAGTTTTTCTGACATTTGGGTAAATCTTCAACAGGTATATCTGAAGACATGTCATCTGGATTTGGTGAACTAAAATTAATAAACATGTTCTTGAACTAAAATTAGCAAATGAAAACAGCGCTGTAGTAAAAAGTTAACACTGGATACCATTTTCCTTGTAATGCTGGGCAAATAGGAATATTATGATTAACTTCGACATTATCACATCTAGTGCAGCGAGTTTTAAATAATGATCCATGCAGTTCAATGACATTTTTTGATCCTGCTCGCTGATGAAGTCCATCTATGTTTTGCGTTACAACTGTGACCTTTTTATTGTCACTCATACATTTCTTTTCAAAATGCGCGATTGCCTCATGTGCCTTAAAATATAAACACACCATTTGTCATTATTATATAATAATATGAAGCAAACTTTCAAAGTGAAAATAAAACATTGCTTACCTTGTTGGGTTGCACTTTTGTAGCTAAATCTCGTCTGTATTCATAAAATTCCCATACTAGAGATGGATTAGCTTTAAAAGCTTGTGGAGTAGCTAAATAAGTAGCTTGATATGTTCGCCAAAATCCACCAGCACCACGAAAAGTTGGCACTCCAGATTCTGCAGATACTCCACTACCGGTTAAAATTAAAATATTTGTAGCACCAGCTAAAGTATCTTTGAATGATTTCATGATATTATGCATTATATGATAATTAATAACAAAATAATTTCTGTCAAATCTTCGTTAATATCTTAAACAGTAAATATGATTACCGTAAGTTTTGCTACAAGAGAATCAGGTGACTTTACAGCTGATTCAAGTAACTGTTAACCGCAATATCTCTCAACACTGTTGATTTCTCCATCACCTCCCTCTCCATTGGTTTTTTTTTCAAAGTCCAATTATATTTAATATACAATTGGCGCGTATTTCAAATGTACCTTTGAAACATTATACTTCACCATTTAATTCTTTTTTTCACCTCCTTTTTCTCTTCTATTGTTAACAGTAAGAGTAATACGAGTCGAGTGCACCTAATTACAGAGTCATTGTATGGAATACAGAAGTGCCAAAAGATGTCACATTACATAACAATGCCATTTGAAGGGCAAGAATAATTATTTCTACCTCAATAGAACAAAAACCATAATAATAATTGTTGCTATTATGTTTGTTCATATGTTTCCATTCTTTAAATAAATGTTTAATTTTTTAACAATTAACGGATAAATTTTAAAAATTTAGTTTCAGAAATTTTCAATTACACTTTGGATTACAAACACATAAAAAACTATAAAATAATATTGATGAAAGGACAAAAGAATGTTTCCGCTCGGGGTCGAACCGAGGACCTTCTGCGTGTTAGGCAGATGTGATAACCGCTACACCACGGAAACTTCGCATTAATTATTTCATAGTTGTAAATAACAACAGGCTGACCCATCATACTCCTTTATGTTATCTGTATTATATATATTTTTAAACAAATTCTCACTCCAATCGTCTTGACCTTAAAAAAAATATATTTTTAGGATCATTTTGAGCAAGTGCATATGTACTTGTAGGGTATGCAATTTACTCCTTCGTATTATTTTTCTGGTTAAAGTTTCGAAGATTTTACCAGTCTTTAGTAGTCAATTTGCTTCAAAATTTTTTAGTCTAGTCCCTAAAATAACTTTTAGCATATCCAAATCTGTAGTTTTTGAACAGACTATTGATTTATTGGCCTTATTTATTATCTTTATACCAAATATTAATTTATTCCAAATAACTGATATATTTTTTTTTTTTTTTAATTAAATGTCCAATAGAAAAATAATAACTCAAGAACAACTTAAAGAAATAGAAAAACATTTTAAAAAATTAAAAAAATATTTATTAATTAATTTGATTTATTACAGTATTGATCATAAAAAATGTATTGCAACGAGATCTTATTACGAGGAATCCGGAAAGAATGTACTAGAATACTGGCTAATAATTCATTATAATATTGAGCCTTTCACTTGGTTATATTATAACAAATCGCATAGATTAAAAACTGAGATTAAAAGTTGATTTGATCAATTTTTATACGAAGAGAAATTGTTAATTGAACATTTGAGGATTGAAGTTATTTCGATTGTATCTCGATTTTTTTTTTTCTTTTTAGTTTCTAATAAATAATTTTTACATCCATTGATTTAAAATCATTATCTAAGCTTTATGCATTAAAAAAAAACCTATTTTAGTAAAGTCTGTTAATAAGCATAAAAAATATTGCAAATACGTAATTACATTCCTTATTGTAATTAAATATATTATACATAATGTGTAATCTTGAGAGGCTATTATTTAGATATTTATTTATAACTTCATCAACTTAATAGCAATGTTGTTTCATGCAGACGTGTTGTAATTTTAAGTTTGTTTATCGTGACTAATCAAAATAATCATCAAAACGTTTCATTTTCCCCGCAATTCACAGATGGCGCCACTTTCGTTTAAGGTAGGTTTCCATTAAAACAATAAATTATTCTCAAATGATAAAAATTTGTTTATTTTATTTTATAAGGTACTTGTTTCTTATAACTGTTATGAAATAAATTCATCATCATATAGTGATCATTTATTGCTTTTATAGCTGAATTCTACGAAAAATTCCAAAAGCATACGTCATGATATCAATATCTACGCCATTGTCGACATAACGTCAAACAACAGAAGGATAACTACGATTTAGTCAGTCTTTTCTTGTTTTTCTACGTAACTTAACGTTGAAGCTTGATTATTCCTATATAAAATTGTTTCTTGTGATCATACGTCATCAGTAGTTAAAGCCAAACATTGCTATCATCAGTTTGGATCATTGTGCATTAGTCAGTGACAGCTAAAACGTTGGAGCAAGTAATTGCAGATTTAAACTTTTGTGATTCTTCTTTAAACTTTATTATTGATGCGTAGTTAATAAATAAGTGAACAAAAAAATGAAAGCGATTTTACTCGCATTTTGTGCAACCTTGGCAAGTAAGTGAATGACATGTTAATCTTAATTTTGTCAAGTTACAATGCGGTTTCCATTGTTCATATTGTAACGACATTATTGAATCATTAGACAAATCAATCTGATTAAGAAAAATTAATATTCATTTCTCTACTATTTTTATCATTTATTTCTAGAATGAAATGAATATAATGCTATTCAAAAGATTAACATATTGTGAATTAATTTTAATATTTATATTTGTAAAATTAATATTCCATTTAGCTTTAAAAATTTCCATAGGTACTTTATTATTGTTATCATCATCTATAAAGAATACTTATTTTTAATTCAACTTAAAATTATATATCAGTATTTTATTTTAATAAAAAAATTCTTTACTTCCTGAATAAACTCCTCCGTCTTTATACAGTCACTAAAAGAACAGAATAGAAGTTAATTTTATTGAGTTGTATGAGTCAACCCTCATTGAAGTTTCTGTTAGCATATTCCGTAACATTAATTGTACTACACATCTATGAAAGTTTGTTTATAGCAAAAAGGATATTTTATTATTTTTATTTAAAAATTTTTTTTATTCCTTGATCATTATTTTCCAACTGATGTTATCTTCCGTCATGCTATCTACTGTTCTAATATTAAGACTTGATAATAATTCAGCTGAAAAATACTTCCGATGCTCACATTAAATTAATCATGTAAATTGAGCAGAGGATATCATGTGTCAAGAGATAGGAGAAAGGAAAATGAAATTTTCATATCAATTTGAATGATTTATTTTCGGACTTTGTTCCTTGAGTCATTATTATCATATTGATTGAAAAAAAATAGTTTGTTGATAGTAATTAAATTACAATAACATAAACCATAAAACTAAACTGCTCCAATTTCAACATTTCGAGTTATTACATGATAATTTATTTAAAAAATGATTTTTTTTTTCAACAGTTACCAATGCATACGTCATAATAGATCAATTACCCAAAAAGAGTATCCATTTGCTGGGTACTGAAAAATGTACTTGGGGTCCAGGATATTGGTGTGACAATATTCCGTAAGTTTGACATTTAATAACAAAATATTTAATTTTTAATTGTTAGTATTTGATAATGGTTATTTAATTTTATATTAATTAATTACAGAAACTCAGCAGAATGTAATAAAACCAAGTATTGCATAAAGAAGCATTGGGAGAATATGAAGGTTCCAGAGGATCATGACAGTGTTTGTAAAATTTGTATGGACATGGTTCAACAAGCAAGAGATCAATTAGAAAGCAATCAAACACAGCAAGATTTGAAAGCAGTTTTTGATGGAAGTTGTAAACTAATGCTTATAAAACCAATCATTAAAGAATGTCAAAAACTAGCAGAAGAATTCATTCCGCAATTAGTCGAAACTCTTGCCTCACAAATGAATCCTTCAGTGGTTTGCTCAGTTTCGGGACTTTGTAATTCGGCTAAAATTGATCAACTTCTTTTAGAATACGAACAGTCACTTGAAAAGGTAAGACTAATCAAATATTGATATTTTAGTTGCGGTAAATAAGTAAATTATTAGGTATTTTAAAATAAATATTAATTATTCAAGTTCATTTATATAAATTATAATTATGATATTAATTATGTATTCACGTTATAGGCTGACAAAAAAATTATAATACCACTGAAAAATGATGAAATTGAACCAAATGAGTGCACGAAATGTCGTTCCATTGCAACACATATGGAAAATAAATTCCAATCATTATCACGAGATCAGTTTGTTAAAAATATATTAAAAGTTTGCCAACAAATGGGTTCTTTCTCAGATGCGTGTTCTAACATTATTCTTGTAAACTTTGACGCCATTTATGAACATCTTCAAGAAAATTTCCGAGCGAAGAATATTTGTCACCTCTCTGGTCAATGTAGTGGCTTATTCCATCAACATGATGAAGTTGATCAGGTTTGTCTACTTATGATTTGATTATCAATTATTTTATGTATAACTAAATTGTCTATTCAAATAATTATATCAATCTACAGGGTCCTAAAGTGGAAATTCGTCCAATGTCTAGCGTTGGAATGGTTGAAGTTAATGACGATCTTCCATGTAAGTTGTGTGAACAACTGGTTGGACATTTACGAGATTTACTTGTGGCTAATACTACGGAAAGAGAATTCCAACAAGTGCTCGAAGGTTTATGCAAACAAACCAAGTCATTTGCATCTGAGGTACTAAAATAATTTTCTAAATTTCTAATTGAAGAAATTGAAACCTTGGGTATATTTAATACTTCATTAAAAATTTTATTTTCAGTGCATGTCCATCGTTGATCAATATTATCCAGAGATTTATGAATACTTAATTAAAGGATTGAACAGCAAAGCAACATGTGAAATGGCTGGAATTTGTCCAATGCCTGGCACAAAGCAATTTGTGAGAAATAAACTTTTAAATAAACAGATTTTTATTAATAAAACAAAAATAATAAACATTTTTTTTTTATTCAGGAAGGACCAATAATGCCACTTGTACCGGTTTCATCTCACGAAATTGGAGTAAGAATCTTAAAGGAAAATGAAAAACATGATATTAATGTAGCTATTACAAAGAAATATCCAAAAACGGAAGCTGACGAAATGCAACTTCCTATCAAACTGATGTATGACTCAGATTCTATTCTTGATATGCCAAACATGGATCCTCACGGTCAGAAAAAATGTGAATTCTGTGAATATATACTCCATTATTTACAAAATATTATTACTATTCCAAGTACAGAGGTAATAATTAATAAATTAAAGATGATCAATTTATTTAATCTCAGCATTAAGATATTTATTTCAAACATAAATTTATAAATTTTCAGAATGAACTTAAAAACATTTTTGGAAAAGTGTGTACGAAGCTACCTGATAGTATCGGAGGAATGTGCAAGGAATTCTTAGATCAATATGGTGATGCACTGATAGCTCTACTCGTTCAAGAAATCGATCCGTCTACGGTAGTATATATTTGTATTGTACTCGCAATTCATCTCTTGAATTGAATTTTAATTTTATAATATATTGTATCCTAGATTTGTCCGCTTCTTCACGTGTGTCCAAGTGATCAAATGATGGTTGCATGGGAACAACTTCCAAAAGACAAAATGATTGAAACTGAATTAAAAGACAAACCCAGTTGTCCATTGTGTCTTCTTGCTGTTGAACAAATTGAAAATGTTATTAAACAAAATACAACAGAGGTAAAAAATAATTATTTCTTCTTCGTTTTTTAATCAACTCAAATTATTATTTATTATTATTATTATTCAATTATATAAATCATTATAATTTTTTCAGGCAAATATTGAACACGAGCTTGACAAATTATGCTTACATTTACCAAAAAGTTTAAACGAACAATGTGTTGATTTTGTTAAGGCTTACAGTAAAGAATTGATTGAGATGCTTATATTAGATCTTTCTCCCCAAGAAATTTGTGTTTTCCTCAAGCTTTGTGACGAGAAGAAAAAAATTATGCCTGATAATTTCCCTCAAGACAAAGACGGTGAAATTAGTAAGAAAATTCTACTTTTTTAAAGCTCTAAACTAACTTTTATTATGATTATTTCTGACTAATATTGGTAAATAATATTTTTTTAGTGACCAATGAAATACCTGATTTTCCAATCAAATCTCAAAAACCTGTGAAGGAAGATACTAAGTGTGTAATATGTGAAACAGTTATGGGCTATATTGAAAAACAGATGAAAAATAAATCTACTAAAGAAGAAATTGAAAGTATTATTCACACTGTATGCAATGATTTACCTGGAGCGAAGCTTAAAAATAAGTGTAACCATTTTGTTGATCAATACGGCGAATTCGTTATTCAGATGCTTTCTGATGATATTACTCCGAGAGAAATTTGTACAGTTTTGGATTTATGCCAAGAAAATATGCAACAATTTATGGGTAAGTAATTTTTTTTTGTTTAACATCTATATAAAAAAGATTTTTCTCATACACATTCATCTAAGAACACGTCGTGGAATTTAATCTATGAGTAACATCTTGAATTTTCAAATACTTTGTTGTTTGTAAGTGTTACTAATGACATCATTTTTACATTCATAATTCTTTGTTAAATGAATAAATGATATAAAAATAATTTTTATTAAACTTCTGAGAATATAAATAACAAATAGTGAAAATTTCATTAATTAATGTGAATTTAATTATAATTATTATTGTATTGTTAGAGAAAAAAACTGTTTAAATTTAAAATGTATTCTTAAATATGAGTCAGCATTATTCAAATTACTATTATCTTTGAATTATCGGTATTTTATCACTCTATTACAATATTAGAATTTCTAACTGGAGATAATTAATACATATTTCATATTAGTATATAGTCGAAATGTTTTATATTAATTATTAGTTTATTTGATTTAATATTTTTTAATTGATTAAATTGATAGAAAAAAAATTTTATTTCAGAATCAGTAGATAAATGTGCCCTCTGTGAAGCAATTCTTTCATACATAGATAAAGAATTATCTGATCCAAAGCTCGACAAAAAGATTGAAGATATTACTGCAAATATATGTGATATGATTCCTGCAGCAAAGCGGAATAAGGTAACTCAAAAAATTCTTTATGAATTAACTAATTAATTTTTGTTAAGAATATAATTTAAGCATATTTAAAATAATTGTTTTGTTAATTCAAACAGTGTGTTATGTTGATGGAAATTTACGAACAAAGCATCATCAATCTCGTAACATCTCATGAGTATACCTCAAAGATCTGCAGTCGTATAGGTTTATGTACTAATGCTAGTTTCTTTGCAATGGATCCCAAATTTTCTCATAAGAAACATATGATTTCAAACAGATATTAAAAAATTAATTAATTTAAATATTCAATCAACACTTCGTGAATATCTTCATGGCTGTATTTAGATAAAAAATATTATAAAAATTGTAACTATATAGGGAAGTGTTTTTATTATTAATAATTAAGTTATGAGCACTTTGCAATTTATCATTGTGTGATGATCTTCCGTATTGAATTTATCAGACCAAAAAATCTTGTGCAAATCATAACAGCTTATTATGAACCGCAAATAAATTGCCTTGGCTCTCGTCTATATAAGATTACACTTTGTATTTTACTGTAATAAAACTAAAATAAAATATATTCAAATATTTTTTATTATTATATGATTTTGGTTATATATTAACCAACGTTAGATCTTTTAAAATAATTGATTCAATATTTTACAATGTATTATTTTTAGTAGTTCTTTTTATAATAAAAATATATCGAAATTAATGATCGTTATATTATTGATTGAGAGTATAGTGTTAAAATATTTTAAAAATAACATTTCAAGCGACATAACGAACATCAATTAATCATCAAAAATTTAAATAGATTATGATTGCATTGAAAGAATAAAAAAGCAATAATCTCCGTGTAAAAGCGAATTATTAATGTCTTTAAAGAAGAATGCAATTCATGCTGTTTCTTGCACTTCACGGTGGTAGTAAGAAAAATATGACTACATTTTTAAATTTTTGAATGCAAAAAGGTTTCAGGTACTTCTGCCAAAGTGGAGGCATTCAATTCCTTCACAACTATTGAGAATCACCAACGAACAATCATTCACCATCATAGTACCCTCAGAAACCCATAGTATGGTATACAACATTTTTCTGTAATCGTAAGATTAACTATAATTTAAAGTAAAATCCAATTTCCAATGTTTACTTTACGACCCTCTCACTCATCAGGTATATAGAGTATGCTGTCGAAGTAATAAATGACAAGTCACTCTTTTTACTATAGTATCCTTTTAAATGTCTGTCATATTCTTGCAAAGGAATGAAACTTTTGTTATTTTTTTTCTTTATTTCTTTTTTTTTGTATCATAGTTTAAAAATGCAACAATAGTGAAAGACTTTCTTGACATCTTTAAACAATAAAATCATTTCGCGCTATTTTGAGAAAAAAAAAAATTCTTGTAGGGAATTATAAAATAAAATTTTCATAAAATCATACATTCTTTAACTTCATAATCTTCACTAATAAATATTGTAATATGTTATATTTTTTAAATAAATTAATTACTACAAAAATGAAAATTTGCTTAAAAAATAAATAAATACAGTAAAAATAGTTGAATTTTGTGTAGTATAGTAGTTAAATAAAAATAGCCACGTGTTTTGAAAGTACGATTAAATTGTTAAAGAGCTGGAGGAAAACACGTCTGTATGAGTTTTGTTTAGCATCTTTGAATTATGAATTATTTATAAACTACCCATATATATATATACATATACCTTTTATGTTGTTCTTCCACCTACAATATATTAAAAAAAAAAAAAAAATAATACTATTTTCTCCATATTGATTTATATCTGTCGGCAGTCGTTTATCTTGACCAGAAGACTCATTACAACTTTTCCAACACATGGACATCACATAAGGTTCTATGAACATAACAGTTCTGTCAGGCCAAATAACGACTACTATTTCTTATAGCTACAAACGACTTGTATTGTATACCTCACCATTGGTATGTTCAGGACTCTCTACAGGAGGCAAACTTTGATCAAACCGATGTCAATCCACTATGTGTGCTAGTATATATATATATATATATATATATATATATAAATGCAAGTGTTTAATTCTTACGAGTTTCCGGTCCAGAATGCTTATTTTTCGTGGGGAACCCAAGTGAACCTGTTTACATAAATTGTGGATTATCATTAATATTAGTCCACTTTAGTCCTTCTCGTAAAAATAACATTCAACCTGAAACATTTTATGGAAGTTTTTATTTGCTAAAATATAGTATTTTCAACATATTATATGAGGAAAAAAATTGAATTAATTCTTTTTTTATATTCAAAATTTAAAAATAAAACTTTTTAGAAATCTAAATCTCTGATCATTATAAAATATTCTGATTGAAATATGATTATAATTATATAAAATCATTTATTTATTTTTGTTTATTCAACAATATTATATTTATCTCATAAAAATTTTATTGTAATTCTGAAATGAGTGGTAGCTAAATTTTTTACGACTTTTTACTCTAAAGAATAAGTTTTAAAATTTTTAGAAAAAATTTACGCAAATCTATATTTAACTAAATTAACTAATTTTATTAAACAATATTATTAAATATTCATTTTTCATTTACCAAGTTCCATGATATGATTTTAATCACTCTTGAATATTCTATGGTTACATTTTAATTTTTACTATAAAAATATCAACAAATTTTTTATATTTGAAAATAGAATAAGTGAATAGATGAACTTGAAGTTTTTAAATCAATTAAGTTTCAATAATAGAAGAATAGAATATCAACTACTGCATCTTGGTTTTAAAATTTTTAAAATTCGAATTAATCGCATAAACTAGTAACCGATTAAAATTCCTTAGATATCTATCATCAGGTGAGATTTTCATGAAATTTTCCTTGATCTTGATTCGTCATGGATCATTTAGACCATGCGGGAATCCAAGTCGGATAGTTATATAAATTCAGGAATAAACTTGGTCAAAAATTACAAGGGCTTTCAGATGGCAGCCAAGTCTTTGAACTACCGCCGATACATAGAAAATGTTGACATAAATATTGTTTATGTACATATGGAATCTCTTGATGTAGGCCTTACTTTTCATCGCATCAGATCTATTGGTTCTTCGATATGAGAGGATCGACCGATGAATTATTATATTCTGATCAACAACATCTAAAATACTTAAGCACTTGTATTGCTCGGTCAAGAAAATTCGCTGTCCATTTGACACAGGATCAACCGCGCAGTTGGAGTCAAGATGAACAAACGAGACCGTTGAAAGATGAAACCACACAATACGTTATAGGTTTGCGGCCTTTTTGCCCTTCTTAGAAATACTTGGTTGTAGTGTCAAAAATTTTGAAGTTATCAAAGAATTACGATTTGAATAAAGGTGCAAATCGAATACAAGTAAGTTGAAAATTATAAATTTCATTGCAATATAAAAAAGTGTATGTGTCACATCATTGGAGTATTTTTTGACATAATCCTACATTTAGTTTGATTTTATACACTGTTCAAAGGTTAATAAAGTTTTACTTTTTTACCTTGCATAAAATGACAATTTGTTCGTGCATATGTCGACACGCATTTTTGCACTCCATCAACCTCCAAATTGAGAATTCAATGGTAGTAAATGTTTTACTTGATCTTCTAAGTACAAAATGTACGATTATGTTGTCGTGATAATGATGGTTTATTTAATTGGATCAAAATATCTAAATATGTAGATATCAGCAAGCTTGACAAGTAAATAAACGTTATTTATGACTTCAAACCTGTGACAGTTCTAGAATACTTGGAAAAAATTTATCTCTTTGAAAATGATTTAGAAAAGCATCTTATTTCGTTCCGGCACATCCTGGATGAAAAGAAATATTATTTACGTTTAGTTCAGTTAAATCTTAAGATCCTCATTAAGCATCAATGATTAATTTTATTATTTATTAAGAAAAAAAATTGTTATGTTTATTTTTTCAGCAATATTCCAAGCTAATTTTTCCAAGTATATAATATGCTTATGTTTATCACTCATATTATATTCCTGTTTTAAGAATTCCAGTAGATATGACTACACCAGATGAGTTTGTACAGATTTTTTGTCGCAATATTTTATCATACTAAAAATGAAATTCGTGACGAGCGTAGCAGATTCGTTAGTTTTATATCAAAAGACTTTATGACCGTACCTGGAACTACTTGGGTCTCGCGGTTCGGCAAGAAGCAATTATATCCACTTTAATTTCCCTTCGACTTGACGTGGGACAGAAGTGTTTGATCAGCCCGACCTTGCGTAGATATTCTAGCTCTTCCTACATAACGATATAAGACTTAACGCCAGATGAAATAAATGTCGGTCAGTTCTAAGAGCCTGATACACAAATCATATTTCTAACATTGAATTATAAAATCCTGCAAGTACTTTTTATTTTATAAATCCCAATTCTTTGACTACTTATGACATTTGTGATCGAGCGCCACCCTCAGAGTAAAGCTTACGCTGTTTTAATTAAAATGCAAAAGAAAGATATTTGGCTTCGACTCGAGACAATAATGATTAAGAGCCTTAATGAATTTTATTCAAAACTGTATTCTAATTTATTTTTAATGAATCTTATTAATTTTCTAAAATCTCTCTTAATGATGGTAATATTGAAGAAGCCATGAAGATCATAAGAAAGAATTTATTATTTTATTGCTAGTATCAAAGGTTCTTAGTGAAATAGGCGGAAAGGAAAAAGGGATGAGTATGAGCCAATCTCATTGGACGCGGTATTTTTTAAATATTGCCTTTTCCTAAGACCAGGATTAACAACTCACCCAAGTTACTCTGTTGGCCAGATTTTCTGTGATTTTTCTAACTGAATAAATTTCCTTTTGTCCGATAATCGGTTGGTCAATCCAAAAAGAATGGGCACGAGCTACTTGATAAAATAAGTTGTTTGATTTCTACAACAAAAAAGACACTTGATGAATACTAAACATATTTCAATAAAAATGAAAGCATCAAGTATGTATGTACTTCCAGGTATCATTTAAAATAGCCATTGAAATATTATTACATCTTCATCTCCAACTCCATCAACCTTGAGTCATGTCATTTAAATTATAAATCGACAATGATGTCGTCGGAGAAATAATTTTAGCGATAAGATACAGGTAGCATAGTTCAATATCAGCAACTTATTACAATATTAAATCTGATGTTGATCTAGTTTGAAACTTATTAGAATTTTATCTTATTTAAATACTAGTAATTTAAAAGCAAACTTACATTGTAATATTGTTAAATACTTCCAAATGTTTATTCATAATTAGTTAATTCTTGGGATTTTCGGTAATATATTTAAAGAAAGCTTGTTAACAAATACTGGACATCAATACTTTTATGAACATTAGCAAAACATTTTTCAATATCTGAATAAATAATCCCATTACCTGTTAATTTTTAACTTGGAAACAATACCAAAGTCCAGAAAGGGTTATACTGGATATAATACAATATTTAAAATCGAGTAGTCAGTGACAACATATGGAAAGGTTTAACTTTGGATTAGGATTTTCCAACAGTCAGTAAGTACGCCCATAACAATGTACAATATCTCAA